ATTTATTTTCAGATTAACCATGTTTGAAATTATTACAGCATATCCGTGCATTAAGCACTAATTAAGATAACTGGGAGATTCTGGTATTACAGGAGATATTCTATTTCTAAAAATGAATATCTATTGTTATTTATGAAATATTAGATTTATTTATTTCATGTTTTTTAGAATTAAGACTCTTTTTTTAATATTCCCAAGTTTAAACTATAGTACTGCTCATTCCAAACATACTTTTTTCAAACTCATCTCAATAATTTAAAAATAATACTTGAAACAGAAATAAAAATTTATACTTTCTTAATTATGTGTTTATTATATTATTTCCCTTTTTTCTTCTTATCTTTTTCTTTAAAGATTCAAATAACAATTAAGATTATACATTAAGAATGCAAACCTTGAATTTTATCCCTCTCGCCCAAAGGAAAAAAAAAAAAAAAAAAAAAACACAAAAATAGCATTATTATAAAAAATGCTATTAAAAAAAAATTTTTTTTTTAAAGCATAGTTTTTATTTATGGTGAAAACAACTAGGCTGAGACTAAAATCAAAACATAGCAGTTTTCAAAGGAAGAAACACAATTTTAAAAAACTAAAATTTAAAAGTGCATTTACTTATTATTTGATTAGTATAGACACATAAATATATTTCAATACACAGTTTCAATTAACAGCATCATAACTAGTCATTTCTAACCTTTTACTGTTATGTGTTATTTGAAAGTGTTACCCAGTATGACTCTATTCTGTTATTGTGGATAAACAAGATTCTACTATATTTACTCTCTAATTTAAAAATGCTTTCTTAATTAAGAAAATAAATAAACCCTTCACTTCAATAAATGAAAGCAGTATAGTTTACTTATTTTAAGGATGTAAAACTCTCTCTGGAAAAGGCCTTTTCATCAGCAATTCAGTTAGAAAAAGAAGGAGCTCTGATCTTGGCTATTTATAATCAGAAATGGACTGACCATCTAAAGAATTAGAAACCTTACCCTAAACTTTATTCAATGGAAAAGGTGTCTGTATTTTCAGAAATTCTTTCTAGACATGATGTCATATCGTTTCCCTAAAATGATATATGATTTTTTAGATTTCAAAGAGAGCCTTGTTAGCTATCACTTATGAGTGCATTTGTGTCCTGTGGGCAGATAGAACTGCTGCTTTCATTCAGCATCCTTGGATGTGATACACCTTATGAATTTTCTGAAAATGGTCCAAACAGAGAGCAAGGTAAACTTTGCAAATGAAAGTATTTCTAAACATAATATTTTCATCAGCGGTGATTTAGTGCATCCCGCTTATGTTAAGGCAATGAGTTTAAGAACATCTGAATGGATATATTTTAATTACTTTATAATTAGTTTGGTTCAATAATAGTTTGGTTAACCAATTTTTCTTAGGAAACTTTTAGAAATGTAATACAACAGAAACTATGAAATAGAACACTGGGGACAAGCCCAGAAATGAAACAGAAGCTGAATTGTTTATGATTGACTGTAAATTAAAGCTAGCACTTTTGCAGCATATATTTTAGAAATAAGTATAATATTTTGACATATAAGAAAACTACCATTTCCACATCAAATATTTATTAACTAAAAAAGCTCACAGTAAATTTGTCTACATATGCTAAACTGCATTCTTTCAAAACTATTCAGGGTTTCCAAAGTTTTAGCTTTACATCCCAAAATGTGAATCACTTCTACTAATGTAAATTTTTAGTGTTTTATGTGGTACTGTGTGTGTGAGTGTGTGATTATGGCAAAGCCTCGAGGGCTATCTGCCTAAGAGGAGGGATGCCTTTGTGGAGGACTTTCTAAGGGAACTGGCTTGTATACACGTTACACATAGGGAAAAGCACAAAAACTCCCATGCAGCCAACCCGCATGCGGGATTCGAACCTCGGACCGAACTACCAGTGTTCAGCGATTTTACCGCTCAGCCACTGGTGGGCCCATTTTAGTGTTTTATGAATTATCATTAATGCACAACCCATTCATTTTTCAACAACTCCATTAATGCTTCATTATGTGACAGTGTGGTGTGATGTCTCGACTTTTCAAAATAAGTAAGTCAAAATTCACCAATTCAATATGAGGTAGCATGGTACATAAAGTTTAAAAATTTTAATGACCAATTTCCTGTGCTTAAATTATATAATATATAATATAAATAATATATTTATATTAAATATAATTTTTTCATTACATATTACTCTGTTTTAATTATTTTTCACATACTTGTTTATACACACAATGTAAACATAGTTAAAAGAAAATTTTCATGTGGTTGATTATAGTCAGAGAAACATCCACTGGCACCCTTTTCTGGGCGATGCCCGCCAGCACTGCAAAACTTGCTTTACCATTTCTGTCAGCTCTGAATGCAATCCACATTCAGCATGATAATGTTGAATGTTGCACATCTTTGACCACAATTTGTATATTGCAGATGATGCATACATACAGATTTGATCTTTCACTTTCAGATTACTACTTTTCCTGTTTAATGAAAGTCAGTTTACAGAGATAACAATTTTCTTAATAAAGTGGCTGTAAGGAATTAGATAAAACAGCGTAGACCAGAAGTTTTTCAAAAAGGATTTGAGAATGGGATTTAATACTGATAGTGTTTATAATATTGTTGTTAGGATCAATAATACCTTCTGTAATCTCTCTAATAATATCAGAAGTGTGGGCACACCGTGCTAATTAACAAAACAATTGACAAAAAGGTTAAGCCGACTTTTCTTTTACATCAAGTATGACCCTCATATTAATGTAGTATTATAAAAATTCAAAAGATATTAATAAGAATAATTTTTCAAAACAATTAACAAAGGCAATTGCTAGAACATAATAACAGGCCTACATTTTATTTTTAGCCCAAAGGGCATCAGCTCAGAAGGGCTATTAATTTCATTTTGGCATTTTGCATTGAAAACTTCATATGTCCGTTTCACTTTTCAAATTGCTGCCACCAAATATTACCACCCTGTGTTATATTTGAAAAAATTAAATAATGAAGAATCTGCATAAATGTATGCATGTTTCTAGCATTGTGATAAAACAATGGAACCTAGAGTCATCATATTTTGAATAAAGTAACACTACATCGAATATGGGCATCTGGTAGCCCCGAATTTGGAATTTTTATAATTGATTTCATATTTTGTAACACTTTAACAAAGTTTAGATTAACAAACTCAGTGATTTCAAAGCAAGCAATGGTAACATTGTATAGGGAAAAAAAAAAAATTCTCCAGTGCATGACACTGTGTATTGGAAATTCTAACAATATGCTCATTTTAAAATTATTTTGAGCCATTGATATTGAATTGAATTTTACGGTTTAAGTGCGAAGTACATGATATTTAATAAATAAAGGTAACACGGAAAATGTTAAAAAACCACCCTTTTGGGCATAACGTAAAATCTGAAAGCTTTTAGATTTTTAACATCTGCATGTGCACACATTTCTTTGTAGCTGACCTTTTCTTTTAGTGCTGCATTAATGTTTTAATAGTGTTAATAACATTTAATTTTTATACTTATTTAAAAATTTTCCTCCAAAAAATGTTTACTTTATCTTTTTGAAAAATGAAATCTTTCAGACATGACAATTTTGGTTGTATGCTAAATATTATTAGATGTTTTAATTTAAGAATTAAATACTGATCTAAAATATGTATTTCTAATTACAAAGTTTCTTAAAATAAGGTGCAGAATTCTATGAAAAATATTTTAAGAATATATGCAGAATATATCCTCAATATTTGAACAAAAATTTTAAACACTATTTGAACAAAAATTCTAATTAGTGGATCGTTTGATTAGTATTGTGATAAATAATAATAAAAGATTTGTATTCACTGTAGTTGAAAAGCTAAAATTTCATACCTTTATTCGAGAATTAACTTACTGACTTAGGTCATTTTTCCATGTTCAATAATGATGCTATGATATACTAGATCAGATGTTTAAGAAAAATATTGAGGAAAAATTACAAGAGAAGTTGCTCATATTGGCACCTAACAGCTCTGATTTGGTTAAAGTAGCATTTATTATTATATTTGTAATTGACAAGAAAAACCCATAGTATTTGTCAGTTTAATTAAATAAAGCAAAATGAATATTCTACTAATTGGAACTTTTACTCCACAGTAGCCATATAAACTATTTTATTTCTACAAGACTGTTTACATAAAATTCTCTAAGAAGAAGAAAGAAAGAAGAAAATTTTAAAGAAAGAAAATTTTATTTCTAGAATTATATGTTTGAGATAAATATTTAAGGAAGGCAGTATATACACTCACAATTTTTACGTTCCCTACATGCATTCACAGAATCTTACATTCAGCGAGGTGCATAAAATACCACAGTATTACATTAACCGACAATCATAAACACAAGCTTTGGAAGATTTTCCCCTACTAACAGTAGGAGGCAGTTAAATTAAATATAGCCAGCTGTTTTTTCCTCTTCTTGTCTGCTTTTCCTTCAACTTCTCTTATTATTTTGTTTGCTTTTCTTACATTAATTACATCTTAATTTTTTGAGTTTTTTACTTTTACATAATTTTCTAAATACATAAATGGGTTTACTTCATTAGACGTTTCTTCCTTGTTTCACAGCTTATGTTGCTTATTTACATTAATTCTCTCTCTGTGTATGTATATGCATATATATTACTTTTATTCAACATCATGATTACAGATTGCTTTTAAATACAAAACAAAGGATGATATTTTTTAAAAGGTCTACAGTTTATTAAATGTTTAATCAGCTGATGTTTTCGTCTTATAGTCATTTTTATAGTTCAATTGCATTTGTACTCATGCATTTATATGCAGTCTTTCATTTTAGATCAATAACAGTCAATATAATGATAACCATAACTGACCAATCAAAGCTCAAATCCAATTTTATTATTATTTATCACAATACTAATCAAACGATCTCATCCAAAACTTCAGTAAAATAAAGTTTATAATTACTTACTTTCTCATAATTGTAGGTTTCAAACATTCCCATAATAAGCTCTCTAATTTCACCAAATTTTCCTGTATTATATGCAGGATCCTGAAAACAAAATTTGTACAGTATAAAGCAAATCTAACATCTAATATTTATTCACAAAAGCTGAGACTTTTTATAGAACTAGCTAACCTGAACTACACGCTGAAGAATAGCAGGTAGAGAAATATAGCCCATCATATTGTTTAGTAAATGCCTTGTCAGTTCCTTAAATGCTGAAAATATGTATAGAATTATTTAATAAAAACTTACTTTAAATAATTCCTTGAATTATATTAAATGCTTTAGTTTCTTTACTAAATTTGTATTTTAAGTCAGTTTTTATGCAAAAGCCAGTGTATTTTTAAACAAGCTCTTACATGAAAATAACTATTTTTATGATTTAAGATTCTTCTCATGATAAAGAATCTGAAAACTTCCCTTCCATTAGCTGACATAGTACTAATGCTTTTAATGCTAATAAATATGAAAAGATAAATGATAAATCTTCAATACATTATACATAAAACAAATTTATATATATTATGTATATATAACAAAATTAATATCACATACCTTCAGAAGCTCAGTGAAAACCCTTCACATGATATATTTCATAAAAAATAAAACCAGAATTTAACTTTCTTGAAATTCCTTTTAACTTACTGGCCTTAATTATTATAAGTTAATCAGCAGAAATGCATAATTTTCATGTCTATGAAATAGGTGCAAAATTTACCAGTATTAGCAATCTTTTGAGAATTTAAGGAATAACCATTCAATCTAAAGCATTTTATCTCACTTTTAATTTCATTCTAACCATGTGCGCCAGCTTATGTTTCAGCACACAACTAAAAGATAAGTCAGTATTTGCAGTAACTAACAAAACATTCAGCAAACAAGGACAGTGTGTATTTGCAAATTTATTGATAACTATTGATTCAGAAAGACAGCAAACATATTTTTTGACAAGTATAAATTTTTTACATGTAGTTAATATTTCTACCTGTTTTCAAGCAATAATTGATGCATTGAAGTAATATGAAATAGAATATCCTGAAATAAAAAGTCTAGAGACAGAACTGAATGCTTTACATAACTATTTGCTTCAACTTACTGAAAATACTTGTCGGTGACAATATTTTGCATTATCAATGCTGAATACAGAAAGGGAACTCTTATAGTTATGTATTTATAAAAGAATTCAAAGAATTAAATACCATTATAGCCAAAACAAGGCAATATTTTTGCACTAAAAAATTAACATTGCATACTTAATGTACTTAAAGGAAAAGAAAGCTATTTCAACTAACAGCAAAACTTTATCCAGCCTTATTACAAACAAATAATATATATACTGGTTCAAAGCTTATGTTATTTGAGTGAATATATAGAGCACAGTGTTGTGATGAATTTTCTCAGATAAAATACAAATTTAAAATAGCTTTTTTTTCTAAATTCTGCCCAAAAGTTATGAAACTCATTCAAAATTTAGAAGGATCAAATTATACATTTGCTTACATCCAGTTAAGTCAGACAGATAATTAAACTCATTAAATGTTCCCTTGGTCCCCAGGGCCTTATATGAAGCAAAATAGGTAGGGTGTTTAAAAATTTTCTATTAAGCACATGAGTGGAGGTTGTTTGGGGACAAATGAAAGACAAATGAAGAGAAATGAAAAACGATAAAGATGTAGTTGATCAGAAGCTCAACATAATTTTGATGACAGCAGCAGAGAACTATTTAAAATCATTGGCTCTATTTATGCTATCCAATACAACAAAGTATATTTGCAGATTATTTTATACATCTAGAGCCACCAAAAATGCTACAGCTTTGAAAACAAACTTATTATTAGGATACCTTTTGAAAACAGCATTTTTTTAACATATTCCAAAAGAAAAGCTCACCGACATATGCAATCATTTTCATAAACAACTTCTTGGAGTAATCAATCAAAGTATTCACTTTAATATCACATAAATTCTTAAAACAATAAAATTCTAACATAAAAACTTCACAAGGGTAGCTAAACACTTTACAGCCCTGTTAATAGCATGGATACTGAGAGATATCTTAGTATTCATAGCTTCGTAGTTACAGATAGAAGACGACTCAAGGAAGAGAAAAATGGGACCAAAAGTACCCCAATTTAATAATAATAATAATAATAAAAACACTTGCATTTAGTTTTGTTTATACATATAATTTTCAAGTAACATTGCAAGCTTTTATTAAAATCTCAAAACTAACAGTCAACAAATGCTTCATAACATTTATCCCTTTTCAAAACAGAAATTAAACAGACATTTATTAAAAATAATATTTTTCAAAAATATGATACAGTTTACATTTGTGATTATAATACTTCCTATACTATTAAAAAAGGGGGGACCAAATGGTCACTGTTGTGAAGATTAATTTAATATATTCTTAACAGTTCAGGACTTTTCTACTAATTTCTGCAATGAGATGGCCACAATAACCAGGGTCAAATGTATATTCATTAGTTCATAATTTCATATGACTGTCCTTTCTTTCCTTCATTAAAAATTATCCCTAATGTTCACTCAAACATGCATACATACAGCTACTATTATGAACAATTTTAAAATGTACTTTTAAAACTGTTTATATAAATTGATAAATAATTCACAAACCATTTAAATATTCAGCATTGACTCTGCCTCTTAGCTGCCTTTGAGGAGCCATCATTGATTCTAATAGTGGAAACCAGAGTAGCTGCAACGTAAATTAATTTTAATATAATTGAAGAATAATAGTTTTTTTACAGATTGAAAACTATTTTTTCTTAAACAACTTTTACTAACCTCTCTCTCATCCTGATTCATTTTATTTGAATTTCTTTGGCACAACTGAATTATGACTAAAACACGACTTTGAAGTTCATTCCATGAAGCAGAAAATTCCAAGTTCAATGCAGTAGATGACGTTAATAACTCATGTGAAACTTCTTTGATTTTGCACTGCAAACCCTATTATGAAATGCATAATTCTTATTAAAAATTATTCCATAATCTAGAAACACAAGTATCAGTTTTGAAAACTCTATTTTAAGTCATACTACCAGTATATAAATGTCTATCCAATCTATGTAAAATTTCATTAAAACAAACTACAGAGGGCTGGTTACATTTTATTACAGTGATATACATTAAATTCTACATTGACATGCCAGATTTTTACATGCTAAAATAAATCCAACAAATGTTTATTATAACAGAATTTGATTTGCTGCTCTTTACTTATTACTCAGAACTTGATTCTTCTCAACCATTAATATATAGATAAAGAAATATATCATTTACATAAACATTACCAGTGTAATGTTTTTGAAGCATTTAAGGAAATAAACTTGGCTACTCCAACTCACTGCTACCATTTCTCCTTTTTACTTTTATCTTTTTTTTTAATTTCAAATTTACAACTCTCAAGAAAAACAATTCTGATGTTGCTTAGCAATGGTTACAAGATACACAATACAAAGGATATCCAATGTGGCATTGCCACTCCAATATTAAGGACATATATGTGTATAAAAATGAGAAATATAAATAAGAAAATACTACAACCAATGTTACAAGACATAAATATGTATAAAAATGAGAAATATAAATAAGAAAATATTACAACAGTTTATAATTCAACCTGGAGAAATTAGGTTGGACCTTCAAAATTTTTTTTGCATTCCAATTTTTTTGCTTTTTGTTTTATATATATTTGAATTTAATATATATATATATATATATATATATATGCATGCAAAAATACCCATGTCATTTTATTCTCAAACAGAATTAGAAATATTAAAATATTTGGAAGAATTCCTATTGAAAAATAAACATGTGGGGGAAGGGGGGAAGTAGTGATTCTAACATAGTACTTTATAAGAAAAAATGTGCATGGTATAATTAAAGAAATGTATCATTTACATGAATATAATTAGAATAATAACAAAATACTTAAAGTATTGATGCAAGCAAATAATTTTAAATATTAACAGCTTTTAATTTAGTACATGATAAGCTTGAGTACTTTTCCTTTACTTGGGTGCAAACATCACCAGCCAACAACAGACCGTTTTTCACTTCGGCAACAGGGAAAATACAAACATATTCAAAAAATAAATATAACTTATGTTAATTTCATTTAGAAAGCTCCCTCCCCCCCCAAAAAAAAAGAGAGAGAAAAAGAATAAAAAAAGAAGCGGGAAAAGAGAAACAGTTTACTGTAAAATAATCCCACAAACTGAAGCCTTTTTATTTAAACACCAAAGCAGGTTTTGCATTTATTTTGCACTTCCTCACAATCGCTCAATTTTTTGGGTGTGTACCCCACTTTCTGGGTCTATCAACTTGTGAATTGAAATGTTTATATATTTTTTCTTTTAGTTTTGTAGTGCAATAGCCTTTTATATAATCAGGTTATATGCTAGATCCTTCTTTGATATTTTCTTTGATGGCTTCTAATAATATACTTATGAATCTATTTGATATCTGAGGAAGAAAACATTTATATATATACTGGCAGATCCCACCAGACAGCCAGTGTTCAGGAAGGACATATCCCATATCATTCTTTTACCTCACAGATATGGTTCATTGATTTCAACAATTACATTGCTCCCTTTGCTAATGTTACAAAAAAAAAAAAAAATGATGCAGACAGACTTCTGACATATAACTGTTTCCAGTCTACAAATGTACTACTTTTCAACTGCTTCTCAAACCACTTTACAGAAGTCAGTTCTTCACTATAACCATAAATGAATTTCAGAGATTAACTCAGTCTTGGTGATTCCAGCCATGTTTCTTTATGAATACTGTTTTTGCTACAGCAGGTAGGAATATTGCTTTGCCATCAAATACCATCTCCAGTTGAAGTTGAAAAAAGTTGAAGGCTCTGAACTGAACTGACAGCCATTCAGAGCCTCTTGCTACAGGATTGCTGAAGAGAGAAATACTAACAGTATTGGAACTTCTTCTCTTGCTCTATGACATTTCAGGATATCTCACCAAATGCTGGCCCACCAGCGGCCGAGCGGTAAAGTCGCTGAACACTGGTAGTTCGGTCCGAGGTTCAAATCCCACGAACGGGCTGGCTGCATGGGCGTTTTTGTGGTTTTCTCCATGTGTAACGTGTATATAAGCCAGTTACCCTTAGAAAGTCCTACACAAAGGCATCTCTTCCCTTAGGCAAATAGCCCTAGTGTGCTTTGCATAATTAAATAAACCAAACCAACTCACCAAATGCCAAGTAACATTTGGAGCCAAACATGTCATGCCAAATGTCAAGCAACATTTGGAGACTGTCAAGACCCAGCAGGAGAATTTTCCCCATATTTCTGGTTCTAGAGCTATCCTTACAAACAAATTCGAATGACTCAGAATCAAAAGAACTACAGTGTACTTCAAGAAACAAACATAAAAATACTTAAAAATCTGAAAGTGTCCAGATTTTAATGATCGCTTAAAAAGGCTCTTTTAAAATTTAATATGGTTTATCAGTAGAGATTATTGATAGAGATGGCAAAATCAGAATAGTCAAACATTTTGTAAGATATTAGATGAATATGCCTTTAGTCTAGCATAGGAATCTTAGATACGTTATGCATATTTAAAATGTGAAAATATGTCTAAAGTTTTAAATTTGATATATTATGAATTAAATGCATTTTTATTTATATTAATCAGATTAAAAAGTTAAAAAATATTATTCTCAAAACTGCATCTACTACTTTTAAATAGTTCAGTTTGTTAATAACAGACAGATTAAATATGAAAGAATAATAGCTTATATTCTTCCAAATGGCAACACACTCAAAAAGTAAAACTATGCAAAATTATGTTTCAAGACTTAACAGCACTTTTGGGTAAGTGATCAAAATTTCAAGATTAAATAAAACACACAATAAGGAAACATAAAATAACTAAACAAAGTGCCTTAAATAAGTCAATAAGTAAATAAAAACAATACACTTCACTACAATATTATTTAAAAACCTAAATTATGAATAAATAAGCAGAAATATTTACAAAGATTTACATCACTTTTACAAAAATTTACAATATTATGCAACAGTTTATTAATAAATATAGATAAATATGGTGATACCTTTCATTTGCAGAACCTGATATTTAACCTAATTTAATTTTTCATAACCTTTTTATAATAAACTGTATGATCACAAGCAATTTCTTGTATTAATTTTTTACTTTAAATTACTGACATTTTAAATTTTCAAGCAGTTAATTTTTGGTTTTCATAACAGAACTAAAAATATTTTCAGTCCCCTTCCTCTTTATATGAAGGATCTAGAATGATTCTAACTCACCCAGTGGTTTACAGTATTTTTTATCAGATAAAAATTTGAAGCAATATTTACTGAGAGACAACAAAATAATTTCACAAAAAATATGTACTTACTTCTAACATTATATTAAATGCTCCATGAATGTCACCTGCTCTTTCAAGAAGAAAAGCAGTAGCTTCCATTGCATTATGTTTTCTACAAATCTGTATATGTAATAAAATATTATTTAATCTGTCTACGTGCTTTTCATTTCAAAATAACTACAATAACTTAGAAAGAAATAACAGAATGAAATATAAAGTATCTAACACTGCATGGTTTATGATGAATTTTAAAAAGATTCATTATAAAACATAAATGAGTAACTTTAAAACAGCATAAACTTTAAAGAAAAAAGTCTAAAGATTTCTTAAAATTTTAAATGTAAAATAACCAAAATACCCCATCTTGGAAAATTACATATTCTAGAAAAGGCTTCGGCTAATGGTTGTAAAAGACTTCCAATTTGTTTCTATTCCATATAGCTCTTACAAATTTTAATTATGCAAAACCAGGACATGCACTCATAAATTTAAAAAAACTTAGATTACAACTTTTATAAACCCAGAAAAAAATCTAGTTTTTATCATATAGCAACTCAAGTAAAATAAAACCTAACACTCATAAAACATTTTTTTACATTCTTTAATTTTTTCAAACATTCTTCATATCTTTTATGACAAGTTTCTTGTATGACTACTTTTACCAATTTAAATTTAGGTTTCCATATATAGTAATTCTGGGTACTCATATATCCCATCGACTGCAAAATTATCGGTTCAGTGCCAGCTATGCATAAACATGACATAACAACACACTCATAATATCTGTGCTTTCATTTGATGGAATCTTTTGTGATTCTCGATAAGACATGTTTTGATTTTACAAATAAGGATATAAAATAACTGTCATTGCAGTATTTTTAATTCCATTTGGAAACAAATGATAAAAATTTGGAGTCTTGCCTTCTACAGAACAAGCAGTTGAATATTTACAATGTTATGATATTCTAGCATTAAAAAAAATTGTGCATTAATGAACACAATATAGTCAAATGAATATGGCTAACAAATTGCAATATTTCGGAACAATTACCTGTGGGAAGTTTGTACTGTTTGTCCTCTAAATAGAGCTTCCAGTAAAACTGGAAGGCCTAACAAAGCAGTAAAAATCAATGCAAGCATTTTTATAAAGTGTATCAAATACTGATTGTTTATTAAATAAAAAAGCATCAACTCCACCAGAATTTTGCAGGATCAGCTTGTGCAGGAAGGATTTCTGCCAACTTTTATGGTTCAATATTAGCTAACTTCAATGGCTGATGGGATGGAAGTAGAAAATTTTGATTAGATCAATTTATTCCTTATTTTGCATTTAGTTGGTGTTTCACAGTTCTTGATTTAAGTGAATTTGTGGCTTTTGTTTTTATATGGTTTACTTGAGATGAGACTCTTTCTACACTAGCCAAAGATTGTGGTAAAATTGTTACCCTAGTGAAAGTTAGAAAATCCTCAGGTACTTTTCCATTATGCACCTGCCAAGCTTTTCGGAAGCACACTTTTTTCTGTGATACAGAAGAGAAGCCAAACACATGCTGAGATCCAACACTAGTGCTACTGGGTTATCACTGTGTGGGCGTTTGTGTATCTATCAACAATTCTTATGAATAGAAATTGTTAAAAAAAAAAAAAAAAAAAAAAAAAAAAAAACCTGCTGATGCATAATAGAAAAGTATCAAATCTCAATCTAGAATGATTAAAGGCCATTTTTTATGGTATGTAACAGATATTAAAATTCAGGGATGACTTTGTAAGGGAAGTTTAAACCTTGATTTAAATTAAATGATCTCTATTCATCATCTTTTAGGGCTTCCCTAAAGATGATGAATAGAGATCCCTTTTCTAAACGTCTCATTTCCCCCTCACATTTTCACACCAGGATGCAAATTTAAAGTCAAGCGAAGAGAGTATAAATACAGATGAATCTAGAAGTTTATTCAGATCATGATTTCGTTAGCCAGCGCACGTTATTATTCTGTCCTCGCTGTTGTTAGGTGGAGTTGCTGATCTGCCCTTTTAGCCATTTAATAAGTATATTGCCAGCTAGGTTACTGAGTCAGTCTAGTTAGCCTTAAACTACATTGTTAGTTCAGCCCTACTATTTATCTTTGAATTTATTGTTAAATTATTCTTAAATTCCACCGCAAGTCGTCGGTGTTATTGTAAGCACGATGTACAAGCATTTATGTTAAAAGTTTGATGAATAATAAAAGGCTTATCTTCCCTTCTTCTGTGTTAGTATTATTCATGCCTCTGCGAGAAATCATCAGGTTTCCTAATAAGATCATTTTATTTTATGATAGCAAAGAGAATTAGATCTTACAATCTAGATCTAATTTGTCTTTAGAAATAAGGTGATGGAACTGCATTGCTAAATGTAAAACTGAGAATGACAATCTGGCATGATCATGCACCACTATTAGGTCAGTCTTTTATGAAAAATCGAAACATATTTTTATTTCAACTGAAACCACTTGATGAAATTAGTGCAATCCGAAATCCTCAGACTGAAATTTAATATTCAGACAGCTTATTTTCTCCAGTGCATATCCTGAAAACAGTAACATATACTTAGTTTCTTTGGTGATCACAGTAGTGGAAAAATTCCCTCCACAAGCCATTTTGTCGATTTTGGATTCAGATTGAAAATAAAGAACTATCATCCCATTGCTCAATAGAAATTTTTAGTACACTGTCCCAGATAAGCCAGTGTAAGATGCACCTTTTTCATTAATGTCTTCTTTCAGCCAATCTTTTAATTCTAGATCTTCTAATCATCCATGTGTAAAATTTTGAGTATATCACCATTATGAGTTCACTCTTCTTACTCTCCAAGAAGCATCTTCTAGACATCATGAGTGTGGTTAGTTAATACGAGTAGCTGTTCTAAAAAATAAATAAATAAAACACTACTCCACTGACAAAAAATAAAAATAGCCACTACAATTTAAAATTATTGCAACACAGTATGTAGCACATGTACAAATATAAAAATCAAATTAAATAATGCAACTATCCCACAAACAGTGGTGAAGACTGTGCAGTAAAGACCCCCTTCTGCCTGCTCAATAGGCTATGCAAATGAGATGTTAATAACACAAATGTAAACTATAGGGCAGAACTCTCTGAAAACTTTGAAATCCTTTTACATTTAGTATTTTGAATAAGAACTTGAAATATTACAAAGAAAATTGAAAACTGTTATTAAATGCATTAAATGTAATTGTATTTACAAGAAATAAAAATTAATTTTGATTGAAAATCTAAAAATTACCAAGTGCGGAAAAAAGATAATAATCTATTTTTGTGGGGGGGGGGGAACCTATCAACATGGATGAAAAATAAAAAAAAAAAAAAAAAAAAAAAAAAAAACAGCAACTAATTAAATAAGAATTATAAGAAATTGAATTGTACATATAAAGGTTTCTTCTTCTTTTTTTTTTAACGTACACAAAAAATCATTTTCAGTAATAAACATTCATTTAAAACAAAAGCTGAAAGATCTTTTATAGAAAGTATTAGTCTTACTTCAAGAGTTTCTTCTAATCGGTAACCATCTGCTCGGCGCAAATAATTATGAACTTGATTTAAATCATACTGGCACATTAAATCAATGTATGTTTCAACTACAAGAGGATCAACAATAGGAGTATCTTTATTAGACAATGGCGATATAGAACCAAGATCTCTGAAACACAAAAATTACGATATTGTTACCTTATGCAAGGCAACAAAGATTCAAGAGACAGCACAGTATAAATTATATATTAAAAGAAACACTGTATAATAATAAAATGAAGTCATACTTATTGCTAAACAAGCCTTGAAGAAACTGATACAAAATTTCAGGAGAATCCTGAAATAAAGGACATTTAATTGAAAAAAAATTATTAAAAACTACAGCAACAATAAAAAATAAAATACTTTTGTCAATACCTACTTTTAATGCAGTTACCACACTTAACAACTGATTAGGGAAAAACTCCAGCAGAATTTGAGATGTTCGTCTGTTGTCAATATCTACAAGTTGCTGTAGGTAAAAAAGGGTAAAAACATTCAAGCATTGTAAAGATACAAATTACATAGAATTTCACAAACTGCTAATTTTTTAAGTGTAATATGTAGTTACTATGCTAGTAAATTATATAATTATATAATTACATATACTACTGTAATTATATAATTAAATTTACATATAAGCAAATATTACTACAGTACAAAGTCCAAGATCTTAACTCATTGGAACTTCAGGGATTTTCCAGATTTCAGTTTAAATGTAGCAAGATGAGATGCATAAAATTAAAAACCTGAAATAGTTCTGTATGAAAAATAAAGAAGCATTTATGAATGTCAGGGAATCAAAATAAAAATTTAAAAAAAAAAAAAAAAGAGCCTTAATGTTTATTTGTTTGCTTATTAAAGATTGCTTTTGATGTAAGCTGTTTTTAGTTGCTTCATTTTTTGTGCTAATACTTTCTCTTTAATAGGTATTTCTTTTTCAGCTACAAAGCTTTGTAATTACCATCAAGAGAATTTCCACTATATTCTCAATGGAAATTCTCTTGTTCTTAGCAACCTCTCTGTCCCTTTCCTCAATGTTGGTAGCAACATTTTTCTGGATTTGGAAACATGCTACAGATTTCGCCATCCATTATATGATTGATCATTGGGGCATTGCCATCACAATGGAATAATTATGTTAAGCATCTTCATTCATTACCACTTCTGCACATTTCTTTATAAATTCCATTAATTGGAAAACTTAGCTTTTTGTTTTGCACTATCAGAAAGCCTTCAAATTTGCAGCTATCATCACAAAACTTAGTGAGAATCCACTAGTATGCTATTGGCGATGTATCACAAGACTGGTAACTAACATGTTGATCTGCTAAAATTTATCTTGTTGTTATCGTGCCCCCAAAAAATTAAGCTTGAATTACATTAGTTTTGCTACTTATTATACTATCTATTTCCCACACATGCTTAAGATTTATTTGAGTCATGATGGAATTAATTGCCATATATTTTTAAAGCAGTACTTCTTGGTTATGCATCTGCCATGCATTTTGGTAGGCTTTTAAGAGTAAACAATTTCTAGTTGTAAGAATGTATCATAGTAAGAGATTGCAGGTTCATCATCCTGTAGAGATGTAAGTTAATACAGGGATAAAGATCATACACCTAAACATGCATTCACAGTTTGGGACAGATAATAGCCAACAGATCATAAAAGCATGGCAGGTGCCTGGAAAAGTATCCTTAAGGTTTATTGGAACAACAAATGAGTTACTTTTAATTCAAACCACACTAAATGGCCTGTGGGTATCATTTACAAAATCTATTTTTAGAAATTTCAGTTAAACTTCTCCTTGTCAACATACTTTACACGTCATAAGTTCATAACAGTTAGTTGGCTTAAGTTTGTAACTATGGTCAAGCGTAATGTTAGCATAAAAGGTTACCATGCTGTTTAGTATTCAGTTACTCCTATTTAAAACAAAAATTGTTCTGTGAATCGATAGTCATGTGGTAATAAAAACAAAAAATAATTAAAAATAATTTGCCAGATTGGCATAAGGGTTATATTATATTCAGTAGATATGAAATCAGTGATAAACTTTGATTGTTTTGACTTAAGATGCACACCAAGCGGTTAGGTGTGATGTGGCTAAATTTACTGATCACAAGTATTTATGCTAATAAATGATTGTGTTTCTTCAACATAGAGATATTGTTGCTGTTATTAAATATGGCTTTATTGGAAAGATCAATTCAAACATATAAAACAGCTCAAGTATCACACAAGAACAAAGATAAATAATAAAAATGAGCAAACATTTATAAAGTAAGAATAAATGAGCATGGGAACATGGGAGACCCATGCTCATTTATTCCTAAATTCATGCTCATTAATTAGTGCCAAAGTGAAATTAAGAACCAGAACCCACCACATGCTTTACTATGAAATAATGTCTAGTGCATGTGTGAAGTATTAGGCATATTCTACTCTCTACTCTCAGAATCTAATTCTTTCTCCCTTTCAGGAAAAAAAAAAAAATAAATAAAAAAAAAAAAAATAAAATAATAATAATAAATAAAATAAAATTAAAAAAAAAAACTTGCTAGTGATCAAGAGATACAGATGACCTGTGCTGTATAAACTTATTAACAACAGCAGAACATGAATTATATTAATCGTTTAATAGTTAAATGCATTTTACAAAAGTAACTTTTACATTTTCAAAAGCAAAATTATTTCCTTCCTGAAATTCTAAAGCTGTGACATACCTCAATACTTTGAATAATTCTTGTTTCAAGAGCTTTTTTTTCTTCTGCAGTACGTTTTGGATGATTAAGTATTTTTTCAATGAAGTAGAAAACTTGTAACTGAAAGATAAAGATTAACAAATATATTTTTTAAAATAGAACATTAAATTATAAATTGCATTAAATTCTGCTGACAGTAGGAACTAAGATCCCCCCCCCCAAATGCAATATATAAGCATACAAAATGAATATACCAGATTTCTGCACAGTTTTAAATACCAAATTTAAATCTGTTCTTTGGAATTATGTAGCAAATGTTATCAAATCATGAAAATAATTTGAATATAACTATCATATTAGCATGTCATAGTTTCATATATTTCAAATTTGATTTACAAATTACAACAAGAAATAAAATCATTTATTTGGTAAAAATATATCTAAATCATTTATAATTTTAGTTGATGCCTTTAACAAGGTTTCATATGGTGTTCATTTCAACATTCACTCAAATATACCAGTTTTATGCACAGTTTAAATAACAAATTTAAATTTGTTTCTATGATTTATATAACAAATGAAAATAATATGAATATAGAATATTATAAAGCTAGTTTTATAAATTTCATATCTGTTTCAAAAATTAGTGCAAAAAATTAAATCATATATTTCATCAAAAAGTAATTTAAAATTATATATAAAAGATGTAATTTTAGTTGAAGCCTTTAATAAGGTTCCATTTCTTTTTCATTCACATGCATAAAATTTTAATTGTTAGTTTATTACATGATCTAAATTAGATAAAGCGAATTTTTCTTTCAGGTCTTGTTTTCTTGTTACTTAGCAACATGGGAAACAAATTTAGGTAAATAGTTAAAATAAAAATATTTATGTCTCATTTTAATGATATTAAGGAAACAATAATAACAGTTTCATAAACGAAAAATTTCGTTTAAGTTTTCATTAACAAAGAAAATTATTTTAACAAGAAATATCATATTAAAAATGGTACATTCTGTTAAACACCTGTCTGTTCTTTAGCTCCTGTGAAAGATAAGCCAAACACATGGTTTTTTAATTATAAACAATTTCTAGTAATAAAGATAGTTTATAGAAGGCAATATATTTATTTCTAGTTACAGTTGTTGTGTCTTGGTGTGTGTTTGGCTTCTTTCAAAAGTGCCAAAAAGCAAGGCAGAGGCATAATGGAAAAGTACCTTAAAAATATATTAATACTTAAACAAACATTTAAAAATTATTAATCACATGCTGAAAAAATACTTTCCCCTAAAATATTTCGGGATAATAAAATTCCTTCAAAACTGAATATTAAATAGTACCATAATAATAATGTACATTATGCAATATTAATGGTTACTACAGATTGTTGTTGATTAACGCAAACCTTCCTTGATGGATCTTGAAGATAACACTCAAGAATTTTGTCATACTGCTGATGTTTTTCATAAAGATGTTCACATACACGATAGCTGTAAAATATGACAGAATATAATCACTTTGTAGAAGTGAATGGTTTTACACGAATTGTTAAATATTATAGCAAAAATAAACATTTTTAAGAATTAAGATTTAGCACTTCTAAATACCTAAATTGGTAAATAATATTTTCTAAAATATATAAAACATAACTTCCTTTGTTATAGATAAACTGCTCATTCTATCAAATTAGCATAAAATTTTTCTGCAGCTACCATTACTGCTCCATAATTTCGATTTAAAAATATAAAAATGTATTTCTTAAAAAATTAAACTTAGTCTGACTTTAATATTCAAGAAAATATTTTTAAGGCTGATTTTTAGAAAATATATACATAAGATTAAAAAAATCATGAATAAAAAAGTATTTCTCTAAAAACAAAGAGTTACAATAAGATAATAAAAGTATGAAATAAGAAAGTAAATAGAGCAATAAAATATTATTTGGAGGGGAAGAGGAAAGAATAAGAAACTCTAAACTTTCATTTAGCAATCAAAGCCTTATAAATAAAAAAAAACAAGAAGAAAAATTTTAAAGAACATAAAAAAGCAATTTTTATTTCTTTTGCTTATTTTAGATTAATATAAAAAACTATAACTATAACTTACAATTTTGCTCTTTCTGCAAGTGCAAGCACTCTTTCTTCATTTACTTGTGCTAGACCACCAGCATGTAACAGTTCCATTAAAGCTTGCTGTCTTTCTTCTAAGCGAGTCTCATCACCTGGGTTTGTTAAGTGTTCTAAAACCTAGAAAAAATTTTAATATAAAGATAATAACTGATCTTTATCATATCAACTCACAAAATAATTTTCAAGATGAAAATAAACTTGCAATAAGTAAAATACTGTAATAACTTAAATGTGATGTAATTTACATGAAAAAGATGAAATTATATATAAATAAAAATGTAAAATTAATTTCTTTATGATTATTTACCTTAACACGGAATAAAATATTATAAACCTATCTAATACATAGTTGCATGCCTAATTAGAAATCGAATTTAAATACTATACAATTAAAATCAAGTTATTTTTTTAATAAATTTTCCTAAAGAATAAATACAAATGATAACTTACTTGCTCAAAGAGAAGTCGATTGACCATAATGCTGTTTTCTTGCTTTGCCATTTGTCTAGCAAGGAAAGTAAACAATGCTCCAATTTCAGTAGGCTGAAAAATGAACAAGTAATTACTATCACAGAGTCCCTTTGAACCTGGAAAGGCCAATATGATGGCCATTGTGTTTAAAGCTTTAAAAAAAAAAAAAAAAAAAAAAAAAAAATACTATGGCTATTGTGTTTGAAGCTTAAAGAGGCTCAGAATGGCCAACAAAACAGCCACAGTATTTTAAAGTTTAAAAAGAGGCCATGATCCATATATTGATCATGCCTTTTTCTTCTTTTCCTGTAATAAAGACAGCTAGGTAAATGGCAGTTTTCTTCACTGGAGGCTAAATTTCATTTCTCTCTCCTGGATTTGTGAGAAATGTTGTCATTCTGTTTTTTGCCCTTTTAGTTTAATTGGCAAAAGCAGCTTTATGCACAAGTGTGAATCCACTTTCACACAAAGAGTTTTGCTGCAAACAGAAAGTGATAAATCAAAAGTACGATAATGGAAGCTATAAAAAAATGGTCTATTAAAGCATCTAAAAGATTAGAAAATAGAATGAATTCACGCAAAAAAAAAAAAAAAGTTTTAAAATGTCAAAATTCCATGTAAATATAATAAAAACTATTTGTTTTCCTTATAGATTCAAACAATTAAATGTTTATTTAAAAGGCCCTTTCCCAATTGTCCCATTGCTAATATTCATTTTGTGTATGGATTAGTGAAGACTGCACAGAAAGCAGGGTTTTCAAGTAAATATGCATAAACAAGAAAATAGTTTTTTTTAGCACTTTTTATAATTATTCATTGGATATGAATGAGTGATAGACTAAGAAAATAAAAGTGAATCAGGCATTTTTTTTTTTTTTTTTTTTTTTTTTTTTTTTTTTTGAAGGGGTGAGGTTGCTTACTCAATTTGTACTGACAGTGTCATGTACTTTGGAATCACAATGACAGTGGTAAAAGAAATCTCTTAGCCATGATGCATTTTGTTGCTTCACTTTTAAGAGTTTGAAATGTAGTATGATAGAAAACAGTAATGATTTGCCTAGATTTATATTTTTTTCCATTTTAGTCATAAGTGTTAAAAACACAATATTATTTAATAATAATAAATGCTACAGTAAAATAAAAGAATTATCCAAGAATAAAATTAAGACAAATGAAAAGTACCACTCATTGTGGATTGGTCTATTCTTTCTAGCTACACTACTGAAAAGAGGTTTCGAAATGTCTCATATTGGTACAGAAATTCATTAAGAATTCTCTTTCCTTTTCTGATCCTAAAAATAAAACCATAAATCGAAAACTGATTAAACATTAAGAAGGGGAATAAAACAATTCTTGATTTTTTACCTTGGATGTGTATCATATTCTCAGTTTTTTAAACTGATTTGTTTAATGATATATTTAAAATTATGAGCAAAGCCAACCTGGAGGTCTGGAGGAGATGCATGCAAACGTAGAATTTAACTGAAATAAAATGTTACTTTTTTAACAGTTTAACCAGTTTTTGCTTAATTTTATATACCAACCTCATGATTGTTTGACCACAACACTGAAACAACAGCAGAAATGTCCATTTTACCTGTTTATATCACTACTGTCTTTCACGGGGAAAGTCTTCCAAACCAAAATTGAACACTGCTTATATAAATAAATAAAGCTTTTGTATATACATATTTTTTTTTTATATATAAAATATACAACACATGATGGAAAAATAAAGAACAGCAGTTACCAAAAATCCTTCATTCTGAACCATTATTTTGAGAAGAATATCAACCACTCTTTGTTTCTGGGCTAGTCTACAACAAAAATAAAAACAACTATGAAAGACCAAATAAAATTATCATTAAGATCACAGAATATCCACTACTACTATTTTTTTTCCCTACTAAAATGGCTGAAATTCATCACCTATACCTTAAAAACAGCATTATTTTGGGGGAGAATATCATATAACTAAAATGAATTTTATCACATTTTGCAAATCAGTCATTCAAAAATGCATTGTAAATTTTGCACATCCAGTAGCAAATGTCATTTCATAACTCCATTATCTATTATTATATACTTAATTTTGAAGACAAACTAATTTAACATTAAATATATATTGATATACACGATTTTAAAGGCTTGATATATACATGTATCTCACATTTTCAAGTAACAGATTTTATTTAAAATTTTACATTTTTTTTACAAATTTTTAATTACCCAACTTCAGTGCAAAATTCCGGTTCCTCAAAAGCCTGAAAAGTAGAAATAAAGAATAAAGACATGCATTCAATTATATATTATTAAACATTAAAAAGAAGTGTTCAATAAAAAACGTATAAAAGTATGCAAACCTTTTAAAGCAGAAAATTACCCAAACAAACAAAGAACAGCTTGTATGACAGTAATAAAAAATGCTGATAACACCTAACACCCTCAAAAATTATATTTTACTTCAATGCTTGATTAATTTGTGTAAGGATTAGTATATTAGAGTTATTCCCCCCAAAAAAAGGGGGAAAGCAATGCAGAGATATGGTTTGTTTCACCAAACGGTTAAGCAACAAAACTATATTAAAATAAAGTAAATTTCTGAGAATTTGGAAGAACAACAGTCAAAATATACAATGTATTTTATAACTGAAGAGTAATTAAAACCTATTCTGACTGGACATGTCAGGGTAGATTAACAATCAAAATAATCAGCAGCTAGTCCCATTCTTATCTATCATTTCGACTAGAAAGCAAAAAGAATCTTTTCTCCAAAATAAATGAAAGAAATTACATTAATAAAATACAACTTTAAAAAGATGACATACTCATACTTTCCATAAGTACTTTATGAAAAAGGCAATTATAGTGAAGAAATAACATCCTGTGAGAAATATCAATGTGCTTTTTTTCCCCCTCCTATTTTGTACTTTATACTTTCAGTCTAATTTTAACTATCTAAATACAAAATACAGTACAAAGTCGGAGATCCAGACTCATCGGGACTTCGGTGATCCATGATTTAGGATTTTTCCAGATATTAGATCATCACTTTAAATCTACTAAGATGGCATAGAGAAATTATAAAATTAAAAATATGAAATCATGAGTTATGAAATAATGACGTATTTAAGATCTAAAGGGTATCAAAATTTACAAAAAAAATCTTAATATTTATTTTCTTTGTTAAATATTTCTTTCAATGTAAATTGTTTAAGTTGCTTCGTTTTTTGTGCTAATACTTTCTCTTGAATTTTATTGACAGATGTAATTTCTTGTTCAGTTACAAAGTTCTATTGTTCAAGTTCTGTAATTGCCGTGTTGAGAATCCTGATTAACTTATCAATCGAAATTTTTTCGTTTTCAATAAACTCTCCGTCACTTTCTTCACTATTGGTAGCGGTATTTTTTTGGATCTAGAGCCGTATTACATATTTCGCTATATGTTTGGGGCACTGTCAACACAATGAAAAACTTATGTTGCATAATCTTCATTTATTACCACTTCTCCACATTTCTTTACAAAATCCATCAATTGGAAAATTTCACCTTTGGTTTGCGATATTCGAAAACCTTCATATTCGTGGCTATCATCTTCATCAGCCTCACCATGAAATATAGCAGCTGGCCATAAATTATGCCAAGCATTTTTAAGGTGTCTGGATACACATCCTCCCATGATCTTGCAGTGCTCCACATAGCAGATTTTATGCTAAAATATTTTAAAAACTCTTGAATAGTCTTCATATTCAAGAAATTTAAAATGGACTTTAAAACTGCTACTTTATATTTGCATTTCAGCTCGTGCACTAATCCAATATCCATAGGCTGAATGATGGATGAACAATTTAGAGAACAGTTGTCTATGATCAAGATGATTTTTGCATCATCAGCTAATCCAACCAAATTCAAATGTTGCCGGACCTCGGGAATAAAATGATTTTCAAACCAATCATTCATTAACACTTGTGTCATCCATGCTGTTTTATTTGCAAGATATATCACGAGAAAATTTTTAAGCTGTGTTCACACTGGTCCGTTAGGACAAAAAGCGTCAACGTGGGGAAAAAAAAACGCTTTCCATGCGTTTCAGTTCACACCAGTGCGACAAACTTCGCTTTAAAAGTTGTCATATGCTCGCACTACATGGCGCTTCCTATTGGAAACTTGGGGGGGGGATGTGGAATTTTTGTGTGGTATTAACAATTACATTTTAAAATTAAAATGGATTTAATTTCTGCTCGATTCAAACTTATTTTACTCCCTGCTTTACTTCCCATAAAATCAGCTACATACTAGCGAGCTTTGTGTAAGAGAAGCAGAATGCAGTGGTTTATATTATTATGTGAGAGATGACTGTAGTAAGGAGTTGCAAATAATTTAATTGAAGAAATGTGCTTGAATGAAACGAAATTTCTTTTAATTACCTTCAAATGACACCTCATCAACTCTGAATTTCTATTGCTCATTGAACTAACAAAAAGAAGAACACTACTTTTTTCACTAATTATCATAATAATTCACTAATTTATTCAAAAAAAGAAGACTAATTTTTTGTCAGAATATCACAGAAAAGTCTCATTTGGATGATAGGAATAGGATATCCCAGAAAAGATTTGTTGTATATATCAAACACTGTATATATAGGATTTAATTTATTTATGAATTTTGTTGAATGATAATTGAAAAATCCTAATTGCATGATTCTATTTTGGAGAGTATATTTTTCATGGGGTAGAATACCATAAATGTTTTTGCATGATGTATGAACTTCCCTTAAATGCTTCCTTAAATAAACTTCCCTTAATTGGTTTAAATAATGCAATAAAAAATTATATTTTGTTTAAATATATGTAGGATTTACAGCATTACTAAATTAAATATCACACTTAAAAAACGCAGTTATTTTTAAGTTAATGAACAACAGCAATTTTTTTAAATATTTTTGATACTGCCTTATGTACATATTTTTTACCTTAAATGCAACAGTAATTACTTCAATTAGTCATTCATATATTAATGACAGCCACTATCTAAAGCTTTATTTTATACGGTCACTTTTATCTAAAACTTTTTGAAGTAATTGCCTTTTATATAATACTTCTTTTTCTGCATTAAAAATTGAATTCCACAATTAGCAAATTTGCTAATGCTCATGCAAAAGTTCTTTACATTAATGAAAAATTATCACAAGATTAAACCTGTCGAAAAGTGGTCATGCATACTAAGAAAAACAAACATGAAGCCCTTAAAATGCATAGAAGTATTCCATAAAATCAGCTACATACTAGCGAGCTTCTTTTCTGCATAAATAAAAGTTTTCTAAATTTTTTAAACAAATGGTTTACTCGTCACCACTCATTTAAAATTCATAACTCACTAAATTTTTTAATTAGATGAAACAGCAACTTAACACAGGGTTCATAGCCACACTTTAGTTAAAAATAAACACCTATAAGCACTTTTCAAGCACATTTTAAGAAAAAAAATAAGCACCTGTCTAATTACATTATACACAACTGCATAACCTTAAAAATTAGACTTGTAATTTAAAATATGAGAAATGCAGTATTTATTAAGAGAGAATAAGCATTACCTCAACCATGGAAAATAATTACTTTTTTTTAATTTTAATTAACAGTTCAATTTACAGAACTAGTTTACAATGAGAGAAAAAAAAAAACTATGCAGAACTAAACTATATTACAAGATTTAATGATGAAATTTTGGTTCAAAATATAGAAAAAAATTAATAATAAGGCATATTTATTGTATTTGCTTGGAACCTAATAATAAATACAATTTATTTTTCCACTCATATTGATATTTAAATAATTTAAATCTAAATTCTGAACATTTTCTAAATTTTCATTGTATATCAGTTTTCCCTTAACAGATATTGCAAGCAAAGTAATTTAAGTAAAAAAGAAGAACATTTCTGAAATCAGAAGACAGAAATTAGCTTCATGCAGTCATCCTTTAACAGTAAAAGCTTAACTAACCTGCATACTTGGAAATTGGCGAATATTCGGACAGTCGAGCGTAACTTGAAAAAGAGGAGCAGACGGGGGGGGGGGGGGGTAGACTGTAGCCGCTCTTTAGATTTTTTCCACTAAATAAATGCTTTTGACATTTTGATATGTGCATCATATAAAAATAAACCAATGGAACTGAAAAATATTCTGCTTAGCAAGCACAATAAAACTCTTTTAAGTGTTCATAAACAAATCTCAGACAGAACATCAAAATTAATTATCTCTGCAAAATATCGCACACGTTATTGCGCAATACGTGCGCCGTAATTCTACCCTATGTGATATTACGCAATCAGAATCAACAGCTGCCGGTATTGGGAGAATAAAGAAGTAAATAACTGGGGGTTTTTCATTCTAATTTTCAACAGACGGCATTAAATTTCCCGAATAGAATCATTCTTCGCTTGGGTTGGTAGACCGCAGAACTTTTAGTCCTATTCAATCCAGATTGAAAGTGACAAAAAAAAAAAGTCCAATCAAAGTCTTGTTTTTTGCAGCGAACTTGCAATGGTTTCAATATTCGAGATTTTGCGGAGAAAGGGGAGAACCTCCCAACCTTCGTACTGTATAATGTATTGGCCAAAAAAATGAAATTATTTTGACTATTCGATTACTTTCCCTTTATTTAAGCCATTCCGAATATTATTCTTTAGAAAGCTAATCTGTGTTAAAACACAACCATTTTTAGAAGTTTACTATACTTCAGCAGTTACTGCAACTATGTTATTATAAACATTCATACATATGCTCATAATATAAGCATAACGATCATAATAAATACGAATATGAACTGACCAAGCGGAACGAGAATGCAAATTATTAAGATCTTGATAGAAATTCAAGCGTGTGTAATATTTGGGTGGGAGGAAAAGAATGCCAAACGTAACGGAATTCTACTGCTTTCGCAATTCTTTGACCAATAGAACGATGGGCACCTGTCTGTACTCTTCGTGCACACCAAAGGTTATGTTAATGCAGAGAAAGGGGGAAAAGCTATTTCCGAGAGTATGATTCACCATTTGACATTCCATATTAAGAAGAAAAGTTGTTTATTTAGTTTCGGCTTTGGTACCAGGAAAAATAGCGTGTTCATTAAAAAAAGCACTAAAAGCAAAAAATAAGCACTAAAAACAAAAAAATAAGAGCTTTAAAGAAAAAGTAAGCACCTATAAGGGCCTTTATATTTTATTTTAAAATATAAGGACTTATAAGCACTTAGAAGGACTGCTACGAACCCTGTTAACAGCAGCAAACAGCAACTAATACCAGTATTGCTTTTGCTAGTCTTGTGTCAGCTGAAATAGAATCAGATCATAGTAGTCAGATCTTCTTATGAATTATACCAAAGGCTTATTTTAAAAAAAAGGATAACGCACACAATGCCAAGCGAAAATTAGGTTTATAAGAATGCTGAATGAAATGAAATGAAAAATAAGTGCAAGCTTCTTGTGTCCCCTCCTCCCGAAAAAAATTGCGGTAGGTTAAAAAAAAAGTATATTCGTACCATCAATCAAAGGTAGGAAAAAGCAAGGCCTGAACCCGCAATACATGTCCCTAGTAAAAGCTGAATTTTTTTACTTGAGTGTGTTACCTCCGTGCTAAGGTATCTTCCGGGTAAGCATAGTTTTCACACTTCACATTCAGCAAACTGAAGAAGCACCTGGGCTACTCTGAAGGTAGCCATAAAATTTTCTGTAAACATTTTTTTAATATCAATTCCATTATAACACCCTTCTGGTGATGAATCCAAAATCTTTAACTCAAGAAGCCAATGTTTTATCTACTAGGCAACAAGAGCAACCTTATACTGATGTAGATATATTTTAAGAAAAATTCAAAATCTGGGATTTCGAAATCCATCACTATTTTCTCGCAACAATCTGCTGCTTTAGATTATTCTGTAAAAATTATCAACCATATATCATTTATAGTTGATATTAAGGTTTATTACTGCTAATAAACTTGAGAATTTTCCTTTAAATAGTTTATAAAGCTATTTATTCTATTAGCATATGCATTTTTTTTTATTTAACATGAAATTTTTATTAACATTAGTTTATTTGTCCTTTTTTTTTTTCATCAAGAAGAATTTTTGAAAGTGCAATAATTAAAAATCATGGCATAAATTGGACGTTTAAAACAAGATGCCTGAAACTGACGCATTAAGCGTCAAAAAGTTGAAGTTAAGTCAACTTGCACAGTCTATGGTATGGCCATCTGGCAAATGCCGCCTCTGAACTCGCTTCTGATTGGTATCCTTACGTGCGGACGCATAACCGTGTTGGTGTGAACGCAGCTTTACTCCTTTAAATACTCAAGGTCTTGCATTTTTCTGATTAAGAAATGTTTATGCTTGTGTGTTCATGCAGCATTTGCACTTGCTAAAATTGTTAGCCTCAATATGGAATCTTTGAAACCAGCTGGAGCCTTTTCTGCATAGTTTGCCAAGGTATTTCTTACATATTTCCAGAAAAGACCAATTTTATCAGCACCATAAATTTGTTTTGAAGATAGCTTTTCACTGTTAGTGAGTTCAATAAATTCATCTGCAAACAGTTCAGCAGCTTCAGTATCAGCTGACAGTATAAGCTGTCATGAGATTGGCGACGAAGACAAGATGGTCCATTAAATTTTGTCTTGCTTCTATCACACACTGAGACAATTAAGCATGAATTCTATTATTTTAGCTATTTATTATACTTACGTCTATTTCTTGCACATGCTTAAGGCTTTTGCGAGTGCTGAATAAGTAAATTCCCACATATATTAAGGCTTTTTGAGGGTGAGCGCTAGATATCTTAATGCAAGATGCAGTCCCTGCGGGTCCTAAATTCTCCTACCAAGTGCCACCTCAAGTTCTAAATTTTTGCCGCCCCTAAATTTTGTGTCCTAGTACTTTCCCGAAATTCCAAAAATTTTGCCATTCTCTTAATTTTGTTGTTTGATGCTTCTCTAAATTCCACGAATTTTATCTTCCCTAAATTCCCGGTCCGGTGTGGCCATATGAACTCTTTTGTCAATTCTAGTTTCTGTGAATAACAAATCAGTTATTCTTAACTCAAATAGCACTAAATATAAGCTTTTGGTCTATGAGGGTCATTAACAAAATCTATTTTTTGCATATGGAGAGAAATTTTTGTTAAATGTTTTCCTTGTCAACATTTCTTAGCATATTTAACATGAATCTGTAATCATTGCCAAGCGTAATGTCAACAGAAAAGGTTACCATACTATTTGTTATTAAATTACTAATGTAAAAATAATTGTGTAGGAATCGCTGCATGAGTCATTACTCAAAATGTCATGAGCTGATAAACATGCAGTGATGAAAGCTAAACATAATAAATAATGATTTGCTAAGTTGGCATAAGGGGTATAAAATATTAGTTGGTGTAAAATCAATGATGTTTCTATGTAGAATGTTTTCATTTAAGATGTATACCAAGCAGGAGTCAAATTATTAGCACACAAATTATGCTTAATGATTGTTTCTTCAATTATGAGGTATTTTATTTAGTGCCCAAGTAAAGTTAAGAATTGGGACTCTCTGCATGTTTTATTATTGGGGGGGGATCAAATGCACATGCATAAAGCATACAAAAAAAAAAAATACATATAAGTTGGTGGCCTGTGAGGTCCGGATTTTAGATCATTCTGGATCTCGTACTGTGTACTGTACATACTGAAAATAAATTTTACCTTCCTTTTTCTAATAGTGTCCTCTGTTTTTATTGGAAAGGTTTTACATTTCAAAAATTATATTTGATAAGCCCTGAACGAAAATAATCAGACACATACAATGCTATATAAAAATTCTAAAGCCACTTATCCCCCCCCTAAGTTTCAGTTTCTAAAAGCATTATTGACCTTAGGTTTGCATTATAGGCATCATAAAACTGAAGAATTAAAAATAGCTGACATAATTTTCATAAATAATACAAAGCTTTCAAAATACATGACATCATTTTCATAAGCAATAGAATGAAAATTATAGTATTAAGCCATCATTCCAATTTCAGAAGAATTTCAAATATTCATTACAAACTAATGAATGCATACTGACTATGAAATCAGAAGATTTGTTAAGAATCTTTATAAAATTTTTGCAAAATTTACCAACTTGAACTCACCAATGCTAAAACATTTAAAAATTCTCTTGTATCAAAATGAAGTAGAGTTTTCAAATATGGATATATTTCAGTATCTGTTGTAAAAAAGTACAAGTTAGTAATCATGTAAAATATATATGAAGAATTAATTTCAAAACATGTCACACATAATTTTCAGATTTATATTCAGTCATGGCTCATTATATTAGGAAAAACTAAGCACTTAAATGTCTACAATTTTAATCTATATATTATGCAAACATACAGATGGAGGACAAAATAATGCAAACACCTGCGAAAAAGTATTATATATTTCACACCTGCAGTACAGCCGCGCCACCTGCAACAAAAGTCTGCCACCTAGTGAGCGTGAAGAGGAAGGTATCAGTCTCTCAACAGCAGTCACCTACGTTGCATGCTTTGATCAAACTGTCTGTGAGAAGTTGAAATGTCAGACCTGTCAGAGTTTCAAAGAGGGATGATACTTGGAGCGCGTTTAAGTGAAGCATCGGTTATGGAAACAGCAAACCTTGTGTGGTGTGCAAGAAGTATGGTATCAGCCATTATGACAGCGTACACGAAAGAGGGTAAGACGATGTCTTCAAAGCACAACAGTGGCCGAAAGTCAAAGCTGGCTGATAGGGATAGACGGGCCTTGAAGCACATAGTAGCCCAAAAGCACAAGCAATTGTTATCCGAGATAACATCTGAAATGAACAGTCATTTCCAGGACCCCATTTCAACAAAAACTGTCAAAAGGGAACTTCATGCTGCGAACATTTATGGCAGAGTGGCAATGCATAAACCCTTGGTGACAGCAACTAATGCTTTCAAGCGACGCGAGTGGTGCAGAGATCATAAAGGCTGATCCCCACAGCAGTGGCGACAGGTAATATGATCAAATGAATCATCATTCCCCCCATTTCAGATGACCAGAAGCGTTTATGTCTGGAGAACGTCCAAAAGAAGCGTTTCATCCTGACTGCCTCTTGCTGGCTGTGAAGCATGGGGGTGGCGCCATTATGGTATGGGGTGCGATATCTTTGCGTGGTCTTGGGCCACTTGTTATTCTGCATGGGAGGATCACATCTAATCACTATTTAAGCATTCCAGGGGATCATGCCCATCCTTTTGTCCAGACTGTATTCCCTGGAAAGTGACCACTTTTTCAAGACGACGCCCCTATCCACACTGCTAAGTGTATTCAAGAAGAGCACGACGATGCAATTGAACATCTTGCTTGGCCACCTCAGTCTCTAGACTTGAATATTATCGATGATTTATGGGCATATTTGGAATCCAAACTTTGTTCCTGATTTCCACCTCCATCCAGAGTTTTGGAATTAGAGACCGCTCTGCAGTAGGAATGGCTTAATATTCCTTTAAATATTGTCCATGACTTTTATGCATCTATAACACCCTGCATTCAATCTGTACTTCAGTCAAAGGGTGGTCCAGCCCCCTATTAATAAAGATTTTCCATTATTTCACAGGTGTTCCTATTATTTTGTCCTCCCTCTGTATATACAGTTAAACTAAGACTTATTCAAATCATACATGACCAAGAATAAAATTTTTTAAATTAATATTATTCATTAAAATGGAAGCCAATACAGCAGAGGCAGAAACTACTAGGGGAAAAAAACTGTTTAACTTTCTTTTCTCATATTAAGGTTAGACTTATCAGAGGGGCTTTGCTCTTTTTGCCCTAAGTTTTAACTTGGACTTTGCTGCAACAGGCAGTAAAGAAAAGACAACTAACTACATAATGACTCTGGAGCCACTGGCAGAAAGAAGTGTAATCCACCACCATATGCAATCCTATGTTCTTTCTAACTGTTCCATGCTACGTTTCAAAGGTCCATACTTCAAAGTTGATTGTTAAATTATTATTTTGGAAGAAAATTTCCTTCCAAGTTACAGCAGTCTTATAAATACTGCAGTATAAATATATGTAGCATCTAAATATACAAAGTAAAATGAGATGCAAATTAAAAAAAATTACACTATATGCAATAAATAAGAATTTATAATGGAATAATGAAATAATGAAGTATTTATAAAGGAAATCAGTTGTAATAACCCAAAACTGTTTTCAAGATTTTTTTCTTCAAATTTATATCAACATACAGTACAAAGTCCGAGATGTGGACTTGTTGGGACTTCGGAGATTCCAGATTTGGGATTTTTCCGGATATTAGATCATCAATTCAGAAGTCAAACAACAAAAATCAGTGTTATAATCAGCAAAACCGCAAATGAAGTTAAACAACTGAAGCCATTTGCGGTTTTGCAGCTGAGGATGGTGGTTCGGTAAAACCATCGAAACTGGTCCTGTGAAAATTTTGTAAATATAACGCTGATTTTTGTTGTTTGACTTCTGAATTAGTATTTATTCGGCATGTTATTGTGTCTTAATTAGATCATCAGTTTAAATCTAGAAAGATGCCACATAGAAATTATAAAACTAAAAATATGAAATCGTAATTTATGAAATATTGAAGCATTTATGATCTAAAGGGTATCAAAATTTGCTAAAAAAAGATTAATATTTATTTGTTTACTTTATTAAACATTTCCTTTAATGTAAATTGCTTAAGTTGCTTTGTTTTTTGTGCTCATACTTTCTCTTCAATTCTACAGACAGACATAATTTCTTGTTCAGTTACAAAGTTCCACTGTTCAAGTCCCGTAGTTGCTGTGTCAAGAACTCCAACTAACTTGTCAATCGAATTTTTTTTTTGTTGTTTTCAATAAGATCTCTGTTACTTTCATCACTATCGGGAGCGATATTTTAGGATCTAGAACCGTATTACACATTTTGCCATCTGTTTGGTCAAAAATTATTTTTTAAAGTACCTGGAGGCATATCCTCCTACGATTTTGTGATGCTCCACACAGCATATTTTATGCTAAAACATCCCAAAAATTCTTGAATAGTCATGCCATTATTCAAGAAATTTAACTTGAATTTTAAAAATGGTACTTTATATGTGAAATTCAGTAAGCACACTATCCCGATATCCATAGGCTCAATGATGGACATACAGTTTGGAGGAAAGAATAACACAAATACATTACCTTTCATTAAAACTTTAAGTGAGATATGAGCCGAACAGTTATCTACAATCAGGACAATTTTTGCATAATCAGATAAACCAATCATATTCAAATTTTGCCAAGCCTCGGGTATGAAATTATTTTCAAACCAATCACATATTAACGCTTGTGTTATCCATGCTCTTTTATTTGCATGATATATAATGGGAAAATCTTTACTCCTTTAAATGCTCCAGGTAGTGCATTTTTTCCGATTACGAAAAGTTTACACTCGTGTGTTGCTGCAGCATTTGCGTATGCTAAATTTGCTAGTCTAGCTTTGGAATCTTTGACACCAGCTGGAGCCTTTTCTGTAGAGGTTACCAAGGTATTGATTGCATGGTGCATATAGCCAAAGATCAGTTTCATTAGTGTTGTAAATTTGTCCTGGAGATAACATTTCACTATTAATGAGTTCAATGAATTCATCTGCAAATAGTTCAGCAGCTTCAGTATCAGCTGAACAGTTTTCATCTGAAATTTTCAATTGCATTATACCACGGAGATTTTAAAATTTGGTTAACCAATCTGTCGGCGACACTTTAGTGTTTAAGTGACAGATTCAAATTCGACAGATTTGAAGTTTTAAAGTTTATTTGTCTCAGTTTTTAAGTTTATTTCTTCATGAAATATTTTGGCTTGAGGCATTAGCATTGGACCTGTCAATGGCCCGCCCTCGCTGTGTCTCTGTATGGCCATTCAAATCATCACTTTGTTATGATCATCACATTTAGCATAAAGAATAATTTTTCTGTTATTAATTGTGAGTGGGATGTTGGAATCCACAAAAAATTCATAATGTTCCTTTTCTGTTATGTCATACACAGTTGACTTTCCAATGCCATACTTCTCACATAATTTGGAGAGGGATATACCAATATCCAATTTTTTTGCAGCAATTCCACTTTTTGTTTAATGGACATTGGAACATGCTTTCGTTTTGTAGATCCTGTTGCTTCAGAATTAGACACTCTTTTCGACACAATCGGAAGTTCAGATTTTAGTTTTCACAAATCTGCTGTAATTATAACAGCCTACAAAAAATAATAAGCTGAATCAAATCAGAAAGTTAATGAACAGCACAATCTGCTATATTAACTGAAATTGTTTGGGATCAGTAAGATATAATTTAAGCCTAGCTTAATAGCATTCACTATACATTATTGGCTATGTAGCATGAGATTGGCGACGAAAGACAAAATGTTCCATTAAATTTTGTCTTGCTTCTATTGCACACTGAGACAATTAAGCCCGAATTGTATTAATTTAGTTATTTATTATACTTACATCTAATTCTTGCAGATGCTTAAAGCTTCTCTGAGTCGTGAATAAATAAGTTTCCACATATCGTTAAGCTTACTGAAGGCCAGCGCTATATATTTTGCTCACATAGTCTCTGTGGTAATTCCCAGAGTTCTAAATTTTTCCCACCCCTTAATTTTGGGTTCCAATGCTTTCCCTAAATTCTAAAAATTTTTATCATTTTTAATTGTGCTACTCGGTGCTTCTCTAAATTCGAAAAATTCTGTCTTCCCTAAATTCTATCGCCCAGTGCAACCATGTGAGCTCTGGTGCCTGTTCTGGATTTATATGAATAAAAAATCAGTTAATAGCATTAAATGTAATCTTTTAGCCTATAAGCATCCTTAACAAAATAAATTTTTTACATGTGAAAAGAAATTTTTGTTAAATTTTTTCTCATCAACATTTCGCATATTATATATTTAAAAAAAAATTGTTCAGGCATCTCTGCATGAGTCATTACTCGTCATGCGTTGATAAACATACGGTAAAGGCAGCAAAATATAACAAATAATGATTCGCCAGGTTGGCATCAGGGATATAAAATATTAGCAGTTGTAAAATCAACTATGCTTCTATATAGAATGTTTCGGTTGAGATGTATGCCAAGCAGATACGCAGCCATGGAGCCAAATTATTGATTACACAAATTCATGCTAAAATGATTGTTTCTTCAATAATGAGGTATTTTATATAATGCCGAAGTGAAATTAAGAATTGGGATACTCCACATGTTTTCTTATGTGGAAAATCAATTGCACATGCATAAAGCATAAAAAAAAAAAAAAAAAATCCTTAAAAAAAAAAAGTGTTGATTGCTTTAAATTCCAGATTTAGATCATTCCAAATATTGGACATCCGGATCTTGGACTTTGTACTGTATTAGAAAGCATTAAGTACTATTTTCTCCAGTCTGTACACTAGAAACTATTCAAGAATGTAATTTGCTGTGTTTTTTCCTTATTGTCAACAATGACCCAATGCCATATTTACAAATAAGAAGATTATGCTTAATTTTGGATTCTAACTTGAAGAGAAATCCATTACATATGAAACAGATTACAGAGAAATAACCACAATCAAATATGTATAGCCTTACATATTTGAGCTAAAGGAAGTGGAGACATTTTGGATAGAGTTTTTACCAGAAACTTGCAGTAACTATTTTTGGCATAATGTAGCTAAAGGAAGAGAAAATAAACACAGATAAGAAGGAAATTAAATTATCCTATGCTGAATGAAATAATGTAAGCTGTGCTAATTTTAAATAACAAGCTTTCTTTTTAATAAGTCATCTGTTTTATCATAATCTTAATAATTTATTGTCTAATACCATTCTTTGAAGATAATTATGAGAGCTAGTATATATTAATTTCTTTATTCAACAAGATGTAAGGCAACCTGAAATACCAAAGCATACAATATTTAAAAATATTAGGATGGGCATCCAGGTTCTCAAAAGATTTAAAGCACACATTGATGACAGCTTGATAAAATTTATTTTCATAATAGAAACACTCTTCTAGAACTTTCCACAAAAACACTCATACAGCTCTTCTCAGTACCACACAGCATAATTAATAGTTAAACTACAAACTACTAATAATGTTAAAATACAACACAATCTAAAGTGCACCTAAAAGGCGAAGCTAGCATGGAAATCTCAATACTCCAAAGTCAAGTCTGAACTAAAAACTGAGAACTGATACTCACTTTGGTCTTATATAGTTTTCGCCTGGTTGCCGAGAGCTGGAAGACATTATGAGGGCCGGATATGGTTACAGTTGCATAAAGGATCAATTGCAGTTATTCAATTTATATACCCTTTACATGTATAGCGGACTGGACCAAAATATTGCCAAGTTTGGCGACTTTTGACGATTTCTCGCCAAATTTGGTAAGAAATTATGTCACTAAAACCATATTGCCAATTTAGTGAGGCAGCCATTTACCTCAGTGTTAAATATACTTAGCCCTGCAATTTTATTTTTCTGGCAGAGCTTCATCTCTTGAGGCACTCCATGTTACATATACAAAAAGTACTATAATTTTACATATAACTGGAATAAAATTGTTTATGTATGTACAAAATTCATAACATTACACACCACTGAAGTATAATGCTATTATGAAAGCTTTCTTTAAATGTATCATATTTCCATCTCAATTTCAAATTTATGTCCAATAAATATAATCATATATTTCTGTTCATTCTTTCAGTAAGCAAAATTTATTCAAAATGGGATTTTAATGCATATCATTTTCTTGCATCTTATCTCAAACTTAGGGAGATAATTTGAATGCATAAACATAATATAACAAGAGATTCAAAGAATCTATTTACCTTCCATATTTTTTCCATGCAAATTCGTGACACAGTGAAATACTTTAAATTTTACATCAGATGCCAATTCTTGAGGAATATCCCCCCATGGATATGCTCTTCCTGCCAAACAACAACTAAAATATAAAATTAACGAAACCAATTTAATTAATGTACATGGGATATACCTGGTACCAAATATACTCTATAAAAAATTTTCATTAATAAATTTAAAAAAAAAAGTAATTTACCTGATATATACCAGTAATTTATTTCCTAGCTTAATTTGATCATCAGTAAGTTGCTTTCCTCTTTTCACAGCTTTCTGAAGAATAACCATTAAATCCTACATGAAAATGATAAAGTCCAGCTTAAAATTCAGAGAAGGAAGGTTATTATAATACAACTTTGACAGTCATAGAATTAATGATTTATATAATATGAATTTAAGATAGAAGCCAATGGAAATTAATATGTTACACAATATAAGAGTTAACATTAGTCTCTGCCAGTTTAACTGTTAGCAACAAATAAACAAAAGCTTTTTTTCCTCTTCTCTCTTCTGCTCTCTTCTCTCTTCCATCCAAATGCTCTTCTTTTCAAATGTTTTACGGCAGCAATTTTTGTCATATATCTGATCTAACGCTGTTTATGATTTTTCAGAGCACTGATCAATTTGAGCAGGGAAAAAATGTAATGATGCCATTCGAAAATTTTAATTTTTTTTTTTTTTTTTATTGTGAAAGCTCTATTGTTTTATAGCATCACAATCTCAGGCACATACCTTCAAATAACAATACCATATGAATTTTATTTTGATTGCTTGAGAGAATAAGCCACTAGGGGATATATCGTAATATATCGGGGAAGTATTTTTATAATCATCCTCTACATAGCATTGCTCTAATATACAAATTTTGACCAAAATTCAAACTTTTTCTGAAATTATATGCAATTTTCTTCCCAAAGTTCTATTCTGTACCTCAAATTCTGCATGCATAAATAATAAATTTTATGAAAGCATGTCAGAGATATTTGCATGTTTGAAACTTGGTACTTATTTTCAACCTGATGACCCTCCCCACACACAAAAAAAAAATTCAACAATTCGTAAGCTTCTAATTTACATTAATTCTGACACTTAAAAAGAGAAAGAAAAAAAAAAAAAAAAAAAAAAAAAAACCTCAGTCAATGACTACAGTAAGACCCCGCTTAACGCTGTTTCGGTTTAGCACTCTTTTATTTCAACCCGGGGATTTCACGAAATCGCTCGCAGCATACGGGGATTTCCCGAAATATTATGCAGCGATAGGTTTCAAATACATATCCGAAAGAGTGTACTTGTATTTCTTGTTTGGTGCGGTATTGTACAGACATATTTTGAAGGGGTAAATGTGGAAGATGTCGAAGAAATAATTCAAGAAGCAGCGGCTAGTCTTTCTAATGATGAGCTCAAGGAATTAACTGAACAAGAAGAAAACAAAAATGTTGACAGCAGTGATTCAGAAGAAGAGCAAAAAGAACTTTCGATGGCGTTTGTAAAAAGGAGTTTGTCTACCATAACTGAAATAATGGATCAATTCATTGAAAATGATCCAAATTTTTTGACAGGAGCTCAAAAGTAAGGCGTGGTGTTAGAGATGCTCTATCCATTTATGAAGAACTTTTAAGAGAACAACGCAAAAGAAAAAGGCAAAACAACATTAGATGCTTTTGTCACAAAAAGGCAGAACACTGAAAACGCGGAAGGCTAACTAAATATGACTGACTGAGAATTTTATTTGTTTTTTTTTTTTTAAGAATATTCGTTTGTTATTTATATTTTGTTTTTATTTTTGCAAGAAATAATAATGTGGTATTAATTTGGGCTTTAAGAAATAAATGTTTGGTTTTATTTTTATTAAAAACACATACTTTTTAAATTTAATACCTAACCAATTTCCTAGCCATCTTCCCCTAACCCCAATATTTACATGTAAAGATAGCCTCGTTTAGCGCTGTTTCGCATTACGCTCTACTTTGATGGAACGTATCCCTCGCGTTAAGCGGGGTCTTACTGTATATGCTAAAATCTTTCAGACCTTTAAAACTCAGTTTATATATAAGCTTCAGCACTTTAAACACAAAATCTTTATATTTTTATAAAAATATTATAATTTTTTTAACTGCAATATTTTAAAAAAAAAAGTGGATTCCAGAAAAATAAAGACAGGATTTGCTAAAAAAGAAATTCTTTTAAATTAATTCTTTATTTAATTCTTTATTTGATGGATATTTTGATTTGTCCTAGAAGATGAAATTCTCCATAAAGAAGATGTAATTTGGTATAAAAGAAAATGTAAGTTATTATGAAATCTGAATGAATCTGAATATTATGAAGGTCACATTTGCATAAAGAATTAACTAAATACCAAATATGAATAGCTGTTATGAATTTTGTATAAAGTAACCTGAATGGCCTTCAGAAAGAAAAGCTTTGCCAGAAAAATAAGATTACAGGACCAAGTTAATTTAATATGGAAGTAAAAGGCTATCTCATTAAATTAGCGAGTTATCACCAAGCTCGTGATAGTTTTTGCAACTACTTTTTATCAAACAAATTTGGTGAGAAACAACTAAAAGTTACCAAACTTGGCAACCATTTAGTGACATTTGGGTCTGGCCCCTGCACAACTGTAATTGATCCTCACATACAACCGTAACCATATCTGGCCCTTACATGTAACAGTAACCATATATGACTTCCGGTACCTTCAAGAAATGGAAGGCACTAGAGATTTCTTGCAGGCTTGGAGAAAACTACATAAACCCAAAGAGAGTATCAGTTCTTAGTTTAGAGTAGACTGTGGAGTATTGAAAGATCAACATGTGAATTTTGCTCTTTAAATAAACTTTGCATTGTATTATGTTTAACGTTCTTAGTAGTTTCAAGTGGTAACTACTGACTGTGCTCTATTATACTGAGAAAAGCTGTATGAGTACTTTTGTGGAAAGTTCGAGAATTGCAAAGCATTTCTTTTGAAAAAATAAACTCTATCAAGCTATCATCAGTTCCACGTGCATTCAATCCACTATGAACCTGTAGGCAAGCAACATTTTTAGTGTTAGAAGTGGGGCTGAACGCTGGTGACCACAGCGATGGATGAACAACTAAGACAGCTGGTGACAGCCTTTGCTGCATTCCAGGAAGAGATGAAAGGGGCTGTCAAGTCTGATTAAGAAGAAATGGAAGCAGGTTAAGAAAAGATGGAAAAGGATGTCAAATCAGTTCAAGAAAAGATGGAAGTGGGCCAAGAAGAAACAAAAAGAGAAATTACAGCCATAATAGAAAATTATTTTGAGGCTATGGAAGGCAGAATATCAGGAAAGAAAATTGGAGAAGTTGAAGAAAGAGTTTCTGCTGTCAAGCAACAAATTGAAGAAAGCGTTTCTGCTGTAGAACAACAAATCAATGAAGAGTTTCCACTGATGTCACCAAGGAAGTGTATACCTTGAAGAAGTCCACAGTGACAGCTGGATATAATTCCGATGCCTTTAAATTCATACCTGTATCTTCCTAACCTTCTCTAAAGCTATCCTTGCATGATGAAGAGACCTCTTGACAAGGTCCAAGACTCAGTTCTATATAATGGCAAATGCAAATGGATAGGACTCCAAAACTAAGGCCTCCCATCTCGTCATCTCTGACAACAAACGCAAACTCTGCCCCAAAACTGGAGGCTAGATTTTGAAGCTCTATCCAGCGTATTGGAGTTGCGCTTTGGAGAGATGAGTTAAAAGACTATGCAAACGTTAGTTCAAATCTCCCCAAAAGATGATCATGGAAACACTCCAAGAGATTACCATGGATGTTCAAAGTTTGTCTCATTTCGCCATTTCAGATTGCCTAACAGAAAGAAAGAAAATTTGGTCCCAGTGCTTCATTGGTGGCATCTGGGATCCTGAGATACAGAAAGTCCTGTGAATGCCAGATGTCAAGGATCTAAAAAGCGCTTTAATGTATGCCATGAAATTCGAGGCACCCCAGTAAGTAACCTATAGAGATTGCCACTTAATCAGAGTTGCTCATGTTCAGGAGCTAGTGGATCAACAGGCTGCTCATCTAGACAATTTAACCAGACAATGCCTTGAGGCAGAACAGGAGTGACAACCAACTGACTCTAATATGGTAGAACTGTAATGGTGAAGGAACTGCAGAACACATCAAGGCATGGAAGCTAAGAGTGCTCCCAAGCAAAAAGGCAGGAAACAAATTGGTGGCCATCTTGTGGAACGGAGGTTGTTAAATAGAGAGAAACTCCATTTTAAAGCGCTTCAGATTTCTGCAATGAATGGTTGCAATAATGGACTCTTCATCATAGGACATATAAATAGATTTCCCTGCAATATGACCATCGATACAGGAGCTTATGTTAGCACAATTTGAAAAAATTTGGCGTAACAATTGGAAGGTAAACTCACATGGAAGACTCCTGCGTTACCCTCCAGATTGTGTCCAGGCATAAAATCAACATTGATGAAAAATTATACTTTAACATCACATTTGGAAGCACTGCCTACCATCACATTGCATTATGTGACAATTATTACAGATCTGCGACTACTTGGATTAGACTTTGAAAGAAATACAATATTGCACGAATAACGAACTGCATTCTGCCTTTGAGGATATAACCCTATTTGGAATTAAAGATGAATCCACCAAATCACAGCTCAAGACTATATCACAGTACAGGCAAGAACACAAATTTTACTTCCTTGATTCATAGCTGAAAATATAAATTTTCGGTATGGCATAATGGAATATTCTAAGAACTGTAACAACCCAAATGAGTACTATTAGCCTCAGCACTCATTGACCTAACAAGAAGTATCATCCCAGTGAAAATTGCCACAAGTGATAAAGCAAACGTCATTAAGAAAGACAAAATGGTTGCAGCACGTATTACAGTTACCTACATTACATGAACCAGTATCCTCCAGTCCTCAGCCTTCAGAATGCCTAATATTGGAGTTATTGAAGAATGTATGATTAAACGATGAAGAGGAGCCCACCAGCAACTGAGCGAAAAAGTTGCTGAACACTGATAGTTCGGTCCGAGGTTTGAATTCTGTGAACGGGCTGGCTGCATGGGCGTTTTTGTGGTTTTCCCCATGTGTAACGTGTATACGAGCCAGTTTCCCTTAGAAAGTCCTCCATGAAGGCATCCCTTCCCTTAGGCAGATAGACCCTAGTGTGCTTTGCCGTAATCTCAATAAACCAAACGATGATGAGACGAGTGCTGCAGAATGAGTCATTCAAGAGTTTGAAGAGGTTTTCTCCTATACATCTTCTAATGTAGGTTGATGCACTTTGGGACAGGTTCTTGGGCCTCTCCTATCATTCTGGACAGAAAGAAAGATGTTTCCACTATATTTTGCATTGACTGACAACATTCGGTTATGGAAGTTACTTTTGCATATGTTTCATGAATTTTTAATGTACGAAAAATGGATACCGCCCGGTGGTGAAGTGGCTAGCGCATTGCGCAGCTGCACCACATGCCTGGGGTTTGATACCCAGGCTGGGCAAGGTTGACTCAGCCTTTCATTCCTTGAGTGGGTCGATAAAATGAGTATCAAGTTCACTTGGGGACTAAACACCCGGGGTCCTGCGACAAGCTGACCACTTGCCCAGGCCATATGCTGATGTAACCCAGGGCCCAAGGTCAAGAAAGCAGGTTTGGGGGCACTTCAGGCCGTGGCCCACTAGGGCTGTTATGCCACTAAGTTTAGTTTTTTACAAATGGATATAATGCCTAAAAAGAGAGAAAAGATTACAGCACTTAACAATCCCACATCCATGGCTGTAACAAATATTGCCTCCATGCTTGGTGTTGGAAAATCGAGCGTTTCTGGAATTCTGAAAAGGCACAATGAAACTGCATAATTTTTCTCGAAAGGATGGGGAAAATGTAGAAGGCAAAGAAAAAAACTCAAATCTGGTGAATTTCTACCCCAAAATGGCATAATTAATTCAATAGAAACTAGGAAAGATCTTTATTTAGGTTAGAGATATTCATCCTTTAAATGTGCAGTATAGACTCATAGCGGGTTGGAAAGTGAGAAAGCATATTAAAAAATAACTTATAACCTATCAAATGAAGTAAACTGTTTATTGTGCCCCCCGAAAAAATACAAATCTCGGACTACAAGTGACTGGGAAAAGGTCATTTTCAGTGATAAGAATTATTTATTTATTCACGGTTACACATCTAACATTGTTAGATAAAGCAGGAGTGAATCAATAAGGCCTCAACCTACCCAACAAACCATAAAATACCCCCCCCCAAAAAAAACAAATGTTTTGGTATTTTTAACTGGAGATGGCACTGGAAATCTAGTTCCTATTCATAGGATGATGAACTCATTGAAGCATATAGAAATTTTAAAACATAGATTTGAGCCATTCTCGAAAACCTTTGCAGAGCATTTCAGCATGACTTGGCTCCATGCTATAATTCAAAATTCATCAGAAGGTTCTTGTTGGAAAACAAAATTACTGTGCTAGACTGGCCTAGAAATTCATCAGCCTCAAATCTGATCGAAAACTTAGGCACATTCTCAAGGAATAATTTAGCAAAATGGATTGTACAACAAAAGAGTACATAATTCTGAATGCTAGAAAAGTGTGGTTCCACGATGAAGTAAAACCTATAAGGACAAGACTAGTAGAGTCAATGCTTAAGCATATTATAGAGCTAATATGTGCTAAAGAAGGACATATTTTCTAGTAATTTTATTATTATCATTGTATATGAAGGTATGAATATAAATTTCCAAAAAAATATCACTTTGTCCCAATTAATTTGCTCATTATAGTATGTAGAAGATCAAAACAGATTCCCAAACTTCTTTCAATAAGCAGTATTACACACCTTCCAACAATTACTCATAGATCAAGAGAATATGTGCAAAACTTTTTTTGCCTACAGAAGGGTCATTCAGCTGCTCTAGTAATTCTTGCAAAAAATTGGCATCATATTAAATGGGGTCAGATAAAATGAGTCAATGGGGGTAAAATATCTAAGGTCCCAGAAGATGAAATAAATAGCAGACATGTTGACTGATCATTATCGCTAAATGACAGATTTGCCCAAGCTAAGTTACTGTAAGAAAAAAAAAAAAAAAAAAAAAAAAGATCTGCTTAGATACTTTCAAATATTAAAGTTACAATTTTTGGAAGAACCATCATGCTGAAACTACTTGTGTCAGTAAATAACTGCAAGTTCATCACGCAGCATCAAATGCAATTTAATGGAAAAGATTCAAATTTAAAAAATAAGAAATATACAAAAGCACATGGCATAATAAATTGTTTTTCTTCATATGTTTCCATGTTTAAAGACATTTACTTCGTTCTCTCATATTTCTAATAAAATTTTTAAAAAAATCATTTCTTTTGCCTTTGATCCTCATTTTTTTCATGAAGTTTCATATCAATAGAACTTCAAAAGATCAGAATATAAATAACTAAAAAAAGAAATGAGTCAGAAAAAATTAAACATGACATGAAGAATAATATATATAAAAGTACAGACATAAAGAATAAAGGTGAATAAGTATTGCTAAGAGCATACAGTAAAACTAAATGAAAAATAACTTTTAAATATTTTATCATCAGCCTCTACTGTTACAAATCTAATTTGGAGACATTACACAAATATTTACCTCAAATGGTGTGACATAATCTATCATTCCATGATTATATATATAAATAATTGCATCATATAGTCCTTCATTCCAGCATAAAGTCATAACCTAAACATGACAATATTTGTAAGAAAGAAAAAATAGTTTTATTAATAAACATAAACTATTTTTTGAACTATAAAAAAATTCAAATGCAATTAAAATTTTGAATTTTAATAATTTTAAATTATTGAAAAATGTCAAACTCATTTAATTATGTATGAATAAATATGAATAGTTAAGCAAGAATAAATATTTTAATTAAAATTTTAGTATCACAAAAAATGTTATAACGTGTTAGTGTAATAAATGTTAATGCCGTTTCTTTTGGCTGTGGTTTAATTACTATACTTCCAAATACCATACATTTATATTTCATTGGCATATTGAATAATCCTTTAAAAACATTTTCTTTATCTACATAAACTCAATTTCAAAAACATTTTCTTTATCTACATAAACTTAATTTCAAAAACATTTTCTTTATTTACATACACACATACTGTAATCATTACTTAATTACTAATTCTAGAAAGGTAACAGTAACATATAAAAAAAGAAGAACACTATAATTTGCATAATGTAATTAAAAAACACCTTGGAAGACTTTAACAAATTAAATGAAAATAAAGATAGTATAAACTTTTTTTCCCCAACAGCAGGCCCTCAGCTGACTTCCGCTTGGCCACTACTAAGGCCAAAAGTGGTGGTGACTTTATTATGAAGGCCACCTTTACCTACTATGAAGGGACAAACGGTTACAACCAGGCCTCCTTGGGGATTCGAACCCAAGCCCTTTGGTATCTTAGCCAGCTCTCCTAACCACTACACTATCTGGGCGGCTGATAGCATACACATTATCAAACAGATACTTCATATTAAAACAATAGCTATGATTTACCAAAACAAGCAAATTTAAAACAAGCACCTTATTTGATTTTTAGACTTAGTTCAGATGGCTTGTAATATCATTCATCATTATTTAATTTTTCTTTAATATTGGCCATTTTTAAATGTGAACATAAAAATAAGTAGTGTTTTACTCTTTTTTTTTTTTATCTCAAAAGCAAGAAATAAATAATACTAAACGAGAATGTTAAAATTATCCCGAAATGAAATTATGCACTGGAAGAAATGTACTTCAAGATGCTGTGTGAAAATCTTCAGGAGGGGAAAATCTTCATGTGGTAATAGGTTTTGTTTGTTTTTTTAATCTTCGTGTGGTAATAGGTTTCAGGATTCCTTTTCTTACCATAACGCTTTTCATGTATTACTGGGTAGAAAAACTTGTAACAACTACTGATTGACACAACTACATGGAAGAAGTGTATTTTTTGTTTCTAATCAATCACTTGTAAGCTAAAATTGATAGATCTGAAAAAACTATCCAAGATTGACAAAAGTTTTTTTGTCACACAAAAGGACAACATGAGCAAAGTTTTGCCAAAACCACGGGCCTTCAGATGAATATGTACAGAAAAAAACTGATATTTCCCAATGCAAATACCGAACAGATATGCTGAAATCCTAATCAAGATAATCAAAGAACATATGCATAAAGGAAGAGCAATATTCAAAATTTTTGCCATGCTTATCAAAACAAGAATTTTGAAAAGGCTAGTTTCCTATATTTTTTAAGTGAATCACAAGTATAACTTTACAGATCTAATATCTGATGCATAAATGTAGTAAATGAAATGACTTTGGAATCCCCTCAAATAGTGCACCAAATGAGAAAATAGAATGCATTATCAATACCTGCATTCATATTTATGAGAATTTGCATGACAATAAAATATTTGATTCTCTGATAGCAGTTAAAGCCAAATTACGGCCATTAGAAAGTTGTTATTGCTCATCGGCTGTACCTTTTTAAGAACTGCCATAATACATAGGGGAGTCAACTGAAAACCATAAAAGTAGAAATAAAAATCCGCATATGGCGCCAGTGAGCCGTAAGTTGGCATGCCTGTTTACGATAGTATGCCAGATGTCTAATAGGTGGCAGCAGCCGGTAGATGCACAAAAACCAGCACAACAACAGTTCCAAAATGGCAGCCCCACTAGCCACATGCACCAGCGTTCTGTGATTCGGTTTTTGCGAAGTGAAGGTGTGAAACCGATTGACATTTTTAGGCGAATGAAGGTTCAGTATGGAGATACGTGTTTGTCACAGCCACAAATCTATGAATGGTGCCGGAAATTTGCCATGGTGTTACGTCCGTGGCCGATGCTCCATGCCCTGGCCAGGCTCGGTGTGTAGTGACTCCAGAGACCATTTCAGCCGTTGAAGCTATCGTTTTGGAAAATCGTCGTGTGACAATAGATGAAATTGCAGCATGTGTACACATGAGTCATGGATCGGCACATCATATTGTGCATGATGTTCTCCAGTTTCATAAGGTGTCTGCAAGATGGGTGCCCCGACCACTGATGCCTGAACTGACGTGTTGATGCGTGCAAAGACCTTTTGTGGCGTGCTGAACGTGATGGTAATGACTTCCTGTCACGAATCGTCACTGGTGACGAAACATGGGTGCATTGCCATCAGCCTGAAACAAAGCGAGCGAGCAAAGAGTGGCGCCACTCCTCATCACCGAAAACCAAAAAGTTTCGGACACAGCCGTCTTCAGGGAACGTTATGCTGACCCTCTTTTGGGACGAAAAAGGCATCATCTTGGAACACTACACCCCACAAGGAACTTCTGTGACGAGTGCTACGTACTCGGACCTCCTAAAAAATCATCTCCGGCCTGCCATCAAAATGAAACGATGTGGATTGCTGTCAGCCGGTGTGCTGCTGCAACACGACAATGCACGGCCCCATACGGCACGTACAACGGTTGCGACCATCACAGACCTGAAATTTGAATACTTCCCACATCCCCCTTACTCGCCAGACTTCGCACCGAGTGATTTCCATCTGTTTGGTCCGCTCAAAGAAGCAATGAGCGGCAGGAAGTTCCACTCCAATGAAGAGGTACGCAACGCGGTGCACAAGTGGTTGCGGTGTCGCCCAAAAGACTTTTTTTTCTGCACGTATTCAGGCTCTTCCGAAGCGCTGGCGGACTTGCATTGAATGAGGAGAGGACTATGTTGAAAAGTGATTTACTTCTGTACCCTGTGTGACCAATAAATAATATTAAAAAAATAATTATGGTTTTCATTGACTCCCCCTTGTATTTTCAGTTTTTTTAATTTAATCTATTTTTAATGTTGCCAAAGCAGTTGCCATTTTTTAAATAAGGAATTACAGAAAATCTTTTAACTAGTTCCTTTAATTATATCACGTAAATTTATTTAATGCATGAAAAACAGATCAGCAAAATATATATTATGCATTCATTAAAATACATAAAATAAATTTTTTACATTCTGTTAGTCCTTTACTGTTTTAACTTCTGAAATCACTGCACTTCTTAAAAAATAAAATGATGAATTAATTTAAATAATCAAAATGTATTTAGAATAATTTATTTTTTAATAATGGCAATGAAAACTGTTGTATGGAATAAATGTTCATATTCCATCAAAAACTAAAAAAACATCAGATGTCAAATATAAAAACATACCTGATGAATATCCAGACTTGCAATATCTAAACGTACAATACAAGCTTCTAAAGCATTATACTTTTTTTTCTCAGAAAAGTGATCAACAAATTCTTTGACAATTTGAGGAGTCATTGATTTTAGACGTCCATCTAAAATATATGGTTCTAGACTTTCTAAAAATACTCCAAGAGCCAATGGATCAGCCTGAAAGCTTTCATACATCTTCCCAAAAAGGAAATCCCTAAGAAACATATCTTTCATTCAGCAGAAATAAAACTTAAAATAATTACTTTGGCAATAAACTAAATATGTAAAATTCTAAAAATGAATTAAATATAACTAAAAAACAAATTGAACTTAATATGTACCATTAATTTTCATAACCAGATAAAATAAATCTTAAAGGTATTTACAGTTACAAAAATCAAATCTCAAATGCTGTGAGAATTTAAAATTCAGAAATATATGATAAGCATATCACATCTAGAGAACAAAACAGCTTTTATAGTGGTAAATCAAAAACAAAGTATTCTTGCAAGCTCTGTTAATTATATGATTATCAAATCAATCATGCCTCGAAATTTTGCCATGCTGCTGCAAATTTTGATAGGTAAAAATTTGTGTCAACTTCAAAATATCTTTTAAATGCCATACTTTCTCAGTACATTTAGTAAATAAGCAATATATATATATGTCATGCTATGAGCAAAACAAGGAAAAGCCAGAGCAATGTCGATGCGTGCTTAGATCCATATTGAAGAAGAATTTTGATTGCGTAGTATTAAAGAACTTGGCAGTCGAGGCAGTTTTAATTCCATTTTTATTTCCAATTGATATTTGTGGCCACAATCACTTGGCACTCTAGTCGTGCCTTTCCACAGAAGATTTACATTTTTGATATTGTTGGGATAGAAAGCAAGCTAGCGAAATTACATCTTAGCACAGCACAGAGCTAAAGCTGAAGTGCATAGTTATGAAAGATGGAAGCACGCGAAGAGAAAAGTTTTCGTTTACATTTCGGTGATTGGTCGTCAAGAGGCATCTGGTATTAACGGTTACGTAAGATCGCATGATTAATTTGAATGACGCAATGCAGATAAGTTATTATGATTTTAGAATAGAGAGGAAAAATTAATGTTTATAGTTATATTATAATTCTGATTCATACATTTTTATCTTACATATATATATATATGGGAAAAATGGCATAAAGGTCATAGATAATAATGGTCAATATGTACTTAATTAAAATTGATTTTCAATAAAGAAAATGTTTGTTAAAATATGTACCAAAAAAGCATGGAGACTTTTTATATGACCCTATATATATATATTTCTGTGTAATGCACCCATTACACTTACATATATAAATAAGCAATTCTTAATCTTAATTTTGAAAGCACCTAAAACATAAACTGTTGCTTAAATATTTTCATCCAAATTACATTTAAGAAAATGAACTTTGATATTTAAGTGTTTCAACTATATTGTTACGTTATTTTCTTCCTTCACGTTCGTACGGGGTTCGTAGATTTGGAGGGAATAACGACGACACTTGATGAAGTATCGAAACACACTTTATTTAGCCAATATTAATCAGGACAGCTCCAATAACACTTTTTCTAGTCGTCAAAGATCTACTATAAATGCGCTGGAACAATCAGCGGCACAGCACTGTCAGGCAATAACAGTGGAGACAGCTTCACCGCAAAGCACCAGAATACAGCTTCCAACTCTGTTTGATCATTCTAAGAACTCCACGTACTCTCAAGACTCTCCACGTGATGCACTCGACGACGATACACAAGAGTATAGCTCTTGACTCAGCACAGTCTAAGACAAAACTCGACGATGCACTTAAAGACTCTCCTGATGCACTCAACGACCAACTCGGCGCTAGACACTCGCTTAATGACTATCAGCTCGCTAGACAAGGCACACACACTCGATACTAACCGACTGCGGACCAGCAGGGTTTATATAGCTTTTGGCTTGTGTTCGAGAACATTCTGAATAAACTGGTAAGAATTCGTTCTAGAAGGCTCTTCACGTCCATGCGATATCGCCAATTTTGTTGCCAAATATCGCCAAATGGACGATTTCTCGCCAAATGTGTCAACCCTCCCTTTCCTTGCCATGTTATAGCAACCCTAAAACTGCTTTGTGGGGAAGCAAAGTTACCGCACCTGTACATTTCGTAACACTGCCCCCTCTCAAGGACTGCACGTCCCGGGCAGTACAACCCTTGGTCAGAAGCCAACTTCGATACAATCAAAACATAAAACAAACAAGTAACATAACTAAAGAAACAAATATTTACACTACATACAAGTTATATACGCAAATTAAACACATCACAATTTTAAATTAAATTTCATAATGAATTTCAGTCTCAGTCTTTTCATTAAAATATACCCGGGTCAAATACCTTTCCACTGCAGTTCTCAGATGTATTTCTGTTTTGCATATCACAGTCTGAAGATTCAGTCCTTTCAGACTTATCATCCACAGGAAGATGTGAAACAGCTTGTTCACCACTCTGCAGTTCATTCGCAGCATGCATACAGCTCAACTCGGTATTTTTAGCAGATGGTACATACTCGTATACCCCAGTTTCCTGGAAAGCAGCTTCAAATTCTGCATCAAAGTCATGAACGGAATCCGATTCTTTATAAACAGAAGCATCCTGGTTTAGAATCAAGTCCTTGTCTGCACAATCAGCACTATGAGACGCACCCATAGTTTGTGAGGTAGGTGAATTTTCTTGCAATACTGGAGCACACTGCTTCAGCTGTACATCAGCTTCTTCAATCTCAGCATCACATGAACTTTCAGATAGTTCAACACTTGCTGATTGCATTTTCATAACTTCACTATCGGTTTCGAAGAACTTAAATGTCGCATTTTCACTTTCTTCTACTTCCACTTCAGGCACTTGAGAAAAACTTGTTTCTTGTCTTTCATTTCTTCATGTTTTCGCTCTTTTTCGTTAATCCCGTTAGATGCTTCATCCATCATTTCTAGAATCTTTCTTAGACAGTTCATTAGCTACTTCTTTAAATTCCTCATCCTTTGATTCTTCAGATGCCACTTCTCTAATTTCCACACCGTCTTTTATGGATCCAGTTTCTTCTGGAAGCTCGACTTTCACCTGTTGGAGTTGCTCTCGGACCTTTTCTTGGCCGACATTTATTTCTTCTCGTCAGGTTTTCTTCTTCCAGGGCTTTCATCTCAGCCCTCTTCTTGTCAAAGAGGTCCATCAAAGTCCTTGTTTCCTCCGCCATAGCTTTCCTCTGCAGGCGGGTCACTGGCATTCACTCGCAAACGCCGCTCCTGACACCAGTTGTTGTGTTATACCACTTCTGACACCAGTTTTTGCGTTTTTCTTCTTCTGTCACCAGTTGTATGGGGTTCGTAGATTTGGAGTGAATAACGACGACACTTGATGAAGTATCGAAACACACTTTATTTAGCCAATATTAATCAGGACAGCTCCAATAACACTTTTTCTAGTCGTCAAAGATCTACTATAAACATGCTGGAACAATCAGCGGCACAGCACTGTCAGGCAATAACAGTGGAGACAACTTCATCGCAAAGCTTCCGACTCTGTTTGGTCATTCTCGGAACTCCACGTACTCTCGAGACTCTCCACCTGATGCACTCGACGATACACAAGAGTATAGCTCTTGACTCAGCACAGTCTAAGACAAAAATCGATGATGCACTAATTCACGATGCACTCGACGACCAACTTGGCGCTAGACTTCGAGACACTCGCTCAATGACTATCAGCTCGCTAGACAAGGCACACACACTCGATACTAACTGACTGCGGACCAGCAGGGTTTATATAGCTTTCGGCTTGTGTTCGAGAACATTTTGGATAAACCGGTAAGAATACGTTCCAGAAGGCTCTTCATCCATCCATGGGATATCGCCAAATAGACGATTTCTTGGCAAATGTGGCAACCCTGCCTTCCCTTGCCATGTTATGGCAAACCTAAAACTGCTTTGCGAGGAAGCAAACTTACCGCGCCTGTACATTTCGTAACAATATATTTCTTTTACTAGATTTTGTTTGCATCGTCTTTACAAATAAAAAAAGTGTTTTAAAAAACTATATTCTTAAATTCATTTTTCATTAAGCATAGCATTCAAACTTTTAATTAATAACTTCTCAGATTAAGCGCCCCAATTTTCAGTGCTGATAAATGAAAGATCTGAGGGACTTGAGATTTGAATGATTTCATAAATTTTTAGAATTTAGATACAAGAAAATTTAGGAATTATTTCCTCTCTAACATAGATAAATATAATCAAAATGGCATACGGAATATGCTATGAAGTTAAAAAATGTTAAATTTTTACAATTATACAGTTAGCACTAATTTTTAATCTTTTTTTTTTTTTTTTTTGCTTAATCGCAGAGCACTTTATTAGCCATTAGACCACTACAAGGGCCGGAAGTGGTGGCCTCCACCGTCTCCTATGAAGGGACAGACAGTTACAACCAAGCCTTCAGTATTCAAACCCGGGCGCATTGCTACAGCAGTCAGGGTCACTAACCATTATGTCAGCTGGGCGGCAATTTGTAATTTTATAATGTTAATTTTGAAATACAAAAATAAAACTAATAAAAAAATTAAGTAAGAAATTTCTCTTCCTAAAAGCTGAAGACAGAAAATTATCTCACACTGTTTTACTTAATAATGCATTAGATACATAAAGTAAATTCAGTTTTAACTTATATTCAGAATGAAACATTCAAAATTTACATTTTCAATAATTAAATCTATAACTAAAAATTTAATAGTAAATAACATCAATGTAAGCAACTTACAACTTAGTTACAGGGAATTAAAAATAAGAGGATTTGTTATTACCTCCTTTCTACTGCTATACAATAATCAACACAAACTGGCACTTTTTCTTGATAATGATGCATTAATAATTCTATTCTTCCTCTTTCTGGACAAAGTTGTGTCATTATTTGGTCAACATATATACTAAGTATTTCAATAATTTTTGTGGCAACAAGCTCTCGCCTTTGTGATTTCTTTCCAATTAAGCCTAGGGATAAAATAAATTTTAAAATATTTTGATACCTTCTAATTATGGAAGTAGAATTAGAATTTCTCAAATATTTATGATATAACTTTAAAATTTCATGCTTATCAAACATATCAGAAAACTGAGGAAAAATAACATTACTGAAAAATTTTACCCATATTTATTCTACTATAACAAAAAAGCAACTGAAATTAAAATAATGAAATGGTTTATTAACTTTCAAATCTTTTCACAGGTTTGGGATGCTTTGAAGGTCATGAAAATGCACAGAAGTAAAATAAAATCTGCTGTCCAACAAACAGGACGACGTGCTTCAAGGAATAACTAAAATATTTCAATATGAATTTTTTTTTACCTACATAAATTTAAGCCAACATTTGGCAAATACTCCCCCCTCCCATTCATATCTACATCTCTTACTCTCATTATACAGTTTGAGGAATCATGTGAAAATTGAGAAACTCTTTTTCCCCTTTTAGATAACTTCTCAAACGTATTTTATGAAAGTTTATTTGTCTAGATACTCCCCAGCTATTCTCATTCTTCAGACTTCCCCATCAGTTTTTTTCATACATACAGCATCGCTCCCTCATTTCAATTTCGACCTGCTATATTTAATCCAGATATTGAACTTTTTCCAATCAAAGTTTTTAATGCAATTGCAGTGGCATTTTTATACTAAAATACACTCATTTGTGTTAGAGATTGCTATGCTTTTCAGAGACGGAAATATGAAAAATCCTCTGTGTATTAACCAGGAATCACACAATAAACCAATGATCTTAAACTGACAGCCCACAGCAAATCTCAAACTGGCCCCATAGCAATTTTATGTGGCCTGCGAATACATTTCCCACAAATCAATTGACATTATTATGACATTACTTATTATGGCAAGAATTTGAAGAAAGGTTTAAGATTATTTTCATTACCATTAAAAAAGAATGTGAGCATCACTCCATAAAAATCTACAAATGGAGCTAATTGATTTATACTCTGATATAAACATTATTCAAATAGTTAAAGATACATATGTGATTAACTTTTTTTCATCCTTGCCAAAAGACAAGTACCCTTTTGATGCAAATTTTTGCAATAAGAATAATTACTTTGTTTGGAAATGCATTTATACATGAACAGTTTTTTTTTTTTTTTTTCCATTTGAAAATTAGTCTATAAAAAGAACCAAGCTGATAATGAGCATCTATAATTTATGACAAAGACAGCTGCAAGTAATTCTATGAGTAGCTTATTTTACTCCAAAGTTACAAACTTTACCAAAATTGAAAGGCCACGAGTCTTTCAAGTATCTGAAGAGTTGTAATACAAAATAACGAAGTCATACATTATTTTTGAAGCATGCAGAAAAAGTTATTATATTTACATACAAGCATATGTATTTTTTCTGCATGTGACAAAAAATTTTAACAAATAAAAGAAAAAGAATCTATTGTCATTATTTATTTTCAAGTTTTGTCTCACAGTTTTGCCTCCATAATTTTTTTATTTATACCTTACATTTATTATTTAAAGCTTAATTCAACACATTAGGATTATTTGAAATAAATGATAGCCTGAAAATTTAATATTTAATTATTCGCATGTTTGAATTACAAAGTGCAAACAATAAAAATTTTCTGCAGTTCACACAGAAAATAAATAAAAATCGGAATATTTTTCTTTGCAACAATATTATTACTGTTTATGTATGTTTTAATAAATATTTATTAAATAAAATTCAAAATTCAGTTAATTTTTTTTTTTTTTTTTTTTTTTTCTTTTCATTTTGGTCAAAAAATAATTTGGCCTCTATGCAATTTGAGTTTGAGAACACACACATAGAGTTCCCAATTCATATTTCCAAATGTCATGATTTCTTATATTCTCTCTCTCCAAAAGGCAGAATGGAGTTCACATTCTCTTTTGGTGAGGATGGGTGTAAGGAAGTAAGGTAAGAGGGTGTAAGGATGAAGCAGAGGGGATGTAAATAAGAACACAAGTTCCAATCTATCAAATCCCAACAGAAACAATTTATTAATCCATCAAATTTTAACTCAAGCACTAATATAGAAACTTATATATATATATTTAAGTGGGAAGTGTAAAACATTAACTGCACCCTCTTTCAATCACAGATCTTCAAGCTGCTAGTGGAATGTACTACTTCTTGTAGTACAGTTGAAACCATTGTACAACACGAACACCCATTATCATACAGGGCAAATCCTACTTTCAAAAATAAATGATTAGTTTAGAATAACTTGTCATTACAATGCATTTTCTGAATTTTTGAAATAAAAGAAACAAGGTTATTTTAAAAGACAGTTAAATATTTAATGTGTTTTACATGAATTCTTGTTAAAACCTTTACCTGATGACTGAGAACTGAGAACTGAGACCTTTACCTGATGTTTTTTCATCCATTCTACTTATTTTAATATTTAAATCAAATCTACATTAGAAGAAGTGTTTCTGACAAAGACCTCTCAACAAACAGAATTGCACAATCTTTTCAACAAAAACAAATGTTAGCTAGCATTAAGCTGTTCATTGTTAAGTTATAAGCTACATACATTTTTTACATAACACTATGTAGAAGATTACATTTGGATTAACTATATCTCAATTTAAAAAAAAAAAAAAATAAAGTAAAAATAAAATTGCCTAATTTTGTTCCAAAAGAAATTAATTATAAATTTTGCACAACACTTACTGCATAATAAAACTTTTTATACATAGTAAATGAAAAATTCAATATTTAAACATACCTGATACAGCTTTGGCATTTTCTTCATAGAATGATAAAGCAAGAGTCAAAGCTTCAGAGAACATCTTTTGTTTGACTAAAAAATCAATCCTCTAAAAAAAAAAAAAAAAAGTATTTTATATGGCATACACAGTAACTAATTTAAAATTTATGCCAGAAAGAACACCTTCATTCGTTAAATAAGTATAATCTGATAAATTTAATAATGGATCCTTTACCTCATTCCATGTTCTCATGGTCATAACATGAATACTTTTAATTCCAAGAAGCAGCAGCTGACTTCCAAATGCTGCCATTGAATAATAACAAGCTCTTTCTCCAGCTACAGCCTATAATTAAAATGCAAAGTTATAGCTAAATTAATATTTAAAGTTTATATTTACCTTTATTTATTTCTCTTTTAGTATGCTTTATTATGTAAAAATCTTATATTTTCAAATGGTAAGTTACACAGTAGAAATTATTTTGAGCAGCAAAAACTCTCTTTACTACTAATCTTTCAAGAGTAGTGTTATAACAGACACATAATCAAATGAAAAGGCTTAAAGAACTTCAAAAGAATCTGACACTTATCACTCATTATTAGACGCAAATTACTCTAAAAGAACAGCCTTAGAATAGAAAGGATCTAACATATATTTTTTAATTTAATTTGTAATATTAGAAATTATCTTTTGATTTTCTCGGAAACAGATAGTTGGTTATTCACAAAAATTTCTAACCAAGGATTCTAAAGGTTGAGTCTCACTTACTTTTGCTAAACATAGTGAAAGCATCTTTTGCTCTATTTTAAAAGTTAAATTCTTATTCAGTAATAAAATAAATACTCAAAAAAAAAAAAAAAAAAAGATTTTTATTTAAAACTTAGCTAATAAATATTGTTTAAAAATTATATTACAGCTTTTTAACTAAGGTTGCTTGTAATTTTGATATAATAATAAAGAAATTTATGAAATCTTTACTTCATTTGTCATTATAATTTTTTTAAATTATTGGTAATCATTTACTTTTCTTGTTTAAAGGGTAAAAAATATTATAAGAATTCTGAATACTGAGTGATTAATAATCAACTGTAAGTACACTAAGGATAAATTACATTATACAGAAATAATAATATCCATTTCATGATTAGATTAATTTATATAAAGCTAAAGAATAATAATTAATAATAATACACTACTTATAAAATTTTATTTAAGGCATGGGTACATACATGTAAAATCATAATAACTCCTTCCAAACCTTATATAAATGCACTAAAGCAGGTTTCCTAATAATATTTTTGACACTCCTTCAGAGATTAAATTTTTATTAGGAACACAAATTCCTTATAACAGTTTCTTCATAATAAAAGAAGAAATCTAATATAGTGTGAATTCAGATTATGTACTTGACTGCAATACACTACAGTACTTCAGTAAAGTAAAATTAGATATTATTTTCGATGCTTCTCTCTTATTCATAAAGATATGAATGGATATTTGGTGAAGCTTGCAGTCCTCAAAAGTAAAAAAATTTAAAATGCTTTTTAAGGCAAAAAACTGTGCATAAAAGTTTTACTTGTTTATTTATTTTTATTTTATTCTTCCTATTTTAATTAATTTACACAAATTTTTACAGTTTCCCACCATATCAAACTTTGATTAAAGCTATGTTCTTAATTGCATTTATAAACAATTTATGCCTGACATTAGCATACTGTTTTATGATATTAGTTGTTTGATGTAATTTAAAATAATAAACAACTAATTTTATGACTGAAAATTAATTTCATAATAATTTTCATAATTTCATACTGTGGAACCTAAGGTCATGAATGCTTCCCATCACTAACAATCAGTTCACAAACAAATTTTCTTGAAAAACACACACACACACAAAAAAAAAAAGTTTTGGGCGACAAACTAGATCTTGGCTAACTAAGAAACAAGCTGGAAACAAATAGTCTTCTAAACTGTTTTAAGTAATCTCAGACACAGGATTAACACTCAAAGACCTTCTGAAAACACCATTTCAATTGCTTTACTCTCATAGACAAATGAGAATAACCAAATAAATGACTTATAGGACCATGAATTTGGTCTGTAGAAATTATAGTCGGATTATGTTGCATATATTAATTTTAAAGGCATTGAGACACTGAAGATTTTTTGCTATTTATGATATTGTGTTTTTTGTTATTTATGAGAAAGCTCTGCATGAAAAAACAGCAACACCTTCAGAAACAGGAACAAAAAATAATTGAGAAGAAAATATCTTCCGAGTTTTGGTTTATTTCATTATGTCAAAGCATATGAGGGAACAGAAGAGACGCCTTCATGGAGGACTTTCTAACAGAAATTGCTTTGTAGGCACAATACACATGTGGAAACCATGAAAATGCTCACATAACCAGCCTATTCACTTGAAATAGAACCAGGCTGAACTACCCGCATTCAGTGACTTTCCCCACTCAGGCACTGTTGAGCCTATGTTCAAAGGAAAATGAAAGACGATAAGATGATCCTAATTCTTTTATCAGAAATATTTGAGCAAAAGCAAGTCACAACATACAAATTTTCAACAACACCGCAATGACTCACTTTAGAAAAATTTTTAAATGTACACAAAAATAAATAACACTGAAAATTTTTTAATTAGGATGAAGAGCTATTGATTCTTAAACACAATGGCTCTAAAAGACAAAGAAGGGGAGGAAAAGAACAAAAAGTTGCAGAAAGACAGTTACTGATGTTTTCATGGAAGGCGACTGTCCCATTCAAACATCTTTTCTCTTCCCCACCACTTTCTAGATTTACCATTAACTCTAAAACAAATACTGTAAAATTAAGTCTTCATCTCTTTAATCTGCTCAACATTGTGTTTAGCATCTCTTTTTCCTTTCGCCTTAATGATTTTCATTGTTTTTGTGTTATGGATTTGTGTACTAAGTACTGCAGTAGTAATTTAAATAAGCAATCATATGTAGCCCAGGAATAAATTAATAATAAATTAATCCATTCTACATTCATTCTTGTGGGGAAAATACAGTAAAACCTCTAGTTAATGAGGTTGCAAAATTCTGGGAAAAACTTAATTACATGAAGGAATTCACAGAATAAAGGTACGACAAAATACGATTTAAGATTAGAAATTTTTTTAATTTTAACAAAAATAGTAAAATGAAATATAAATGCAAAAATACATATATTAATGTAATCATTCCATCAAAGTTATGCATGAAAGTTATATAGATTCATTCAGAAAAATAATCATTTACTTTGATTCTCAGGAAACAGCATTTCATGTCATAAGTCTCACATCTTTGTAAGGCATGGGGAACGTCTTCTGGAATGCCTTCTTCAAACTGAAAACAACACTGTAGAGTATCAAATGCATTTAACACTTTTCCTGGCAAAAATTTTATATATTCATTAAGTTTCCATCATTATCACCCTCATTAGCAGTCGCTTTCTGGCTGCAATTTTACAAGATCTCCAATATGTCTTCTTCCATAGAAATTCCTCAGGTCTCAACATTATTATCTATAAATAAATAATCTTGTAATTGCTCATTATTCTTTAATCATTCATGATTTTTCAACATCCTGTCCTCCATCTTGTCCATCGTCATCCTTGATAATACAGTTATCACTAGTATCAATTTTCATGAAGAAGCAAGCTCTTTTGAAGTAATTGCAAACAGTTTATTCAGTGACACCATAATTCCATACTTTTACAAGTTCAGATATGTAATCACATAAACTTACTGCATATAAAGCCTGATTACTTTTAATACTCATTATGGACTTCTTCACAATTCTTTTGCAATAATGCATCTTAATGCTTTTAATCGAATCTTGATTCATAGGCTCCAAAGTTACAAACATTTTTATACTTGTCTTTGGTATCCTGAGGGTGAGCACAGCAACTGTTTATCACTAGAGCAATTTTTTGTTTCTGTACAGCCACATATTTATCTAAATTCTTTTGCAACGCTTAAAAAATTTCTGAGGTCATTCATGAATTTTTGGTGAAAACAAAATTTAGTTCGTGATTTAATACCTCCAAAACATTTTGGATTTTTAATCTTTCCTATAAGAAATAAAAAAAAAAAAATTTCAATTTGTCATTTCCTTTGCACCTGCACATAACAGTACAGTACCTCTAAGTTCATTTTACCTACTTCCAAAACATTTCTCTCTCTTTTGAATGTTAATGTTCTCTGCGGTAAACATTGCTAAAAAAGGAATTTTTGTTGGCATTATCTTTTGGCTCATACACTTTTCACAATTTTTTTCAGTTGCAGAGCACACAGAGAGAATATGACACAGACATCTTTGCTTTCAACAACTGTGATTCTTGCAACCACTCCATGTTTTTAATTTCTCCACCAACCCATAGCTTGTATGAAATTCACTTTGTCCTATGGATTTAGAAAACTCTGTAGCTTTCACAAGTATCAATGATGCTGATATTGGTACTTTTTTTTTTTTTTTCCTCTCACTGTGCACAGCTATTTTAATGTTGCTTTTAATCATTGTCTACATGAACACATATTTTCTTATGTTTGGCAATTGGATTGATGGAATCAAAGCTTGATGAATTTTGTCCCAATTTTTTAGGATTGTCAATAAACTATTTTACAAAATACCAAGTTTTATGGCAATCTCTTTCTTCTTAATTTACTACTCTTTCTTCTTAATTTCTTAATTACATTTAAAAATTTTTCTAAAGTGAGTCATTGCGGTGTTGTTGAAAATTTGTATGTTGTGACTTGCTTTTGCTCAAATATTTCTGATAAAAGAATTAGGATCATCTTATCGTCTTTCATTTTCCTTTGAACATAGGCTCAACAGTGCCTGAGTGGGGAAACTCACTGAATGCGGGTAGTTCAGCCTGGTTCTATTTCAAGTGAATAGGCTGGTTATGTGAGCATTTTCATGGTTTCCACATGTGTATTGTGCCTACAAAGCAATTTCTGTTAGAAAGTCCTCCATGAAGGCATCTCTTCTGTTAGGCAGAAGGCCGTCATATGCTTTGACATAATGAAATAAACCAAAACTCGGAAGATATTTTCTTCTCAATTATTTTTTGTTCCTGTTTCTGAAGGTGTTGCTGTTTTTTCATGCAGAGCTTTCTCATAAATAACAAAAAACACAATATCATAAATAGCAAAAAATCTTCAGTGTCTCAATGCCTTTAAAATTAATATATGCAATATAATCCGACTATAATTTCTACCAGACCAAATTCATGGTCCTATAAGTCATTTATTTGGTTTATTCTCATTTGTCTATGAGAGTAAAGCAATTGAAATGGTGTTTTCAGAAGGTCTTTGAGTGTTAATCCTGTGTCTGAGATTACTTAAAACAGTTTAGAAGACTATTTGTTTCCAGCTTGTTTCTTAGTTAGCCAAGATCTAGTTTGTCGCCCAAAACTTTTTTTTTTTTTTTGTGTGTGTGTGTGTGTGTTTTCAAGAAAATTTGTTTGTGAACTGATTTGTTAGTGATGGGAAGCATTCATGACCTTAGGTTCCACAGTATGAAATTACGAAAATTATTATGAAATTAATTTTCAGTCATAAAATTAGTTGTTTATTATTTTAAATTACATCAAACAACTAATATCATAAAACAGTATGCTAATGTCAGGCATAAATTGTTCATAAATGCAATTAAGAACATAGCTTTAATCAAAGTTTGATAGCTTTAATCAAAGTTTGATATGGTGGGAAACTGTAAAAATTTGTGTAAATTAATTAAAATAGGAAGAATAAAATAAAAATAAATAAACAAGTAAAACTTTTATGCACAGTTTTCTGCCTTAAAAAGCATTTTAAATTTTTTTACTTTTGAGGACTGCAAGCTTCACCAAATATCCATTCATATCTTTATGAATAAGAGAGAAGCATCGAAAATAATATCTAATTTTACTTTGTCCACTTTGTCAAGAATCAGCTTTATCTTTTAAATGTTAGACACTTTCACCATTTTTATCATTCAATACACAATTTCAAAAATTTTTGCAGAATAAAATCATAAAAAGTAGAAATAAAAAGATCATGTAGCCATTGCTTAAACTTAAACTGGTTAGTGAAACAGGATTGGTTGGGGGATTTTCAACAATAGGGTGGATAAATGCTTTTTCGTTCGAGAATCTCCCTCTTCCCACTTTGTTCATTATGTAGAATGAAATGATACAACAGAAAACAAGCCACTTGCTTTTCTTTAGGACCAAAGCAGTGAACACGTATGCATCACAGCAAATGAATAAATCATGTTAAAGTAGAAAGAAAAATCTCAAAAAAATCATCCTCTTAAAAACTGTTAAACAGAGTGTATACTTTGTTGTTTGAAGTTTTTCATACAAGGAAATTCACACCTCAAGATGAATTCTGTGAAAAAACTTAATTTAGTAAAGGAATTCGTAAAATACAGATTTGCCTGTAATTTCAGATTACAAACATTTTGGATAATGAACAGTCTTCAAGAACAAGTTGTATTCATGACCCAAGGTTTCGCTGTGTTAATAATTTACTCTCTATATATGTGGGTGTGCAGATAATTTTTTTCAATACTTAAATATTATCACTGGTTTGTTCCTGTTCTGAATAATGATTTTAGTTTAGCACATCGAATACATTATATTACTGCATGTGCATTTGTACACTTTTTTTTTTTTTTTTTTGGTGTGTGTGTGTTCGATTTGAATTTTTTAAAGTTACAATTAATGAAAATTAATTTGTTCTAAATTGTAGGAAAGCACTTACATGCAACACAGCTGGCCATTAAAAGGGCTACACCATGAAAAAAGTGCATAACAATTGCATGAAAGCTAGAACATATTAGGATAGGCAAGGCAAATAATTATTTCAAAGCATGTACACTCTATAGACAAGAGTAATGGCACCTTGAAACAGCATATAAAAAGGTAGATTGAAATGTCAATTTTCATTTGTAATTTGTGTTTACTATTTTTTTAATTGAATGTTGTTTTATGCTTGCATAAAAAGAAACAACTCTTACCAATACATCTCAAACTTCAATTATAAAAGAATCATAGCTAACCAGGACCAGGAATCATAGCCAACCAGGGTTTTTGTACTGCAGAATCACTGCTAACATTGCTAAAGATCCACTGACTGTTGTGAGAATTTGGAACTGATGGATTCAAGAGGCCCATGTTCAGTAATGTGCGGGGTCCCAGTGGCCCTCACTCACCAGTGTTAAAATGACATCTATTTTGTCCACATCGCTGTACATTCAAGGATCATACAGCCACATCATATAAACATCATATACCATTTAGTCAGGCATCAGCTGTGGGTCAGGAATTTGGGTGCATAGTACAGTACCAAGTATCCATATGTGTGATGCAATGATGTTTGCAAAGCGCAGAAATTGTTAGCAAAGTGTCCATTGCTATGGCTTACATTTGAAGCTAAGCTGCAAAGGCATCAGCACCTACAATGGTGCATTCAGTGGCACCATGCGGATGCATGAATGGAATGATGTCTTTTCAGATAAGTCCCATTTTTGCTTACAGCATTATAGCGATCATATCCATCCATATCTTGAGGCACTGAAGAGACCCAAATTTTAATCATTTTACCCTCTCTGCTAACTGCTTTCCTTCAGTATGCAGCAATTTTAATGGCCAGCAGTACAGTATCTATCCAATTTAGCTTTAGAATTATTAAGAATATTTTATCATAATAAATTAAATATGTTGCGATGATGAATTTTGGCATTTTAAAAACAATAAATTTTGCAATATTTAAAACTGAGAAGAAATATTCACAACTGAGTTTAGAAGAAACTGTAATGGGCAAAAATATATTTAATAAAAATAGCACTTTTTAGATAAGATGATAAGTTCAGCATTGATTATGAAATATATAATTAGTACTTACACAGTATCATTGAAATAATATTAACAACTGTATGAAAATTATATTTTTATTAATACTTACCATAGCTTTACTGACATTACCACCAGTAGCAAGTCCTTTGAAGTGGGAAGTACCATAGACCAGCTGAACATCAACTAAATCTAATACCTACATATAATAAAAAGTATAATTTTTATTCTGAAATCATATATTTTAAGTTACATACATCTTGTAAAGTAAACATTATATCCAAATAGAATTCAGTATATTAAAAGAATTTTTTATTTAATACATACTTCCAGTTCTTCTTCAGATTTAACATCAACAACATGAAGATGCTCCAGTATATCAAGTATGACCAATGTTCTAGAATTTAACCACTAAAAAAAAAGTCAGCATCTGAAAACATATCCTAAAAATATATTCACTAAAAAAAATTAAAACAACGACTAAATAGCAAGCATTACTTATGTTAAAACATGGCTTAATCTAAAAGTTTGATATCATTTTTAACTTCATTTTAGCCATTGGCAAAATACATATTTGGATATATAAGATATTTATTCTACAGGATTTTTCATTTAGGTGCAATTATTTTAAGTTGTAGGAAATTCAAGATTTTAAATTTTTACTTTAATGAAATAAAATTCATTTCAAATTGCATGTTTCATAAATTATATTTGGAAACAGATAAAATTAAAGTACTTTCCACAATTCCCTTTCTTTCAAAAAATAAAAGTATATTCTTAAGTATTTATACATATTAAACACAAACAGAACATATTAATTGAAATGTACGTCACAGTATATGGAAAATTGGAACCTACCGCAAAATTTTGAAAGACATACTGCAGTTCAATTTTCTGTAGTGGAATGAAGTTTATTTTTTCTGCAGAAGCAAAGTTGACCTAAAATAAAACATATATATAAAATCTTTACTGACCATTTAGAGCTATTTTTATTCTTTAAAATACTTTTAAAAAATTCTCAAAAGCCAACAAAGAAATTTAAAACTATAAAGGTCAAAATAATTACCAACATCAGTTAAATATTAGAGAGAGCATTACTGAAATCAACATTCATATTGCATTTTTATTGATACTTTTAATATAACTAAATTATAATATATTTTTCACTTAAGACACTAAAGTTTTCTTTAACATACATATCATCTGACAATACTTTAAATTAAGTTTCCTGCTGGGTCAAATCAAGTCTTTTGACATTAGCAGATTCACAGAATTATGATGGCTGGTCCCCACCATTAAAGAAACCGCGAGTTTTCTAATAATTTAATACATAAAAATTGAGATCTACTAGATTAAACTGTAAGTTAAGATTCAATGCGAATAAATATACTTAAGAATTTAAACCCTTAGTCTAATGGAAACAGGAAACAGAAGAGAAACACGCCAAGTGAAAATAAGCCAAATTAGTAACATAACAACTTTGAATTTGATTTAGTCAAGATCTCAACCGATTTTGAGGGCAAACAGATACAGTCAAATAAGTTAAGGACTAAAGAGATAACAAATCAAAAAGACTGCATAAGAATCAGCATTCGCACAGCTGATACCAATTATGTTATTTTTAATGCATACCATAAAGTTGTAACACACAGCTCTACTGCAGCCTGTAAGTAATAAATGTGTTTAAAATGATGTAAAGTACCACGGAATTAACTAAACATATACATTGCAGCTGATTAAGTAAACTTCTGAATTTACCTGTAAAATGTCCCTCTGTTAGAAAGCCAATAAATTCAAATTCTATTAGAAAACAAATCACCAACTAGTTTCAAATGATTATCCACTTAATTAAAATTCAAACTTCACCTAACTTTCTGATTGAAGATAATGATAATCATGTGCTAAAAATCTGAAGAAATGGAAAAGCTGCTGACTGGTATGGTGGTTTGCAATAACAAATGCCATATTATTATGCCTAAGCTTGAATCCCAGAGAAAGTACAGATATTTATAAGTGTATAGTGTTTTTGTGATACAAGTGCATTTAAAATACTATCAAGCTGGAGGTCCGCTTGACAGCTGATGTTAGAGGGGGAAATGTGACTCTTAAATTCCATTTCCCAGGGTATTTCTCTATCAGTTTTGAGTAAAACTATCATACTGTCACCTATAAAACATTTAAGGCCTTGGCCAACAAGAGACACCCTCTACCTCTTCATTAAGTAATTCATAGACCTGATTTGAGCAGATATCTCAAGATTAGGTGGATAAATAGCAACATAAATAGAAATCATATAATAATCTCATACGATTTTTTTAATGTTATGTTGATGAAGGTTTTTAGTTGCACTTACTAGCTATACTCAATTTTACACGATTTCCATTTTTTCCCCATTATTCATATCAAACAACTACAGTCACAGACAGTTCAGTCATGTGGTATTCAGAAAGTAATTATAATGGTCAGTTTCATATACTTATATCAGAAGATTCATCTACAGTGCAAAATTTAATTGAAAAACTGGAGTTTGAAAATACTCTCAAGGAACCAATTTCTGACCACACTGTGTAGTAGCTTATAAACTAGCAACAAAACAACTTATGCAGGTTTGTGTATCTACCAAGGTTTAAGTAGTACTTTTCTTCACAGAAAATGGGGAAAAGCCTAAATATATGTTGCACTCTGAAAACTTCAGATTATAGCCTAGATAAGAATCACTGTGAAATATGAAACAATCATAACAAATCAACTTCTGATGGATTCATTCAATCTTGGAAACAGATAGCCAGATTTATAACAACATCCAAAACTTCTAGTAAACTGCCTGATAATAAATTGCAAAATAGCTTTATATATTTCCCTCTATGCTTAATTAGATACAAAACAAAATATCATTCACAGTATTTATATTTATCATTTCTATTTGGCAGCCATATTTAATACTATTAATGAAATCTAAATAAAGCAAACTTTTTTTGACGTTTCCCTAGCTCAGTATAATATTACATGCACAGACAGGGCCAGATTTACATATAAGTTACACAAGCTATAACTTAAGGCCCTCACTTTCTTGGGAGCCCTCTAAAATATAGTTTAAATAGTATTAACCTTCTGGGCGTTATGACCGGCTTTATCCGGTCATCAGAAGTTTTGCTACTTGGCATGTATTAGCTTATAACTTAAGATATTTTGCTTTCTTACTTTCTTTAATAATGTAAATATCATCTTAATGAATGTACGTCTATGAAAATACAGACTAAAATAAGTAATTTACAAATTTAATTAATAAATGTTGTTTAAATACTGGTCTAAAATCCTGTGCCCCTCAGAGGGTTAAAATACATTATAACAGACTTATAAAGAATCCTGTGCCACTCAGAGGGTTAAAATACATTATAACAGACTTATAAAGAGCCCCATATCTCAAACAGCTTAAGGCCTTATCAAGTCTAAATCTGGCTCTGTGCACAATGCATATTAAAAAAAGGGGGGGGAATTAATATTTTTAAATGATTTGCTTTAAACAAAATATATGTTCTACAGGTGATAAATGGAACTAATATTAATAATTTAGAAGAAAATACATGGATAACTACCAAATATATACATTCATTAATATTCATATAAAATTTCTGTAACAAAGCGTGCAAGATACATGTAATATTTGTTTACGTGCAGCTACAGTTAAATGCCTAAAATTTATTACATAGGGCTTTTATGTTTTAAATTTGTGTGACCTAGAATGGCATAATGATTAGCAAAGACCGACTGCTAGCCTGAAACTAAGAGTGAAGATATGACCTCCACATAAGGTCCAATTATATATGAATGTTTCTCTTTTCTCATAGATGCAATAATCATTCTACCCCTGGGCAATGCTTTCAGTGAGGTTAAATGAAAAACTGATTCGTCCATGAATACTCTGAAGCAAATGTCTAGCAACTAGATGAAAATAAAAGACCTCTTTCAAGCCAGATATAGCAAGTTAGAAAAGAAAACTATTTTTTATGCTAGGATACAAGTAGAAGCATTTAATAAAATACCTGCGCAAATATGTATTAAATCATAAAAAAATTCAATAACAAAAATCTGCATTTCTAATTGTTTAATAATTGGGGATTTAGGAAAAATTCACATTATACATTTCATTATTGAATAAATTTTTTTGAAAATTATTTATGAAATGCAGAATTACTACTTGATTTCTATTATTCAAAATTTCACCTTGTTCTAAGAATTTCTATCATAATTATAAAGTATAAAAATTACAAACCTGAAAGAAAAATATTGTACTTTGTCGACCAAATGCTAAGACAGGATCAATTATTCTAGTTGTTGAAGAAACTTGTATAACAACAAACTGCCAACTCAAAACTGGCAAAGTATCAGGATCTGCCTTGAAATTTACAAAAAGAAAATATAAGAAACATGATAGATATAAATATCATATTTAAACATGAGAATATTTAACTAGGCATAAATATAAGAATATTTTAGTCATTTTCATGCACATTACAACTGAAAATGAAATAATATTAAATAATAAAACAATCAACTGCAACAAGTTTCAAAATGCATTAGTTTACATTTAAGCAGATATATAAATTTTAATACAAAGATTCAATTCAATTACTCAACAGATGCCAAAAACAAAGAACTTACTCGTAAGGCATGAGTAAACCAAACACGAAGAGATGGTCTTACAGTCACAGCAATAACCTAAAGCATTTAGAAATTTGAAAACATAAAGCTTTCCAAAAATATACATAAGGCATAAAAATATATAATGCACATACATATAAATGTACAGAGAAATAGAGACTAAAATATAATGAACTGTATCATGACTATTTCAATAGAAAGCAGTCCACCAGTGGCTCAGCGGTAAAGTTGGTGGACACTGGTAGTTCGAGGTTCAAATCTCATGAATAGATTGGCTGCATGAGCAATTTCATTGTTTTTCCATGCATACGAGTCAGCTTCCCTTAGAAAGTCCTCCTCAAAGGCATTCTCCCTTCCCTTACGCAGATAGCCCTCGGGGCTTTACTCTAATATAAAAATAAACAAACAAAAAATCAATAGGAAGCTGGAATGGTATGACAAGTTGATTACATGAAATAAAAAATTTTCAGATGGGAAAATTGGGAATCTTCTCAACGGAAAAGAAACATAGTAAAATGCAGTTGATAGCTCCATTCTTAAAAGAAGTCCATTAATGACCTAATAAAACTGATTCCTGGTACAGCTCCCAGTTATTGAACAGCATTCGCTGCATGACATATTTTTAGTTTTGCTTATACAGATAGTAAATACAAGAAAGTTTCCTAGAAAGACCTCCACTAAGATAACCGTTTTCCTACTAACAGAAATAGCTCTTAAATATAGAGTATATAATATTTAAATATAGAGTGCTTAGCTATAATTATATTACCTATTATTTACCCACTAGAGAAATTAGGTTAAAGGTAGCAGAGGTCACACCTCGAAACTAAGTTTTGAATGAGATGCTGTATGTTACATATTGTACTATCGCTGTTAGCACTTAAAAACAAAATCTATTTGTTTTGAATCAAATTAAGACAGGGAAAAAAAAAAAATCTTGTAACTTAAGTGATAAAGCATAAGGTAAGTGCACCTAATGCTTGAAATTGAAACGCAGATATCTTTTCTGCTGTTGAACTGTAATATGTATTCAAGTGATGGAATGAAATGTGCATCCAAGGCTGAAGTTGCAACAAGGTTGTGGGTATCATTTTTACCAAAATGTAGCAATATCCCTGTAATTTCTTCACTTTAAAATGAAATAACTTTACTGCACAAGGATCAAGAAAGAATAGAAAAGATTCTTGAATGTCCAGTGAGTTGAAGACTAATAAGAATGTAAATATACCTTGATGTAATCACCCTAAAATGGGAATGTAGAAGGGAAAAAAAGAACAATACAATTTTTTGAAGTTCATTATTTGTTTCTGAAGGAGGGGAGAAAAAGAAAAAAAAAAAAAATGCTGACATATTTTACTCATTTTAAACTCCATTTCAGATCTTGGGGCTTTCAGAGAAAATTTTCATATATGATTATTTTCAGTTTTGGTAGAACTAATTCCCTATAGAAGGAACCTTCTTAATACTGAGAGTGTAACTAACAGAAATTCAAGCAATTTTCTCCGATGCAGGTTTCAATAGATGGTTTTACCGAACCACCATCCTCAACTGCAAAACCGCAAATCATTTGCGGTTTCGGTGGTTCAGTAAAACCATCGACACTAGTCCTGTGAAAATTTTGAAAATTAATGCTGATTTTTGTTGTTTGACTTCTGATTTAGTATATATAATGAACTTCACAAATATTTTCAAATTTGGATCCCTCCATCCCAGTTTGCCATCCAGAAAATCTGGTCACCTTATTTTACACCAAAATGTCCACGAAACCAGTGGTAAAGAATCTGGTACCAATGGCTCTTAAAGTTTAAATGTAGACTTGCCATATCAGTTACTATTATATTCTATGCATCAGAAAAATTTCGAAGCCTTTTAGAGCATGAAATGAATTAGTATACAAGATAAAAAATTTTTGACATATATTAGATGAATTCAAGTGCATAGTATGCAACAGCTAATTCTGAGGTGAGGACATCATGAAGTTTTGCATCCCTTACGTAATTCTCGATAATAAATGATACACCAACATGAATTGATGCTTTAGATCCATTTGTAAACACAATGTAACTAGTGCATTTATGTTTGCACTCGAAGAACAGATGCCTTATATGAACTTATTAGTATCTTTCTTGTAAATATTCTTAAAAATATCATATTCTGCAAAGGAGGAATTTAAAAATAGTAGTGTCTGCACTGTAGATGTTCAAAACACTCTGGAGCATATATCCGCAATGCCTGATGGTGCCATGAAAACTGAAGACCATACTAAACCATAAACAACTTAGCTGTAATCACACCTAGAGTGAACAAGTGTTCTACAGATGCAGAGTCATACCAGGAGGTGCTCGCCAGGACTTTTAAAAGATTCAAAGTTTCGAAACATTTCTTCCCCAGGTAGAGGATGTGAGGTAGGAAAGTCAGTTTTGGGTCTATCACTCATAAAAAATACTTCAGCTGCCACCAGGATCAGTGAGTGACCTATGAAGATAAAGCTCAGGCTCAAGATGAAGATTATGCTTTTCACAAAAGGATATACACATGGTTTTTTGCTTTAAAAACATACATCCATGTTTGTTTGACCACTTCTGGAATCGTGTTAAGATTGATCTGCAACTGTTTCTCTACACATCTCATATCTACACCTTGACAGCTTATCTGGAAGTTAGCAACATATACTGATTCTGAAACTGTAGGAAGAATTCTCTTAAAACAGAATTAATTTAGCTAAACAATGTAACACTTAGGACAGAATCTTAACACAGATCTTAACATAAAACATGTTATAACATAGAGCCAATTCTTATTTAGAAAGTTCTCACCCTACAAAAATTCTGAATAAATATTAGAAAATTGCTGTGCAAGCCACAGCCACAAAGATCATACTAGATGACATATCATGATGCCTTGTTATAAGTCTTGTCTTGTAACAAAACATGGCAATATGCCATCTAGTAGATTTCTTTTCATAAATACTGGCTTCCAAAAGAGGAAAGTTACAGCTTGCAAGTGTGACTGGCTGACAATTTGAAGGATTCTTTAGATCGTTCCCTGGCTTAGCTACAGGAATGACAACAGCTTTCTTCCATGCATTGGGAAAGCCATGCTTTTAAAACGCCTTCGGTTGTAAAAAGTGAGCAGGGCAATTAGTGACTTTCAGAAAAGATGCTTCAGCATTTCATAACTTACACCATCTGAGCCAGAACTATGTGTTTGCATCAAAGCCCCTCCTTAGCTCTACCATGGAAAAAACACCATTATATGGCTCTGAGTTGAAAGAGTTGAATGCAAGGTGAATATTCTCTGAGTGATGCTTAATGCTGGTAAGTAATTGGTATCACTGGAGATGGCAGCAAAAAGCACTTTGGGCCAAAAATTTGCAGATACATAAAAGTTGTGGAAACAGTGAATGTTATCCATGACAAATTCAGAATCGAGATTTGTTGCAATTATTCGTTGCATTGCTTGAAGTGCTTGAAAGCAAGCACAGAGAAATGATATAGTATAATGAGGTAAGATGGTTGTGTTCAGCAGTGGTGCTAAAATGGTTTTTTAATTATATTTTCATTTAATAAATAAAATCAAAATCTACTTGACACGAAAAAAAAAAAACTATCAATGAGCTATATAATGATACATGGATAACAGATTTAGCATTTCTTGTTGACTTAACTAACCATTTAAATATTCTCACTAACAAGCTGCAAGAGAAGAATAAACTAATCACTGATGATAAAACTAAAGCTTTTAAAGTTAAAATTGCAACTATGAGTAATATAATTAGAATCACATTTTTAACATTTTAAACCTGGTCGTATTATTTAAAATGAAAAATCTCAATAATATATAAGAAAAATAGCATTCTTATAAGAATTTAGGATTGATTTCTTGATTTTGACGACTTGGAATCCAGTTTTACATTACATTCATTCTATTAAATTGAACATGAACAAACCTCTACACATGGCTAATTAATTAACAGTGTGATAAAAATCTTATCCAAAGATTCAGAGATACAGATTTGATTAACTTTTATTAATACTTAACAAAAGATAAAAACCCTCATTTATGAAATTTCACAAGAATTATTGCTTTTATTTAGGAGTACATTTATATGTGAAGAGCATTTTTCACAGCTGAAAATTAATAAACCTGAGAAAAGAGCACAGAATTCACAATCTGTGATGACTGTTTCTAGCAATATTCCCTTAAAGCTACAAACTTTATCAAAATCAAAATGCCATCAAGTGTTAAGCTGCAATACAAAATAAATAAGTCTAATTATATACATACAAATATGCATAATTTTTCTGTATGCTTCAAAGAAAAATTTAATAAATTAAAGAAAGAGAGATATCATTATTTATTTAAGTTTTGCCTACTTTAAAAGCTTTCTCTGAAAACTTAAAAAGGTTGCATAATTTGTTTATTTCCTGTTTAAGTAAGTTATTTAGTGATTAACTCAAGAGATTAGAATTATTTGAAATAAATGCCAGCCTGAGAGTTTAACATTTAGCTGTCAGTATATTTGAATTACAAAGACAGGCAATGGGAATTTCTTGCAGGTACCAATCTTCAGATTTCAGATAGAAAATAAGTATAAATTTGAAATTTTTCTATTCCATTTTTATTATTACTGTTTATGTATATTTTAATAAATATCTGAAAGGGGTTCGGCATCTAAAGAAAACAGGAAAAAAAAATTACCTAAGAGAAAAGAAATACTTCTGAAGCATACAGTATTTTCTAGATCATTCGGTAATTGTTGCCTCATACTACATTGTAACTTACACAGATTTCTTATGGTTTCTTAAAATCAGATGGATGCTATACAGTCAAAAGTCGTTAATCCGGACTCATCAGGACTTCGGCGATTCTGGATTATCAATTTTTGCGGATTATAGATCATCAGTTTAAATCTGGTAAGATGGCATGCAGAAATTATAAAATTAAAAATATGAAACTGTAATTTATGAAATAAAGAACAATTATGATCTAAAGGGTATCAAAATTTACAAAAAAAAAAAAAAAAAGCTTAGTATTTATTTGTTTACTTTATTAAACATTTCTTTCAATGTCAGTTGCTTAAGTTGCTTCGTTTTTTACGTGATAATACATTCTCTTTAATTCTATAAACAGACATCATTTCTTGTTCAGTTACAAAGTTCTGCTGTTCAAGTCCTATAATTGCTGTGTATACCGACTAATTTGTCAATCGAAATTTTTTCGTTTTCAATAACCTCTGTCACTTTCTTCGCTATCGGAAGCGAATTATAATGACGAGGAATTTGATTTAAATCATATCAAAGATGGAGTACATTGAGATGAAATACTACATTTAGTAAGGAATTATAAGACAAATAAAATAAAAACATCTGCCCTGAAGATAAGGATAGTGCTGACAGATCAACTTCCAATTCATTGTGCGCCCACCGCGGCGTTAAAGATAAACAAAGTTTAGATAAACAAAAGTTAAAGTTTAGATAAACAAAGGATATGCCTTTATCCATTTTTTGCAGCAATTCCACTTTTTGTTTAATGAACTTTGAAATATACTTTCACTTTGTTGATCCTTTACATATTAGTAAATTTATATCAGAAATTCTATTTGACATAATCGAAAGTTCAAGCTTACTTTTATAAAATTGCTCTAACAGTCTGCAAAAAATAATAAGCCGGATCCAATCCGAAGATTAAGGAACAACGCAATCTGCAACATTAACTGAAATAGATAATTAGGTAATTTTAGCTTAGCTTATACCGTCCGTTATACAAGCATATTCGCAGCTGTAAAGGTCTTATGCGCATGCGTCAATGTGACGCATGCGCAGAAAGTTTGTAGCTTTGAGGTCCGGATTCTAGATCATTCCCGATTATGGGTATCCGAATTAACGACTTTTGACTGTATTTGCTGTCTTAGACCCTTTCTGTAGAACTAAAGGAAATATATAAGCCATTTAAAGACATTCAAATGTATCAGATCATTATGGCCATAACCTCTTTTAATATTTTGCAGATTTCCATTGGATGTTAATGCAGATAGCACTTAAGGTTAATTTAATGCTGGTAGACCAATACAAAAATAGTTCTGCTCAACAAACACAGTTTTTTATGCTTTTCAAATTATAAAACAACAGGCTCAGAATATCAAAATGTACCATGTGAGTAATCAAATGATACTGCTTCACAGAGAAATAAGTCTGAATGAGTTGAAGAATCATAACAGGTTTATCACACCTCTAGATTACCATGTGCATCTTCTCTCCAAGCTTTTGAACTGTGGTTTAACCCTTTGACACGCAGTGGTCGCGCCCTGAAACCACCATTTTCCCAAATTTTTTTTCTTCTCTTTTTTCCGAAATTTTTGAGTGAAAATGAATTGATTACTAATCTTTTACATCTAAATAACACAAAATGACTGTAGAATCATATATGTTTTAGGTATTAATACTTCAGATCGGATGCCTTTTAAAATTCGTTTTCGATGAGACAAAATAACTTCCTTTTATTAATAAACAACTTTAAATTTCAAAAAGTTAGTCATTCGCACATCATGATTTCTATCATAAACAATAAAAAACTGCAGTAATTAAACTGCATATATAAAAAAAACCTCTATATGTATGGCATTTGCTATGCGGTTTCAGAGCGCGACCACTGCGCCACTACAGCATTGTGTCACAATGCTTGCAATCCTCTCACGCCTTGAAACCACTGGTGTTTGCTTCTCAATGGCGTTTGCTTGCTTTTCAAATAGGAATGTTTATTTTTACCCCAATATAGATAAAGAGCTTTGAAACCACAGAGTTATTTTATTACTAAACAATGCATGCACCGGCCCAGTAAAAAGGTCTTTCTTTTCCAAATACTTTTCTCTGACATCAACACACTTGCTTGCTCCCCAGCAGGTATGTGATTTTATAAATTATTTCCTGTGGTTTAAATTAATGTAAAATTACTTTTCTATATTAAAATAGAAATTGTGTAAAAGTTTTATTTAAATTAAAAATATTTTCTGAATATTTCGGGACGAAATACGAATAAAATTAGTATGAATGGGAAATGAACGATCCGTACAAAGCCAAAAGACCAAGCCCCTCCCCCCCCCATTAACATAAAAAACGCAAATTTCATGTGCCAGATGAAATGAAACTAAATAACGCTGGACATATACCAGTGAAATTTAAATCCAGGCAGTGTACATTTTGTAGCACAAGGAAGAAACCTCATAGAACAAGATGTATGTGCGAAACATGCAATGTGGGTCTATGCATGTACCAAAGACAAACAAATGCTTTGAAAAACAGTGTCACAAAAATTGTTCTTTAAAATTATAAAAAAAAAAAAAAAAAAAAAAAAAAAAAAAAAAAAAAAAAAAAAAACAAAACCCTGAGTTCTTTTTTATCCTTATTTTATTGAGCTTTTTATCCATTTATCCAAATGTCCTTATTATGTAGGTACTTATATTTTCACTGCTATAGAAAAATTACATAAATATTTATTTTTTAATTTTTTCTGACGATTCACTTCATAAAATAATGTAAAAATTTATATATAATGAAATTCTTAGATAACTTTTTTTTTAAATCCGTAAATTTTGTCATTTATTGGAAACGCGAGCAGGAAATGGTAAGTAGTAGTTTTTTCCCCTACTACATCAGTAAGTTTCAAAGTCCTAGACGCACGGTGGTTTCACAGTGCGACCACCACCCACAGAACAATGGGCAAGAGTAGATTTTTTTAAATTCATATATTATTTGTGTCTAGGATCAAAATATTCAGTTTCTAGAGTTTTTAGTTAAAAAATTATAAAAATAATATTGCGCGCGTCAAAGGGTTAAGGAAACTAACTTTCATTAATTATTTAAATTTTATGGTAAAATAAAAACACATAATAAAGTAGTAATAATGTTGGTGACCTTATTTGTATTTTCTTATTAAAAAAAATACAAACATCTAAAAAATTACCCTAAAAATTTTTCAAAATTCAACTCAACATCTAAAAATTACCCTAAAAATTTTTCAAAATTCAAGTCAAGATACATAACTGAATTCTATATTTCACTAAATGAAGCCAGTTATTTAAGTTATAATAATTTACAGTTGATAATTACTTTTGTAACAGTTCCAAGAGCAACAAGGCATACTTCTTGACTGGGATGGTTTCGAAAATGAGGTGTCATTCTGAGAGGTTCAACAGCACATACTTCACCACGACTTAAAAAATTAAATTATGATAAATTATGATAAATATATTATTGTGCATGTTAACTATGATACACACACACATGTACACACAAAGAAAATCATTATGAAAATAAATAAATCATTTAGAAATAAAAATTTTAGCATTTGATTAATAATACTTTATCTATACACGAAAACTAATCACATAAATTAATCATTCAATTCAAGACTATTTATGACTCTGTAGACCCCAAAACTGTATTCTTTGCAATAACTGCTCACAATGCATGAAATTTCAAAACTTGTGAAAATTTCACTTTAGAAAATCACCTAATTGAAAACATTGAATTTAATCACATAATTTTCTATAATTTAAATGGAATTTAAAAAGGAAAGTAGAAACAGGGTTATAAGCATTTAAGATGGAAATCAAATTTTGTTTTCTTTGGGGGGAGAACACTAATCCCCCCACATACATTAAAGAATTTTATTTGATAAACACATATCAAATAAAAACAAAAACGAAAATTAAAGCTTTTTAAAAACAAAATTGACAATATGTGATTTAATTGCAATGCTTTATTTCATATACCTGACAGATGAAATTATTATAAGATAAATTTTAATTTATTTCCAATTTGCATATGTTGAATATCTGAAAATTTAGACGTTTTAAAAATTTATGACTTTAACTTAACTGAATCATGGTGCCAGACAAAAACTCAAAAAAATAATACAATCAAAACAAATCTAATTCATAATATATCAAAAGATCAATTGAATAAACAATCGTATAGTGGTAGTACAAGTTAAATTTTAGGTTCGCGTTGTGAGTAACCTATGCAAAAGGAAAATCAATAACCCCAAATTCAATAAAACTCCATGTTCCTTAAAAAGCTTCCCGGCTCAAACAAATGGAGGGACATGACAGACCACAGTAAATTACACACAAGATAAATACACAAATGCAATTAAATTTTAAACACACATTTATTAAATTCTTGAATATAGTATATTATTAGTAAATACTTGATCAGTGTCACCTACAACATATTTTTACTATGAAAATATTGCATCTGTCACACAAAATTTCCACTTACAATAATTAAAATTTTAAATTAATAATTAACATTTTTTTCACAAATTAAGAAGGTGTAACATATTTTAATTCTCCAATAAATGGTTCTCATTAATTAGGAATTAACATTTTTCTAACTCCAAATTCAATAGGTGAAACAAATTTTAATCCTCCTAAAACTGGCCTTAACTTGAAATTATAAATCACTTCTCAATTTTACTAACTGTAATATTTAATTTATATAAGTAATAACAATATAAACAGGTAGATAAATCATTATTAACTGTTCCACTATGGCATTTGGGATTACTAAGAGAGAGAGAAAATAATCTAAAAAATTTCACTCACATATTCCTCGGAATACACAACCTTGGGGGGAGTGTCCAGTTTTACTAGTTATGGAGGAAGTCTATTTGCTTGAGCCAACACTATGATTACAGTTTAACTGACACTCTTGCGCTGAAGTCCATTCTGTACAATAATATCTGGAGACGGGATGAAGTCCTTTTTGTAAAACTAACCGCCAGATCAGGGAAAAGTTCGTAAGTCTTTTTTTTTTTGTAAAACTAACTGCCAGATCAGGGAAAAGTTCGTTCTTCAGGAACATATTTCTGTGCGGAACGTCTATGTGTCAGGAAACACAGGTGCTGGATAGTACTAACCAATAATACTTCTACCTGGAAATGTTTATGTGTCTGGAACCTCAGGTGCCGGATACTAATGACACATACTTCTGTTTGAAACTTCCAAAAATCAGACAATTTCACTTCGGGAATGTCAAAATTTCAGTTTCAGAAGGATTATCTGGAGATTCGGGTGAAGAGGGAAAATCTGTAATAAATTGCTCTTTACATCTCGCACTAAATTAGCAATCAGCTTGCAATAAAATGCTCTTTTCAGCTCGTACACATTTCTCCAGACATCTCGCAAGAAATTATTCTTTACATCGCGCACAAAATTTTTAACCATTTCATAGAAAAAATGCCTTTTCTGGAGAAAAGAAAGCGCAGCTCAAACCCTCTTGCTCAGGCAGCCCACAGCACAGCAAGCCGGCCAAAGGGCAAACGGTGCTCGAACTCTTTATCTAACTTCACATCACTGCTTCTCAAAATCCCTCCATATCAGACTCCAAGGGAAAAACCATAACCAGAGCCCACTGGTACATGCGAGGGGTCAAACCCCTACTGTTTTCTCCTTTTTCTTTCTTTTAGCTTGAAAATCAGAATCAACTCTAGCCCGGTGCAAGCAACGAAGTAAACTCTCTCTCTGCCCCCAAAAATTTCATTGGCTTACAAAAAATCATAAAATTAAAATCACACCAATGCCAGAATTTTACTTTGTCAAATTAAGAAAATGACACCTTCATGACAAATCAAACACAGAAAATATGACAATGAAATCCCAAAAACATCTGTACACACACAACGTGGGAACTAAAGTGGACCACCCCAACTAGCAAGCAGAAACTAAGCTTTATGAGAATCCAATTACCTAAGCTTACAACAACCTCTACTGTCTTGAAGTAAACAAAATTGCAACTATAACAAAGCGAAAGGAAGACGATTTTCGTTACAAATGCCATTAGTAAAAGGCGACAAAACAATACCCTACTACCTCCATTCTTAGTAAAAAGGCCTAAACCAATAAACTAGATGTGTTTCCTTGCAACCGTCTCTCACTTTGTTACACTTCCTACTCAAGAATGACGAGTTAAATAAAGCTTTAACAACTTAAGAACACTTTTTTTCAGATTAAAATATAAATGAGTAAAAAAAAAAAAAAAAAAAAAAAAAAAAAAACTAGAAACTAGAATAATGATAACGTTAAACACATATTAATAATTCAAATTCGTGACATGGCACATACTCTAAAATGATTATATCGATCTGCAGCTATAAACAACAAAAATAAAAAAGTCACTAAATGTTTTAAGTTTTCAAAAAATGATGTAATGAGGTAAAAACTTAAATAAGAATAGTAATACACTAATCAAAGTTATCAAACTGCAGAGGTTGTTCACATATCTTTTGAATAAATTTGATAAAGCAAGTAACTGAATCATTTAAGCATAAAAAATATATTAGTAACAGCTTTTTAATTGAGGGTTAAATTATTAATTGCTGCCATCAAAAACTTTATATGTTCAAAACAGCTCATATAAATCAATTTAAAACAGAAAGCTATGTTTTTGCGAATTTTAAAGAAATATATTCTCTGAAGGACACAATAAACAATATCAATTCATAAAAGTTTTAAAAATGGTAATTACTGTTTTCTACAGTAAAAAGAACATCAAATGTTTATCAAACTGAAGTGTGTATTTCGAAGATCATTTCAAAATTAAATGCATGATCCCAAAAAAGAATTCATCTATTCAATGACTTCTGAACAGTAGAATAAGATCAGATATAGAATTCAATATGACACTCATTTATCACATGAAAAAAAGAATTTTTTTTTCCCACTGTAGAAGAATTATGACTGCATTTGAATACTGGTAACAGAAAATAGTCCATTTACTATCATAAAATTGAACCAAAAGACTTAGTTTTAAAAGTCTAATGAAAGTTTCAATACAAAGTTTGTGATTACAGTTAGCTTTCCCTAGAATGGAAAATTAAAATTAAGAAGTGCTGGTTAAAATATATATATATATATATATAAAATTCTACTTGTCAAGAAACATGTTTTGACTCCCACATTTAAAAAAGATATACCACTTTCGTATCCATTCATTGTAAAGAAGTTGAACTGTAATGGAAAAAAAGTCAACAATCAAGTTTTAAAATGTATATCTAAATTTCTCAGAAAATGGAAAGGGAGATTCTTATAAAGTATCCACAGCAATACCTTACACAGTCTAACTTCAAACAACTTGGATTTACAATAGTCTGAATAAGAATTTCAGAACAAATGAAATATTAACCAAACAAAACAAAGCAAAATTCTAAAAAATTACAGTTTAAAATTCTTTTTTTAATATATATATGATTCATTTTTACCTTTTATACAGTGCCGTCACCTTTTTTTTTTTTTTTTTTCTTTTTTTTTGGTTTAATGTTTTGCAGTTTTAAAGTTACGTGATGTGAAACTAGATAATGAAACACTTACTAGTGTAGATGAATAATGGCTTACAAAGAACAGAAATATAACCTAAACAATGTCTATTAAGTTTCTGTATGAGAATTAACAGCTGAATAACTAGCAAAAATAACTAGAATGGTTTAAACTTTGTCAGATCAAGTTGAACCAATGCTGAATGTAGCTTTACAGTTTGCCAATTATAAAAAAATGTAGTCCATTGTTACAAAGAAAAATATGAAAGGAAAAGGGCAAAGAGAAAACAATTGGGCAGACAACAATACTGTAATTTTTTAGAATAAAAGATGAATATGTATTTATTAAAATTATTTCTATTCCAGACATTTGAATTTATTAATCACATTCCATTTATTGAAAAACAGAAAAAAATTTTTTGATGCAATCACTGTTTTGAATATATTTACTTCCTTAATTAACTTGGTTTCAAACAATACGGTGGAACAAATTATTTTAACTATGTGATGTATCGCTATACGCTTTCAAAAGATACCAAATAAAATCTTTTTGTGGGAATAATGCTTTCAAACTATTGAAAATTTCACTTTCTACCTGTTAACCAAAGACCACTGATAGATTATAGAAAACAGCACAAGAAAAGAAAAAAATTCCAAGGTAAAATTAAGAGATGTCCTTTCATCATGGAAATCAAGGCACAGCTTGAAAGATCATGAAAAAAAATTATCAAACTGAGCTCTTAAAAAGTAATATTTATATTATAATGAACTGTTTTGCTGCATTAAAAATCCTTCAAAAAATGTGCAAACATCCTCTATAAAGACGTCTCACAAAATCTGAAATAATTGGATAATATAATTATTATAATAATACCTGCCAGAAAAAATGCATCGAGTTTCACATGTTCTAGTTCCCATAACACGTCTAAAATGAAAATTTTTAAATGCATAATAGATTAATAATTGATAATAAAAAGTTATACAAACCAAACAGCATCATATTGATATGTGTAATGATTATAACAAATATAAGAACATGCAAAAAAAGAATTTAAAAATAATACTTACTTAAAGTTCAATTCAAATACTGAGCCACCACTATCACTGCATAAGGCAAGTGTTGGATCATCAGTAAACTAATCAAACAAAAGTAATAAAACAAAAATTAAAAAAATCCAAGTTGGTAGATATTCCAATATATTGTTTATAATTCAGTACTTAAATGTTTTTGCTAGATGTTCATTCAAAAAAGAAATTAAATTGGAAATAAATAGAGATGCAATACAACAGTTTTATTTCAAACAGAATGTAAGGTTTGAAAATACATGAGCACTTTTAAATATTTCTTTGAGATGTTTATTACTTTCAGTTTGCAGATTTCAAATCCTTATTGAATAGGCTGCATTGCTATTTGAGGGAAATAATCCTTACAAGCTTTATATGAAAGCAATCTAGCAAAATAAATGTGTAGCTGTTTCTAGAATTGTTTTTTCTTTATTGTATAAATGTACGCGGCATTAAATTAAAGTGAAATAGTGTGTGTGTGTGTATTTTTTATACGGCTTTGTTATTCTGAAAAACTCATTTTAAATACAAGATTTTATATCTTTAATTTTTGTGGGATTCATTCTTAGTAAGCCTGTCCTAGCTGCTGATTATAAATTTTGTCAGGGGTTAAACTGCAATCTGCATAAAAATATAAGAATGCAGTTCCTTTTTTTCAATCTTATGATTTCCATAGCTTTGTATTTCTTTAATATTTAATTCTCTTTTTAATTTTAATAGTAAAATCTTAAAGGTAAAGTGTTAAAAATTTTAGACTGGAGGTTCTTAACCAGGGGCCACCAGGTAAAACCAGGAGGAAATTCACCCCTATGCAGTCAGTTTTTTATTTAAGCATTTAGCTTTAGTTTATGGATATAAAAGACTACTTTTGTTCATGTTTTGGTATTTATCAATATTTTCTACACTTCTTCTTGTTTAATTTATAAAATAAGTTATAAAATAATCTAAATTTAAATAAATGTATATTTTTGGGGGTTGGAAAAAGGAGGGGGAAATACTTGTCTAGCAATAGTGAAAGGGTTGCATGGAACAAAAAAAAGTTGAGAATCACTGTAATCTTACTAGATTACAGACGTTTTTAGATTGCAACATGTTAATATGTATTTTTTATGTTCATCTCAAAATGAAGTTGATATAGTAAGATACACACTGAATAATACCTGTAAATTCACAAATACAACAGATACTGAAAGATCAGTTTCAACAATCACTTAAGCTCATACCCATGCCTATCAAATACTGTTTCCATACCCTTTCAATCCATAGATAAACACAACACAATAAAACAGAGAGAACAGTCATGTATTGCCTGTTTTATTTAGCCAAGTAACAAGAATTAACATGGATTTTTCATTGTCTCAAAACAATCCAACAACTCAAACAAATTATGTAGAACTCTTTGATAACACATCTTTTTTAACATAAAATCAGACTTGCTTTGATATGCCCCAAAGTTTAATTCTATACCTAACATTCCCCTTAAACTCTAGGCACAAACAATATTTTTAAGTTAATTCAAAATTTCATTTTCATACTAATCACTGAATTTAGCTCATATCTCACTATATCCCATTATAAATTATATATAAATTAGTTGCTTCTGCAGCTAACCACCTAAAGTAATTATTATAAAAAAAAAGAAAAACATATATGGTGATTTTAATGAGCCTACCCAGCATAATTTCACAGGTCCAACCAATAATTAATAGTAACAGTAATGAAGAACAGCATTTATTGCTTTTAAATCATTTAATTTGTTAATCAATAACAAACATCTAAAATTTTAAAGAAAAATTACATATTTGATACTTTACGGAATAGCAACACACTGGCACATAGAAGATAAAAATATTTCATTTCCGGGAATTGCAGCACATTTCTTTTAAACCACTTAATTTGTTGATTATATTTCAAAAATAAATATATTATGCTTTACCAAGTAGCAACACTCTTTTAAATTTTAAAGACATATATTTAAAGCTCTGTCAAGTGGCAACACATTTCTTTTAAATCACAGAACTTTTGGATTAAATTTGAAACAAAAATATCTTATGGTTTGTCAAGTGGCAACATGTTGCTTTTAAATCATGGAATTTGTAACTATAAATGAGATTTATAGTTATTTTCACAAAATATGAAATAAATCAAAAACAAATTCAAAATTCAGGCTTTCATTAGACAGAGGTTTGAATGAAGGATTATGTCTGTTCAAAATTTGGTGTTTCTAGAAGCCGCCATTTTTCCACATTACATACATACATACATACAGATTTTTTATGATTTAATAACAGAGATATAAACACAAACACATTATAATTTAGGCTTAATACACAAAATTTCAATTGCTTCCTCTAACTTAATTCAAAGAATTCGTTCTTAAATAAACAGTTTTACAAATACTTTGAATAGTTTTTTATATAAAGGATTTAGAGATAAATACTTGAACACTTAAAATGGTTACTGGTGAATTCAGATTTAATTTAAGATTAAAAGCAAGAGTAAACTAAAAATAGACATGTTCTACTGTGTTGATGAGATTCATCTCCAATGGGTATTTTCATTTGATTTCATTCATCAACAATATTTAATGAGCTATCTTTTGTGAGCATAATTTTTAAATACTTCAATTTAAAAAATTAGGTGAAACAACTAACTTTTTACTGATTACAGGCATATTAATAAACTCTAAAGAAGAATGAAATGGAAATGATGTATATTAAATTTGTAAAAAGAGATTTTTGTTTACTTTTGGTAATATTACCATTTGAGTTGCAGCTCTGATGATTTAAATATTTGTTTTTTAAATAAAGGGCATTCGCCTCTCATTTAAGCAAATTTTTTTGTTCTTCTCATATAACTAAAAATTACATCTTTAAAAAAAAAGAAAAGAAAAAAAAAAAAAAAACCTCTTAATTAAAAGAGAAAAGTGGTTGCTGAATTTTCATGAAACTCAATAATGATTTGTAATATGAAAGGCTACGCAACTTAAAACTACACTGTTTAATGCCTTCAATTTTCTAAATGTATAAATTTCCTAGAATTAACACAAGTTGATATAAAATACTTTAATTTGTTGAAGTTTGCTCTTTTAAATGCAGCAGAACACTTAATATCTAAGATAACTTAGACCACAAGTTATCGTATGGTTTAAGATATATTAAAATATTTCACAATTCTTCAAGTATTCCAGATTCTATAAAAATTCATATACAGTACAAAGTCTGTAATCCGGACATCCATTATCCGGAATGATCTATAATCCAGACCTCAAAGGCACAAACTTTACGCATGCACATAGAGAATGCGCATACATTCCGCATGCATGTAATGTATGCTTTACGCATGCGTGCGTTGAAAGAATTGTTTAATAAAGTAAACAAATAAATATTAAGCTTTTTTTGTGAAATTTGATACCCTTTAGATAATAATTGCTCTTTATTTCATAAATTATGGTTTCATATTTTTAATTGCATAATTTCTGCATGCCATCTTACCAGATTTAAATTGATGATCTATAATTTGGAAAATCCCCTAATCCGGAATCACTGAAGTCCCGATGAGTCCGGATTACGGACTTTGTACTGTATTCCAAAATTCAGTATAATTGAATTATTTTTATTCAGTAATTCAAATTTATATTTACCTAAACACAAATAGAGGAAGTTTGTTTATAGTCCAAAGGGATTTCAGTCCCGAAGGACTATTGCTTTCGTTTTGGCATTTTGCGTCGGACTCATAAACGTCGGTTCACTTTTCAAACTGTTGCCACAAAATGTTAGAGTCCTGCATTATATTTGAAGAAATTAAAAATAATGAAAAATCTGCAAAATCTGCATAATGATTGTCTATTTCTTGCATTGTGATACAACAATGGTACATAGAGCCATCGAATTTTGAATGACGAAATCCTATCTACTGCGAATATGGGCATCTGAAATCCCAAATTTGGAATTTGTTTTATTATAGATTTTATATTTTGTAAAACTTTAACGAATTATTGATTTACAAACTCAATGCTTTAAAAGCGAGAAATGGCAACGTTATATGGAAAAAAAAATACTTTTATCTCCAGCTCGCGAGACTGTGTATATCGGAAATTCTAAAGATATGCTTAATTTAACATTATTTTGCGATATTGCTCTTGAACTGAATTTTATGGTTTAAGTGCAAAGAACATGATATTTAATAAATAAAGGTAACACTCAAAACGTTAAAAAAACGCCCCTTTGCACGTAATTTAAAATTTGAAAAATTTCAGTTTTTTTTTTTGTTTTGTTTTTGTTTTTCATGCTCTGTTTCAATAAATGTAATAACTTCGAAAATAAAATATGACGTGTGAATAACTATCAATATAAACTATAAGACTAACAGAAAGGAAATTATTGCATTTATACCACACACAATGAAAAACACTGCATAGAGAGGAAGCAGACATAACACTTGCTAAAGTTTGTTCAGGTTATTTTTAGAAAAGTATAACTAACGATGCTTCTCCGAATAAATAACAAAAAACGAACAATTTTGTATCTATAGTATATCATAGTATCAGATTTATAAGGTACATATTTGCCAGATATTTCAAGCCAAATAAAGTACAATGCATACTCATCTAAATGAATTTAAATTTTTTAAAAAGAATTTATATCTTTCATACAATTTAAATCAATGAAAAAATATCTCAGTAAATTAAAAAAAAAAAGGCTTAATTTAATTTGTTCTTGAAGGGGGGATATGTGAATTAATAACAGAACAAAGAAAAATCTAGTGCCTGGAAAATATGAAGTTTAGACATTATTTAAAACATTTATCAGCATTTCATAAAAGCTTAACAACAGCAAAAATGAAATTCTGTTATTTCCATAAACATTAGTTCTCAACAACCGAGAGATAAGCACATTTAGTGACAGCAAACGTATGAACATGAATTGAAAGTAAAGACTATACAGTCAAAAGTCGTTAATCTGGAATCGTTGGGACTTCGGCGATTCCGGATTATCGATTTTTGCGGATTACAGATCATCAGTTTAAATCTGGTAAGATGGCATGCAGAAATTATAAAATTAAAAATATGAAACCGTAATTTATGAAATAAAGAACAATTATGATCTAAAGGGTATCAAAATTTAAAAAAAAAAAAAGCTTAGTATTTATTTGTTTACTTTATTAAACATTTCTTTCAATGTCAGTTGCTTAAGTTGCTTCGTTTTTTACGTGATAATACATTCTCTTTAATTCTATAAACAGACATCATTTCTTGTTCAGTTACAAAGTTCCGCTGTTCAAGTCCTATAATTGCTGTGTATACCGACTAATTTGTCAATCGAAATTTTTTCGTTTTCAATAACCTCTGTCACTTTCTTCGCTATCGGAAGCGAATTATAATGACTAGGAATTTGATTTAAATCATATCAAAGACGGAGTACATTGAGATGAAATACTACATTTAGTAAGGAATTATAAGCCAAATAAAATCATTTGCCCTGAAGATAAGGATAGTGCTGACAGATCAACTTCCAATTCATTGCGCGCCCGCCGCGGCGTTAAAGATAAACAAAGTTTAGACAAACAAAAGTTAAAGTTTAGATAAACAAAGGATATGCCTTTATCCATTTTTTGCAGCAATTCCACTTTTTGTTTAATGGACTTCGAAACATTCTTTCGCTTTGTAGATTCTTTACATATTAGTAATTATATATCAGAAATTCTATTTGACATAATCGAAAGTTCAAGCTTACTTTTATAAAATTGCTCTAACAGTCTGCAAAAAATAATAAGCCGAATCGAATTTGAAGATTAAGAAACAACGCAATCTGCAACATTAACTGAATTAGATAATTTTAGCTTAGCTTATACTGTCCGTTATACATTAAACGTGCATTCGTAAACGTATTTTGCGCACGCACACACACATATTGGCAGCCGTAAAGGTCTTACGCGCAAGATGCATGCGCAGAAAGTTTGTAGCTTTAAGGTCCGGATTATGGGTGTCCGAATTAACGACTTTTGACTGTATTACATATAAAGTCTCTTTGCTTTTAGGGCAAAAAGCAAAAATGCACTTCTTGCAAACCAATGCAATAATCTCTTCACTTCCTTGTCATTATCAGTACAGTTGGAGCATTTTTTGTTTACACAGCTCATCATTTGCACTGAATATGTATGATATTAGCATATATATCCCAATAAAAATCTTCAGTTTTAGGTACAGGAAAAATTCTATGCAGTTGGATGCGGCCTCACTGATCTATTCACTTTCTATGCAGCCTTAAGGATGTATGCAGTCTTACAGATCCATAAATAACAAATTATAAATAATATTACAGTTTTTATAAATACTTTTCAAAAACATAATTCCTCACACACGAAAATGACCAGTAATTTTATTTCAAAATAGAATATTCTCAATATTTTCAACAACAAGACAGACATAATATTCCCTTAAATAAATAAGAGTCTTTATGTGAAACATGAAGCTTGAATTTCTAGGGTTCAAACATACCAAAAAACATTAAATGCTAAATATACATTGATTTTTGAATTATATGAAAGAACTACTTTTGAATAACAACACAAATTTAAACGAATAATGAGGAAAGTATTTTTTTTTGGGGGGGGGTAATTTTATTACACATACATATATACTCTACACTAGCTTTTATTTTATATAATTTTAAGTTAATGAAAATAAACATAAATAATTAATTAAAATAAAATTAATAAAAAATTTCAAAGCTCTGAGACTTTATATTATGCCTAAACAGGCATTCCCCCCCCCCATTTGCACACACATACATGTTTTGAGAACATTTGGACTAATGCCACATTATGCTAAAAATATTAAAAAACATGTTCTAATAATCTTTAAGAGATCTTAAACATGCTCTAATAATCTTTTATCGGAAACTCTTAAAGCTATTAAACATGCCTAATATCTTTAAGAGTTTCCAATAATCAGTCTCATGCGCAAGATAAGAATGCTTTATTTCCTACAGTGTTGCTATTGCTCATTTTGAAATTGTTGAGTTTTTTAATCAAAATTCATTAAAATTTTACAAAATATGAACTAAACAATAAAACAAACTCCAAATTTGGGTTTTCAGGTGCCCATGTTTGGGTGGAGGACTATGTTATTCATAATTTGATGACTCTAAGTACCATTGTTTTTTCACATTGCGAGAAACATACACACACATTCAAGTATTCTTCATTACTTAGTTTCTTTAAATATAATACAGGACGATACTATTTGGTGGCAAAAATTTGAAAAGTAATTTGGATATTTGAAGTAATTCAATGCAAAATGCCGTTTCGAGACTAATAACCCATCTAGGCTAATGCCCATTTGGGATAAAAAATTCAGGCTTAAAATTAAAAATGGCAGATTAATCTGTCTGACTATTAAAACTATTAAAATTAATTATTGACTTATTTAAAAGCTACTTCAACGTAGTATCTTCCGAGTTTATGCTTTGTTGGCATCAAATTTTTAGTCTTTCATACATCAAATACATCAAGTGACAAAGAGTGAAAAGACTGGGAAAAACTAGAGTGTGAAATTAAAAAGTAGTGCTAAACTTTTAGCATGGTTGGCTGGTTATATGAATATGGTAAAGGACACAGTGGTTATCTGGCTAACGGGAGAAATGCCTTTGTGAAGAACGTTCTACGAGAAACTAGCTTAGACTCATGTTACATATGGCAGAAACCATGAAAATAACCATACCACCAGACAATTCACCTGAACTCAAACTTATGACAGAACCCAGTATTCAGCAGTCCAACTGGCCACTGATGGGCTAAACTTCATATATTAATAACAGCAAAACTGTTTGAATGATTTAAAAAAAATCTGAAAGATTTCAGATTTTAAATTATGTCCAAAGGGGTGTTTTTTTAACATTATGTGTGTTACCTTTAGTTATTAAATATCATGTTCTTTGCACTTAAACCATAAAATTCAGTTCGACAGCAATGTCACAAAATAATTTTAAAATGAGCATATCTTTAGGATTTCCTATATACAGTTCCATGCGCTGAAGATAAAAAGGTTTTCTACCCCCTGTAGAGTGTGCCATTCCTCGCTTTTAAATCATTCAGTTTGTTAAAAATTCGTTAAAGTTTCACAAAATATGAAATCGATAATAAAACAAATTCCAAATTTCAAATTTGGGCTTGCAGATAGCTCCAGGTACCATTGTTTTATCAGAATGCGAGAAACATACATACATTTATGCAGATTCTTCCATTATTTAATTTCTTCAAATATAGTACAGGGCGACAGTATTTAGTGGCAATGATTTGAAAAGTGATACATTGTTTATAGGGTTCCTACGCAAGATCACAAAACGAAAACAACAGTCCTTCAGGAATAAAGCCCCTTTGGACTAAAAAAAAACTTTACGCGTAGGTATAGTTTGAAGCACAGAAATGAAAAATCAAAAAGAAAATTGGCATGCCATTGTAAAAAAAATAAAAAAACCTTTATTTCTTAATTAAAAAAAATAATTCATCTCTCTTTCTTTTGGATGGAATAGGTGCAGTATGCCCATTCAGCATTGCATAGTAGGCAACTAATTAAATCTTTTTAGTGTTTACATAAGACAGTTTCTCAGACTGATTAGACATACCTAAATGGAAGAAAACATCCAAATTAAAAGAATGAAAGTTCATTTTCTCTCTTTCTACAAATGTATGATTTAAGAATTTTTAATTTGAAACATTCTGCAAATTTTTCTGTAAAAATAACTATCAAAAGAGTTTTAGAATGCGATTTTTAAAACAATCTAGATCTTTTTTTCATTTATTTATTTATTTCACATTTATTTATTAATTGAAATTTGTTATTCAGAGCAAATTATATTACTTCCAAAACGAACAAAAGAGCCACCAAAGTAAATTCACATTTCCAGGCCTATTTTATACTTCAGTTAATGTTCCAAAATTTCACAAAATGTGACATTTATCTTAAGCACATATGAAACACATATTAAGTATGCATGTAAATTTATACACTGCACTACTCTTCTGAATTAAGCATTTTTTTTAAATATGCTGCATTAATGAGAATGCACTTACTTTATTCCTTTTCTTGGGGAATGTGAATTCATACAGTAGTCATCACATTTTCAAAACATCTTGTTAAGCACATAAAACAAACACTCAAACAGATATGAATTGACAAATGTACTACAACACATATTGCACCTCAAAAACATTTTACCTTAATGTGTAAAACAGCATTCTGCATAGGATGAGCATCAGATATGGTCCTTATCAGCTTTCCTTTATGCAAATCCCACATAGTGATCTAGAGATTGAAGAGAAACATGAGAATTTTAAAAAACATTCCCCCACCTTTTTTTGATGACGACTTATTAAAAAAATGCATTCATACCTCTCCTCTGCTATAACCTGCAAGCAAACGACTACAGTCTGTATTGAAAGCTAGTGCTGAAACAGAGCCATATTTTTCACCAAAGTCTGTAGATCCTAAGCACCATTTTAAAACTTGTTGTGGATCTGAAAAATGAAATACTTAATTTACATAATGACACAAAAAGAAACAGTCATTATTACATTTAAATTTTCATATATTTCAAAATTTATAGATTTACGTATATTTAGAGAAATTCTTTAATAAGAAATTCCGTTTAGAAGACACTCTCCACTAATGCAAAATTTTTTAATCCCAGCCACTCTCCACTAATGGCAGATTTTTTTTTTTTTTTTTTTTTTTTTTTTTTTTTTTTTTTTTTCTTTTTGAAAAAGAACATAAATGAATTTCATGTCCTGAATACAATGAAGAGAGAAGATGCTAAGCAAATTTTTTATACGAGTTCATTTATTTAATTGATTATGGAAAAGTATACAAAGGCTAACTACCTAAAGGGAGGGGTACTTTTTGTAAAGAACTTTCTAAAAAGATATTGGTACATTAAGATTGCACATGGGGAAAACCTCAAAAATTCCCATGGAGTCCTTGCATGAACATTGTTGAGTTCTCTTTTATTGAGTAATTTAGACAGGTTGAATGGCCAGCATTACTTGATCTTATCCCCTAAGCTGTTGGTGAGCCTTTTTCTCAGTGATGGATGAGCTTTTCTACACAAATTAATAGAGAAGACAAACAAATAAAAGAAGCTTGTCCTTCAGTTATGCTTTTGTAAGGAAAATAAAACATTGAATTAAGAAAAATAAATATAGAAATAGCAAAAAAACAAGTATATGAAATCTGGAAAATAAGAATAGAAGTCAAGAATATATTATCAAAACTTCAACTATTTGGTTGATATAAGCAAAATAAGAGTAATACTCAAGAATATATTCTCAAAAACTTAAAATATTTGGTTGATATTTATATAAAAATTGGATTTGGACAGGATTATACAGTCAAAAGTCGTTAATCTGGACTCGTCGGGACTTCGGCGATTCTGGATTAGGGGTTTTTCTGGATTATAGATCATCAGTTTGAATCTGGTAAGATGGCATGCAGAAATTATAAAATTAAAAATATGAAACCGTTATTTATGAAATAAAGAGCAATTATGATCTAAAGGGTATCAAAATTTACAAAAAGAAAAAGCTAAATATTTATTTGTTTACTTTCTTAAACATTTCTTTCAATGTAAGTTGTTTAAGTTGCTTCGTTTCATGTGATAATGCTTTCTCTTTAATTCTATTAAACAGACATAATTTCTTGTTTAGTTACAAAGTTCCGCTGTTACAAAGTTAGTTACAAAGTCCTATAATTGCTGTGTCGAGAATACCGACTAATTTGTCAATCGAAATTTTTTCATTTTCAATATCTCTATGTCACTTTCTTTACTATCGGAAGCGAATTATAATGACAAGGAACTTGATTTAAATCATATCAAAGACCGAGTACATCGAGATGAAATACTACATTTAGTAAAGAATTATAAACTAAATAAAATAAAAACATCTGCCCTGAAGATAAGGATAGTGCTGACAGATCAACTTCCAATTCATTGTGTGCCGCGTCGTTTCCCTCCCCCCGCAGAGCAGCGTGAAATTGATAAACATATTTCGGAATGATTAGATAATCAAAGGATATGCCTTTATCCATTTTTTGCAGCAATTCCACTTTCTGGTTAATGGACTTCAAAAATACTTTCGCTTTGTAGATCTTTACATAGTAGTAAATATATATCGGAAATTCTATTTGACAGAATCGAAAGTTCAAGCTTACATTTATAAAATTGCTCTAACAGTCTGCAAAAAATAATAAGCCGGATTCAATTCGAAGATTAAGGAACAACGCAATCTGCAACATTAACTGAATTAGATAATTTTAGCTTAGCTTATACCGTCCTTTATACATTAAATGTGCATGTGTAAACGTATTATGCGCATGCGCACATGTATATTCGCAGCTGTAAAAGTCTTATGCGCACGTGTAAACGCCTATGTGCATGTGTGAACACGACGCATGCGCAGAAAGTTTTTAGCTTTTAGGTCCGGATTATGGGTGTCCGAATTAACGACTTTTGACTGTATATAAATAGATAACATTTCTACATATATAGCAGCAGGGCAGTTATTTTTCAGGTACACAATATAATTTGTAACAGCAAAATATGATAAATATTCAAAGTTCTAGTCCAATTATGCTTAAAAATTGTACTCAACAATAAAGCTAGCATTATATAAGCAGATCTCAAATAGAAAATTATAATGAACCATTCAGTTATACATAAAAATAACTTGATCAGTATTCTTAGATGAAAATGCTCAATAGAATACAGAAATGATTTGTTAGAAGCAAAACACCAATATTTTAAAAATTACAGATGATACAGTACTGATTTAATAAGTGTTAAGCCAATAAAATAAACTAAAAAAATCTATAATAAAGATATTAGTAAAGGAATCCACAATAAAAACCTGGATTGAAATATTTTAAAAAAGGCTAAATTGTATAATATTCTTCCAGTTATATTTATTTTTAAGCTGAATATAGCAAAGAATTTTATATAAAAAAGCTAAAAGTAAAACTGTATAAAATTTAATTAATTGTATAAAATCTTTAATCTTTTTCAAGTACCAATCAGATAATACTTTAGGAAATGGTGCACAAAGATGATCGGAACAATATGCACACAGTTCAGTTTATTTTGTCTGAGACTTCATATTTAAACTCTGTTCAAAGTTCAGAATTCCATTTTATTAAAAGAAATGCTTGCTTATATCTGATGATTAAATCTGAAAATGAAGGTCAACAATGGAGGAATGGTATTGAATTCCAGGCTGTGAAGCTATAGAAGACCTGTGTAGCCATTCTGAAAGTGCAACATAACAATCATCATTCATCGCTGTGAATATTGATTGACTTTGGTTGGTTCTTCTCAATATGTATCCAGTGTATTGAAATTATTTCCACAAATTGCAAATGACACTGGGCATTACACTGAGCTCTGTAGTCAAAAATTGCTTGTTATCGGCCTGCCTCCAATCAGTCGACAATTCTCCATCTCATTTCATCATCCATACATTCGTGGCTACTCATTTTACTTGACACCTAATAAAATTTACCCAACTCTTGCGAGAAATGCGGCAAATGTCGTGAAGGAGTACCAACACACAAATCGTTGAAAACTCCACTCTGCAGGCAATCGCGTGCACACTTACATATTCGACTCTGAATATTTGCATAACTCTTTGACGGCATAGTTAATACCTTCCGTTCAATACATTTGATAAAAAGAGACATAAGTTGCAAGTTCTCTTAAATTTTCATATTAGCAATGAGTTTTTCATACTTTAATGGCTCTGATTCTTAAAAATTGAAAACAAAATTGCTAACAACAGTTTCTACTGTTTATCAACAGTTTAAATAATTAAAAATAATTTAAATTTTTAAATAATAAATTAATTTTAACAGTTAGTGTATTTTTCCCCATGAAAGGCTTTATTGATAATGATGAAATACACCAATTATGCTTACCAAAAATTAAAGTGATGCCATGAAAAGTTCCAACAGCTATAAATGATGACACAGCCTAGAAGAATAAAAACACAAGAGAGAAGATTAATAAAGAGTTATACATTAATTTTTACATAAAAAAATTATTAAAATACTTTGTTAGAAAATAATAAAAATTATAAATACATTGGATATTCTGCAATGCTTAAAATAATAATAATAAATAAATCATTTTAAAAAAGGCCTTTTACAATAAAACTTATATGCTAATATTTTGCTTTAAATCTGATGACATATTTAAATACTTTTTTGTTGTTACATATTTTGAATGATTCAGAAACAGAAATTACTGAAGCACAAAAATTTAACTGGCAATAGTTTTTACGTTACAGCATAAACTATTTTTGGCAGCAGATAAAGTTTTTCTGAACTCAAAACAGCTCATGTGAATAAACTTTAGGTAGATGACTCCCTTTTTTGCATTTTCTTCAGAAATATCTTCTCATTTTCAATAAAGATATAATGTAGGAATCTTGGAATAAAAATATCCAACAGTAATAAACAATGTGATTCATAACAAAGGGAAAAAAATCAAGAATCATTGTTTCTCACTGCAAAAAGAATATATTTTGCAAAGAATATTTCAAAAATTAAAACAATGATCCTAAAAAGAAAGTTACATCTATGGAAAATATCAGCAGTTTTGAAACTGCTAGTCCCGAGTGTGAATAAAATAATAAACAATGATTTAAATATAAAAAAGCCAAAATACACAATGTCAATCTTCTTCTAGAATATGTGGTACAACATAAGACCAGATGTAGAATTCTTTAAGACAATAATTTTTCACAAGAAAAATGTAAATTTTTACGAGTACAGATGAATTATAATTATATTTAAATAACCATAATAGAAAATGGTTCATTTACTATTGAAAATCAAAAACTTAAAAATTTTATTGAAGAATATAAAGAAGGTTTGAGTGAAAGATTTATAATAATTGTTGACATATCATGCAATGAGAAACTAAAACTATGAAGAGCCAAAACGAATGTAAAAATAAATTTCACATATTATGAAAACAACATTTCAATTTCTCAACATCTACAGCTAAATTTTTTTAAAAAATAGAACAGGAAATTGGTATAAAATATTCCAGAAAATCCTTTTAGTATGGCACCAACTGACTAGTGCCACACCAAAAGAGTTGTGTTTTCAGACTATTAAAAGGGCATTTTAAACACATTATTTAAAGCTAGTTGATAAACTATACAAAGGAAAAGAGGGAAAAATCCCATGGTAAAATTAAGAAATGACCTTTTTTGACAAGGATTAATAGTTAAGAGAAAGAATGCAGCCTGATAATTAAGAGAAAAGGCTACTATACTGAGCAGTTATAGAAAATTACATTATAATTAATTGTTTAACTGCATTAAAACTCTTAAAAAATGTGAAAACACCTGCATTTTCCAGGTTCCAAACTAGTAAATTTCAGTTTCATGCCTGAAGTTTTATCATAGTGCATATTTACCTGTTATTAACATAAAAACATTCATTTATAAAATTAGATTTAAAAATTAGCATACAGTACTTCATCGAGAAAAGATAATTAACATCTCAGAACATTTCTGAGACACCCAATTCCTTGGTTTTATGGAAAAAATGTGATGATTATTTTTACAAAACTCTTCAGCACTTTGCAGAAAAATTTAAAATATTTAACAGACTATTACCCCATATTTACTATTATTAAAATTAGATGCACAAAGTGATGAGTTAAGCATCTATTAAGAAAGATTTACTCATTTTACACTCATTAAGTAATATTTGTATTTTTTCCTCAATTTTTATATACTGAAAACGATGGTGGTGCATGAAAACATTTATTCAACTTTTATAATTAGAGAAAATGAATATCAAATTAAAAACATTAAAACAATCATATATATTATAAAATGTTATTAATTCATATAATTATGAATTCACAAAAAAATACGAAGTAATAACTATACATATCTTATTAAAAAAAGAGAAAGAAAAAAAAAGAAATTAGAGATAACTTTTAAATAAAATGATCAGCTTAATGAATTTAAATTAACAGCTATAAAAACAGTTCAACTACAGCTATTTTTTTTTTTTTTTTTTACTATTGACTTGCTTAGCTAATGAATTACATAAATAATTCTGACTGAAAATGGAATACATAGTCGCATTCTTTTATAACAGTATTTGAAACTTTCATCTGAAAATTCTGAATTTAAATTATTTCATTAACAACATATGAGGTATATGGTTAAAGAAATTAAAAGTTAGTTTAAGTCTTAATCAATAACTTATTGATTAATAGTCAGATTAATGGTACTTCCATGTTAACTTCCATATTAACTGCTACCAGGAACTAAAGTCAATACAGTCATAAGTCTTTAATCCAGACGTCCATATTCCAGAATGCTCTATAATCCGAACCTCAAAATTACAAACTTTATGCGCATGCGTAAACACATAATGCGTCTAAGCATGCACAAAATACGTCTACGCATGCACGTTTAATGTATAACGGACGGATAAGCTAAGCTAAAATTATCTAATTATCTATTTCAGTTAATGTTGCAGATTGCATTGTTCATTAATCTTCTAATTGGATCCGGCTTATTATTTTTTGCAGACTGTTAGAGCATTTTATAAAACTAAGCTTGAACTATCGAATATGTCATAAAGAATTTCCGATTATGGAACTGCCAAAGGATCTACAAAGTGAAAGCATGTTTTGATGTCCATCAAACAAAAAGTGAAATTGCTGCAAAAAATGGATAAAGGCATATCCTTTGTTTCTCTAACCATTCCGAAATCTGTTTATCAATTTCACGCTTCTCCGAGGGAGGGGACGTCGCGTCGCACAATGAACTGGAAGTTGATCTGTCAGCACTATCTTTTATCTTCAAGGCAGATTTTTTATTTTATTCGGCTTATAATTCCTTACTAAATGGGGTATTTCATCTCAATGTACTCCATCTTTGATATGATTTAAATCAAATTCCTCGTCATTATGAATATCATGAATACACATCAAATAGTTTTCTGGTTGCAATTTTCTAATTTCTACTATGCGTAATGTATGCTTTACGCATGCGCGCATTGAAAGAAATGTTTAATAAAGTAAACAAATAAATATTAAGCTTTTTTTTTGTAAATTTTGTTACCTTTTAGATCATAATTGCTCTTTATTTCATAAATTACGGTTTCATATTTTTAATTTTATAATTTCTGCATGTTATCTTACCAGATTTAAACTGATGATGAACTGATGATTTAAACTGATGAATGATCCAGAAAAATAAATAATCCGGAATCGCCGAAGTCCTGACGAGTCCGGATTAAAGACTTTTGACTGTACCAAGTTTTGGAAAAACTTAGCAATAAACATTTGTCTCCTTGTTATTACTATGACTTTAAATCACCCTAATCTTCCTTAAACCATGAGCACACGCCTTTTGTATTTTCTTCAATAAGTTGTTATAGGTCATTAATATTCGCCAAATAAAGAAATAGCAGCTGCATTTTTCAGAATAATGGGAATATTTGCAAACAGTTAAAAATATTCTGATGTTCACACTATAAAATTACACATCACTAAAGACAATGCAGAATACAAAAGAGTATAAACAGACAGTATGAGGATAGGAAGTCAGTCATATTTACTTACTGCTAATAAAGGAGCTATATTCAGATAAATTTTACACAGAAAAGTATGTCTGGATAAAGAAACAGTTATAGCCTGGAAGAGTTATATTTGTGAAACCTGCATTATTCAAATGAGAAAGAACTGAAATTCTCAACATCAAGATTACTTGGGTACCAAGTTTACAGCAGTGGTTAATAAAAAATATATCATCCTTTGTACAAATATAACAACAATAAACTAAATCTATAGTAACACTTTGGGACATTTTAATCTTACAGACTCACTTATTTTCCAAAAAAATTTTCTGTGCAAAACATGTTTTTATCACAGTTTGTCAAATGTAATGAAATGAAAAGACATGATGGTGTGATATTCTATTTAACATACATTTCATGATAATACAAATAAAAATATAGAATGCAGAATTAGTTACATTTCACTTTCATTGCAAGCATAAGTAGCAGTTGTGATGGAGTTGGCACACTCATTAAATTACACTGATTATAGATTTGATTCTAGATTTATCACATTGCCAACATGTGATGCAATATTAATTAATAGAATAGGAAGAAAAAATGTATGATTATACAATATTCTCACCATAGAAGTTGGCTTCCCAGCATTGACCCGCTCTGCTGCAGACTGAAGCTGGGCAGATACTCCTCGAAGTGTTACATGCCTAAGAATTGATCCATGTTTTTTAAAAAGTGGACTTTTCTTCTCCTTATGGGTAGAAAGCCTGAAAATATTAAGTTATTCAAAATACAAGAAGATGCCAGATCTCTATAAACTTTCATAAACGATAACTACAGTTCAATTATCTTTACTCTAAATATGGAATTAAATGATGACCTAATCTAACTACATCACTTGCAATTTGGAGCTACATGTAGATAGAAAAATCAACATTTTAAATACTTCATTCACGAAAAGGTACTTTTCCATTATGCACCTGCAATGCAAATACCCTTTTTATACCCTGTAAAAGAGAAGCTGAACACATACCAAGAGCCAAAGATAGCACCATCTGGGGATTACGTGTGCATGTGTGTGAATGTATATAAGGCTAATTAAACACATATACGTACATTATTATAATAGTACTGCCCAAATGTGTAGCAGGTGCCCTAATGGAAAAGCATCTAACTAAAGAAATAGTCTCCTTCTCACAGTTCTCATTATTTCTAATAATAGGATAACTCTAAAAAAGTTCATCTAATTTTTTTTAACCTTTTAATAACAATATCAATTTTAATTCATGTATGATTAAAGTGGTTTAGTAACTAAATAACACTTCAAGGACATTAAAACTTTATAATTTAAATTTAACTACCACTTGCATATATTTTTAAGAATTAGACCACAAAACATTACATAAAACAAATAATTTTAATAATTAAGTCTAATAATCAGCATGCAGACCCTGTTATTGAAAGCTTATAAATTATTAATAGAATTCAATGCCCATTATTTAAATTTTGCAATGTTTTGTTGTTAAATAAAATCTAGTACAAAATTGCATTCATGCCACTATGCAGATTCAATTCAATAATCTGCCACTGTTAAAGTCCCAAGCATATTGAATTTGAAACTTATAATATATAGTACAAAACTTTATCTGGTAAAATGAAATTATAAAAGTTATTTAATGCTGCCAAATATATTTAATAAACTTAAAGTTGATACTTTGCAAAGAATTCATAAATTAGAAAAAAATTATCTTTGTGTCTTTCACATACATTAAAAAAATATTTCACGGTAATACACGCCTTCCTCATGTACCAATTTATTTTGCAACATTTTAAAGCACAAATGAATAGGCATTTTGAAATCATCTGCAACATTAATATTATATAATTAGCTTATTTCATAAATTTATATCTCTGTATGCATTTCTGGAAATCAATAAGACTTTTTTCTTCACAGAAGAGTCCAGGTTCATGTGGAAGAGTTATTCAGGTCATCACCTGATCTGGAGACAATTCAATAAGGCAATAATTCTATAAATGAATTGCTTCCATACATACCATATACTACAGTACCAAGTCCACAATCTGGTTGTCTGATATACATATTGACCTACTTTCAGAGCCTCTGGACTAATGGACTAACAATATGTTTTACCCCTCATTAAAGTCTAGGAATGGAGAACATAATATTCAAGAAAAAGCAGGTGTGCCATAAAAGCAATTTTTCTCCTGATTAAGACTTCTGAATGTCACTTTCAAACACCTGATTAGGTACTGATATTATTTTAGAAATATTCCTGCTGATTAGAGAACTGCAGCATGGTCAGTAACAATGCGCAGATTAACATTGTATCAATGTTCATCATGATAAACAATTTCAGCCATTAAGTGGTTGTACGATGGGGGATGATTAGCACACTAAATAAGTGAAACACCATGACATATATGTATGTTTAGAGTAAGATGCTGCTCATACAGTTTTTCTTTTATTGGTCTAGCAGTGCACGTAGAATTAGATTCTAAGTTCAGTTAACACAGTAAATTGTGCTCTTTCACAACTTTCTAATTTGACCTACCTTATTTTTTGCAGGCTGCTATTATTACATATTTCTTATCAAAATTTTGATAAGAAATATAAATAATATAATAAAGTTTGAAATTTTGATTATTTTGAAAAGAGCTTCAAATTTTGCAAAGGGAAAGTGTGTTTCGATGTCATATTACATATTTCTTATCAAAATTAAAGTTTAAAATTTTGATTATGTTGAAAATATCTTCTAATTCTGCAAAGTGAGTGTTAATTAAACAAAAAGTGAAATTGTTTCAAAAAAAGGGTAAAGACATATCTGTCTCAAAATTATGAGTCATTAGAAGGTCAACATTATTTAACATTAAAAAAAGAAAGAAAACTAACTGCTTAATTTTTGTGGACTCTGACAATCCACACCCAATCAATAACAGAAAAGTCATTCATTAAGCTAAAAGTAACAATCATGACAACACAATGATTGAATACATTAAAAAGTGTCACAGCAAAGGTGCGTCATTGATGTGTTCAATGTTTATGGTTCAAGCCAAAATATTTCATTGAAAAATGAATTTAGAAACTGAGAAGCTCACATTTGGAAAATAAATAGCTATGGAATATGGAAGTTTTAAGATTTCAGGTGAAAGAGCTTCAGATGAACAATATGTAGATGAATTCAGTGAACTCGTTAATTATGAAAAGTTATCTCCAGAACAAATTTATAATACTCACATGCCTGTCTGGGAATATGTGCTCAAAAATATTTTGGCAATCTATGTAGAACTCACTTGAGTGAAAACTGTGAGTCTAATGATTTTGGCATGTGCAAATGCTGCAGACATGTAATCTTTATGTAACTGCCAAAAATACATGATCTCAAAAATAAAGATTTTTTCAGTCATCTCTTGCTCAAATAAAGCAGCGTTAATGACACAAACACTGATAAACTATTAGGATGTAAATTAGATTTATATATACTATCGTTCTAACACAGGTATTTTGACGGAAAATCCAATTTTTTCTTTAATAACACACAGATTTTTTTTTTTTTTTTTCCCATACTTCTATTCGGTTAGAGTAGAGAGAAGGGTACCCCTTGTATTATCGCAAAGTTGTTGTTGTTTCACTTATCATGAAGTTGTTGTTTTCGTTTATTGCCAAGTAGTGGCTTATTTATGGTAGCCTGAGTAGTTGAATGTTAGGCCCATATCACATGGCGTTTGTTTCACACGAACAACTGTTTGGGACAATTTTTTCTGCCTGGTTTACTATTGAAAGAAAGACGTGCGACTTTTTCCTTCCTTTCGAAAAAAGTTGCAAGTTGTTCGTTTTCAACCAATCAGCTATCAGCGCCGAATGCTGTTAGCTTGTTTGTAATGGAGAACCAGTTTCCCCTGTGTTAGCTCCAAAGCGAGCTGTGGTGATTGGCTGTTGTGACAAAGCAGAAAAATTGTTCCAAACAGTTGTTCTTTCGAAACAAACCGACATGTGCTAGCAGCCTTATGGAAATCCTATTATGATGTAATCGGCTACTTGATTGCATTGAATTTGACAGTAAAATGGCTGAATGTGATAAGATTAATTTGAAGTTTTTGTACGATTTGGAAAGAAAGGGGAAAAGAGCATTACTTGACTGGTGTGTAAATTAAGGTTTACTTAGTAGCCATTATTAAGTGTCTTGTTTGGAGGAAAGAAATGTGTATGTTCCGGAGATAACGGCACTACAGAGCATATTTTTTACTCTTATTCTGTGGCGAGGCCAGTATACAGATTCTAGTTCAGATAATTTTAGGAAGTTTTTGGATGCTGTTAAGGAATTTTGTTTGACTGAAGACGTGTTAATTTGTAAATAAGGTAAGTGGATATTTCCTTTGTGTAGTGCAAAGATGAATTTCCTTTTTTACATTATTTCATTGTTTGATTTAAAATGTAGTTTATTAAAATTATACATTGTTTTGTTGGCCACTCCTTTGACTTTTTAAGTGAATATAGTTTGATATGTACATGGACAAAGGGAGACCGTAAAGCTTAGTTTGTGCAATTCTCTTATGTTTTTTTAAGTAAAACTAGGTCGATGTGTACATGGATAAAGTCAAGGGAGTGCACAATGCCAAGTTCGTGCAATTCTGGTATTTTTTTCAAAGTGAAAATAGGTCGATGTGTACATGGATACCGAATCTGTGCAATTCTTTGTCTTGTTATTTTGGTAGGGGCGATTTTTGTCACAAAAGTCACCGCTATTCTATAACTCAAATTATGCCTAAAATTAAATTTGCAAAAAATTAAAAAATTTATTTTGGAGCACCTTTTTTAGTTTGTGCCAAGAATAATTCACTTGGCAAAATTCTTAACTTACGGTAACCTATTTTCTTTTCCCTTTCATTGTGCATGAAAAAAAGGTGCATCATTCATTCTTTCAAATAATTTTAACAAAATGCATAAACCATATTTGCTGTTATTATAGCTTATAAAAAATATGTCAGATTTCAAAATGCACCAATATATAAATTCGATACTATTCTGTTATCAGGGCCAGGTTCAGAAATGTATGTATTGTATGTGTAGATGTATGTGTTCATGTTATGCATGTATATAGCTAAATTTTGAATTGTGAAAGAAGGAATGAAGTAAGTTTAATATAAATAAAGATATTAATAAATATATACTAAATTCAATTAACACCAAGGAGCTAAAATTCTGAGAGCTAAGTTTTTAATTATCCATGCGATTTTTACAAAACTTGGCAGTTTGGCATAATTTGAGTTGTAGAATTAAAATAGGTAAAAAAAAGTATGTCACTTTAGAAAAAGCCTGACTTTGTGCTAAAATACATATGCTTGAACAATGCCAAGTTGAGCTTTTGAGATATGAAAATCGCACGTTAAATTCTGCCAATCGGCCCAGTAGAACCGGATAGAACTGCCCCCTCCTTCTTTTTTTTTCCTGTGTGTGTGTGTATGCAGAGTGTATATCCATCATTAAGCCACAAAATATCAGTGACGCATGTACTGAAATGCAGATATAAAGAAGCATTTTTTAATCTATGCCTTATTTTCTTAACAGTGGCAAGATCATTCAAGAATTTAAAAACATATTTTAAGATAAAATCTGCCATGTGAGCAATCTGCGATTGCAAGGTCATGGGATGATGTGTCTGCAGATATTTTTTTTTTAATGCTTTGCATAATTTATGATCATTTACCATATTTCATGGTTATCATGATGATGATAATAGCTGCAAATATGAATGTTTCTGGACATCACAAACTACATATAAAATTTTCCAGTTAATTTGGAATCTGTGGAAAAGTGATAATATAATGGGTATGACATAACATTAGTTTCCCATTGCAATGATATCAACTAACAAATGAATGGCAAAATCTGTATTATATTTTTAAATCCAGAATATATTGCTGCAAATAGTGAAGAAATTGACAGTGAGATTGTTGAGGGGAAAAAAGATCTCAACCCACGCTTTAGTGGGATTTTGATGTGACACTTACAGGTCTTGAATAATGGAATTTTATGACTAAACTTTATAGAAATTTATGACTGAAAAAAAATTATATATGTAAATTTAAAGAGAAAGTATTAAGGGGGAGTAAATAAATAAGTAACTTAAACAACACATGTTTAATAAAACAAACAAATAAATATTGGGCCCTTTTTTTTTCTGTAAATTTTGATTCCCTTCAGGTTTGCTTTACCACTTTATGAAAAACTATTTTATATTTTTAATTTAATAACTTATAAATTTCATCTTATTAGATTAAACTGATCTAAAATATAGAAAACAGAAGTTATGCCAATTCCAGCTTTCAGACTTTGTACTGTACTACATTTTCATGAAATTTGTGAGTATACACTTCAAGGAATAGCCCGATGGTAGCAAAAACTAGACCTTTATTATTAAATTTTAAAGTAATATGCATAATAATACAGTAGTATAATAAAATAGCACACAATATTGTTGGAGATACTGTTAGAAATTTCTGTTTCAGAATATAAGTTGTAATACAGAAGTATGAAATCAAAAGCAATAGAAAACATACCAAAAATTAGTAACAGGCTCTATAACTGAAGTACAAAAGTAAGAGGCATAATACTGAAAATTAGTAACAGGCTCTATAACTGAAGTATAAGAGGCATAATACTGAAGAAACATGTTTTTCCTCTTAAAGAAGATTGAACTGAGAAAGAAATGAGTTTAAATGCTATATATATAAAAAACAAATTTTTTTAAAGCGTTTTATCTATGAAAACTTTTGAAAACTCGTAACTTTTAAAACTTGAATACCTCTTTTACACATGCTATTAACAAGCTATGGATATTTACAGAAATGAAAATTCTCATATTATATTAACCCCCTGATTGGCATGGGATTTCACTAAGAAAGCTCAGATTTCCCAAAACTGCACTGAACCTGGATTTATGTACTTTTAATATATGCTTTAATTTCTTGGGTATATATCAACATGCACATACATATACTTTTAAAGATGCCACAAAAAATATTCTAGGCTGCACATATACATCCTTGCTTTTCAGAAGGTTAAAACATAAATAAAGATTAAAACACAACCAAAATTAAACATAAAGATTAAAAAATAACCAAAAATATTTTAGGCTGCATATAGTATACACCCCGGCTGGTCAGATGGTTAAAACATAACCAAAAATTTATATTTAAACAATTTCTTAGTAATTCGGATTTCAACACCAAATATTTGAATGTCAAACATGAATTTTGCAAAAATAAAAGTACTCAATTCATAAATTTTTTATAAGGAAATTATTTGTTAAACTAGTAATATTTAGAGAAAAAAATATAAACATTTACTTTCTTTCTCTCCGAGTGTGAGATTCAATACTATCAATTGAAGTTGTCTCGCATGTTTCTTGAAAATACCCGACATGACTAGAGAATTCTTCATCACTTAGAGAAGCATCATCAGTCTGAAATATTAAACAAATACATGAAAGCTAATCACATTATAGAGGAAAAAAAAATAATTCTGAAAACACATACTAGCAATTACAGTCTATGGTGAAAAAATTTTTCCATGAATTTATAGAACATACTTCTAATTCATATTTGAATTCGATTAAAAAATTATAACATATAATATTAGATATACTAAAATATTTCTTTAATTAACCTTCCAGTAGGCGCGCTCTTATTTATTTCACGAGAGAGCACGTGTCGTAATTTTTGCGACAGAATGCTTTTGTCTATTATTACAGATTTAAACTGTTAAGTAAGCGAATGTCGTTTGTAGGTACATCTGCTGTACATATAGCATTTCATGGATGCTGATGGATAGTTTCCTTTCGTTTGTACACAAACCACAAGTTCCTCGTTTCAGTACCTGCTGCTCAAATGTTTCTTCAGAAGGCAATGCATAATTCATATTTAGAAATATTGAAATATCACATGGCAATGATGAGATTTTGACTCGAGCTGTAAGGTGTTCTTTCATACTTGGAGCTAAGTTTTTCAAGACATTTTTTCAGCTTTGTTGAGCATCAGGTTTATTTAGCAAGTATAAAATTTGTGCATTTATTCTGGCAATGATTATGAAGCTGTAAAAGACTGCACATGGCCATCTCCTTGTTATCCGTAATACTGAGTAAGTAGTGAACATCTTGTCAACAGTATCAACCTCTCCTTTTGTAGAGTTGTACAGGTTTATAATTTCAGATTTATTAATATTTGGTGTGTCATGCATTGTTGAAAGTAGTATAACAGCTCTGTGAGGAACATACAAAACACGAGTTTTATCTTTTTGAAAGCCAAATATACTCGACCTAACGATCCTTTTTTTACATCGCAAAAACTCTGGGGGAGTTTCTTTTTGTTCTTTTTCAGGGTTCCTACCAAAATCAGTTCAGTCAGTAACCAGTCTTTTTACAACATCTAGTGGAGAATTTGAAACTACATGTGGGCCATTTGGTTGTGATCCACAATAAATTTCAAGATTATATGTATAAAATGCCTTTGAATCACACAGAGTGTACATTTTATTCCATATTTTGAAGGTTTACTGGGGTTACATTGAATAAACTGGCAACGACCACAAAAGGAAGGCAGCATTTCATTTATTGTAGCAAATTCACTCTATAGCAGTCATAGCAGTTCCTTAGAAAACTGTCAAATAATTGTTCGTATAGCTGCTAGTTTATTTTACACCTGTTTTTCAATTTGTTATGTCATCAAATCGAAGACATCTTGTTAGAAATAAAAGTCTTTTATAACTCATGACTGCACTTGCAATTTGCACTGCTGTGCCATTGTTTGTAAATAACTCCTTGACATTGATATGATGCACTATTTTTACTCTTATCAAATACAATAATCCAAAATATGCCATCATTTCACATCCTGTAGTATTCTGGCAGTCTCTTTCTCTCTAGTAATCATGTTTCCCTCTCAGATGACTTATATATTAGTTTGTATATTTCAAAATTTCATCAATCATGTTTACATCAATTATCTTTGTAAATGATCCAATTTCATCATTTTTTGCAAAACTTTTCATACCAGGAAGAACTTTCACAATGTTCAACTTTTCAGTTTTGGAGGACTTGGCATATTCCCTTTATAGCACCTAGTAATTTTTTCTTTACCAATATGAACATCTTCATCTTCAATTGATTCTTCATTATCTTCAGACATAGATTGCTCAGATTCACTGCTGATAGAATTTACTTCAATATTTTCCTCACTAAGATCACTACCACTGTCTAAAAACATTCCAGCGTCAGTCCTTTCCTTTTCTTCATCAGACAATTCTTGAGGAATATGTGGGGTACCTTCCCATTTTACCAGTTTTGAGGACATACTGACAAAAATATACGAATATATAGTTTTAAACTTTGTACAATGAATTAATAAATCAGTATAATATACATAAAAAACATTATAAAAACAAAACCTTAAAATATGTTAAAAGAATAATTATTAAATCTACTACCAAGAGCGGGCCTGAGTCATAAATTTTACGACGAAGTACAATACTGCATAAGACTTATATTAACTCGAAAACTGAAACTTGACCTTGGAAACAGGATAAACCTATTTCATCTTCAAGGGATGGAAAGCATAAATAAATAAGAATGATTCTACAACAGCTATTCTCAACCGATGGTATGCAAAGAAACAAAGTATTTGTAACAATTAAATTAAAAAATTAAATACCCCAACATCCTGTTCAAGTTTTCTTTTTTTTTTTCTTTTTCTTTTTTTCCTAACACTTGTAAATTTACGTGATCTGAGCTTTGTTTAAGGTCAACTGTCTCTCATAGACTTTAGAAAATAATTCTTTTTTATTTTTACAAAAATTTTTTAGCCATAGACATAACATAAGCATAAAATTTGATTTGTCACTAATCAAAAACTGATGTTTTTAACCCCTTGCCTGTTAAATATTGAGAAAAACATGCCAAAAATAGAAAAAAAAATTCTCTTTAATTTTGTTCATTATTATCATAAAAATGTTAGAAATGGATTATTAAAAAAAACTCAACGAAATAACCACTATATATTCAATATTTTCACATATATATGAAATGTTAATGGATTACAGTAATTTTTGCTCAAATTATAGCAAAATAAATCAAATGACATAATTTCCAAGATAAATATAATAAACTAATACAACAATATTATTTATGTCAACTGTCATGAATTCCATTTCCCTCAGACTTTTACATGAATGGGCCAAATTTTATGCAGTTTTGCATTAGGGTGTGTTTCAAGATATTCTTCATTGTTCACAAAATGCAAATATTTTTTTATCTTTGAAATCTATCGTAGGACATAACTTGGTGAAAAAATTGAGTTTCAAGACATGTCTTTTTTGACCAAAGTGTTCAGACACCTGACCAAAGTGTTCAGACACCCAATAATACCCTGTAAAACATGGAGCAACAGAAACATTTTCATTTCATGGTCCTTTGTAGGCCACCCACCTTTTTGATTGGCTTTTTGGCTTCAGATGTTGCCTTTCAATGCATTGCTGTGCATATCTATTAGTATCTTCCGTAATAGTGTGAATCAATGTCATTAAAAACTAGTTCAAAAATATTGTTTTTCTTGAGTAGAAGTAGAAGTGTCAATTGTTGCACCCACTTGTGGTTGTTTGAATGGGAATCTTGGCAGGGCTGGAGGAAGGTTATTCCAGCAGCATCCAGGTTCGGCATGAAAGAGTTCCTCTTTCGGCGTCACTTTCGGAATAGTCATATTCTTCTGTTGAAACACTGGTATCTGAGCATAAAGAGCCTAACAGGTATTCTTCATCATCTTCTGATTCCAACATTGCAAAAATAATATGGTTTGAATGAAATTTGGGAAGAACTGCAAAATTACAAAAATCTGACAAATGGCGTGAAACTACCGAACCTTTCCCGGGAAAGAATTGCTATCTATTGGGAAAATGGTAAATTACATATTATGCATTGGACGAACTGAGTTTGGGGTTCACAGAATTAAAACATCAATTTTTCCCTTGCTTAAACCAAGATCAGGCATTTCAAAATTAGCGCATTTGCATTGCCTGAACTGAGTATGGGTGTCATGGGCATGGGGTTAAATACAGTACTGGAAATTGATGTTCTATAAAATAGAAAATAAAAATAAGTTCATATAAAAAGATGATATATCACATTAATTCTTTTAGAGCTGATCGATTTATTAGCATGTCTACGCTTTATGCCGGCACCATTTCCGGGCTCATATTGCTCTACTTTCAATTAGAATAATTTTTAATGTCAATTTGCTATCTCTAACAGCAAGTACTTTCTCTTCTTTTTGCTTTGTATTCCTTACTTTTCCACGCGATTTGAGAATGTTGTCATTTGTTTTTGAAGAACTCGTAACATATTGTGCATTTAAATATTTGTGAAAAAATAATAGAACAAACTTCGATTTTCAAAATGGAAAAATGGCTAGGATTGACAAAGCGGAAAAGTGATGATTCACATGTGAAGGATCCAGGACAATCCACTTGTACTAAGAATATTGGGTTAGAGTAGATTTAAAGGGGCACCTTGGATTATCGCTAAGTTGTTGCTTCATTTACCGCCAAGATGTTGTTTCATTTATGGTAACCTTGAGTAGTTGAATGCTATGGAAAACCTCTCATGATGTAAGGTAATTGCGGTGATGCTCTTATGATGTAAGGTAATTAATAATTGCGGTGAATTTGAATAATGGGAAAAGATTTGGAAAGGCTTGTTAGCATGTTGGATTTTGGATAAGAAGTACATTGTTAAAGAAGTTATTTTGTGGTTTACATTGTAAAATGGCTGAATGTGGTAAGATTAATTTGAAGTTTCTGTACGATTTGGAGTGAAAGCATTAATTGACTGGTGTGTACATGAAGGTTTATTCAGTAGAAATTATACGTGTCCTGTTTGTAGGAAAGAAATGCGTATGTTTGAATGTTGGAGGATACTGGCACTACAGAGGATATTTTTTACTCTTATTTTCGTGAATTTATGTCAGACACCAGTACACAGATTCTAGTTCAGATAATTTTAGAAAGTTTTTGGATGCTGCAGGATGGATGCTGATGTTGGGAATTACTTTTGACAATAATATGCCATCAAGTTGGAATCACTAAATGAGTCCATAGTCATAGTAAAATTGGAGAGTCCAAAGTTCTAGAAAAATATCATTGTGTCATTGTGGATTTTCCATGAAATTATTACTAAGAATAATGCACAATGATCAGACGTTGCTAAACTGTTATGCTATTATGCATACCTATCGCATAATGTGATTACTGCATATAAATTATATACATTATCAACGACCTTTCCATGGGGATGCATGTTACATTTATTAACAAATTAATATGGATAGCCTCAGTATTATTTTAGGTTATAACAGATAGTAGAAGACTTACACTGAATTTCTAAATACTGTTTGAACATAATTACATAGTGTAAGAACAGTATATAGTATGACTATATACACATTCAGTATACATAGTATAAAACAGTACATAAGAAGACTTAAACCAAGTACCTAAATACTGACTGAATCCAAAAACTTCCTAACATTATCTGAACTAGAATCTGTATACTGGCATTGCCACATAAATTCACAGAAGAGTAAAAAATATCTTCCGTAGTGCCATTATCATCCGACGTTCAACTATACGCATTTCCTTCCTACAAGCAGGACACTTAATAATGGCTACTAAGTAAACCTTCATTTACACACCAGTCAAGTAATGCTCTTTTCCCCTTTCTTTCCAAATCGTACAGAAACTTCAAATTAATCTTACCACATTTGGCCATTTTACCATCTAAACCACAAAACAAACAATATACTTCTTAACCAACACACACACACTACAAGCCCTTACGAATTTACTGCAATTATGCAACCGATTACATCATAATAGGGTTTTCATAACATTCAACCACTCAGGCTACCATAAATGAAAAACTTCAAGATAATACAAGGGGTACC